TCAATAGGAAAAAAAAATCTGATTTAAAAATGAACAAAAGATCTCAACAGACTTTTCTCAAAAGAAGACATACACATGCCTAACAGGGATATGAAAAAATGCTCATCACTAATAATCAGAGAAATAAAAATCAAAACTACAATGAGATATCATCTCACACCAGTTAAAATGGCTTTTGATCAACAAGACAGGCAATAACGGATGCTGGTGAGGATGTGGAGAAGGGAACACTCATACACTGTTGGTGGAAATATAAATGAGTACAGCCATTATGGATAACAGGATGGAGTTTCCTCAAGAAACTAAAAATAAAACTACCATATGATCCACCAATTCCACTGAGTATATATTCAAGAGAAAGAAAATCAGTATACTGAAAAAGATCTGCACTTCCATGTTTATTGCAACACTATACACATGAGCCAAAATATGGAATCAACCTAAGTGCCCATCGATGAATGAATGGATAAAGAAAATTTGGTATATATACACAATGTGATATTGTTCAGCCACAACAATGAAGTCTTGTCATTTACAGCAACATGGATGGATTTGGACGTCAGTATATTAAAGAGAAATAAGCCAAGCACAGAAAGACAAATATTGTGTGTTCTCACTGACCTGTCGGAGCTAAAAAGTCAATCTCATGAAAATAGGGAGTAGATTGGTGGTTACCAGAGGACATGAATGGTATGGAAGGAGCAGAAAGAAGATAAATTGATTAATGTGTACAAATATATAGTTGACAGAAGAAATAAGACCTAGTGTGAGACAGATCAGTAGGGTGAGTAAAGTTTACAATATTCTATTGTGCTTTTCAAAATAGTTAGAATAATTAGAATGGTTCTAGCATAAATAAAGGACATATAATTAAAGTGAGGAGATCCCAAGCACACTGATTAGATCTTTATGAAGTATGAATCTATATTATCTCATGTAACTGAAATAATAAATATCTATTATGCATCAATAAAATACATTTTTTTTAAGACAGAGTCTCACTCTGTTGCCCAGGCTGAAGTGCAGTGGTGTGATTTCAGCTCACTGCAACCTCCACCTCCCGGTTCAACCAATTCTTCTGTCTCCACCTCAGCAACTGGGATTACATGCACCTGCCACCATGCGCAGCAAATTTTGTGTTTTTAGTAGAGATGGGGTTTCACCATGTTGGCCATGCTGGTCTTGAACTCCTGACCTCAAGTGATCTGCCCACCTCACCCTCCCAAAGTGCTGAGATTACAGGCATGAGTCACTGCATCCAGCCTAAAATAAATAATTTCTTTTTAAAAAGTTTATGACTTACCCAAAATTGCAAAGTTATTGAGGGACAGAACTCTAACAACTCAGCAATTCTGATTTCAGTTAACCTTCTAACTGTTCCATGATGTTGCCTCTGAGACTGAATTATGTGCTAGTTTGTTTGGATTTCATACCTTTTTAACTTCTATATATCATTTCAATTTTATAGTAATAATGTTAAAAAAACATTTTGAGATAAATTTAGCAGAGTTTATTTGAACAAAAAAATGATTCATGAATTGGGCAGCACTTGGAACCAGTCAAGGTTCAGAGAGGTCTACCCAGCAACTTCTTTAGGTAGTATCTACAGACAGAAAAAGGAAGGAACTTACAGAAACAGCCTGATTGGTTATAGTTTGGTATCTGCCTTATTAGAACATGTCTGAGCAGTTTGCCACTTGTGATTGGCTGATATGATTGGGCAAAACTTGGTTGTTTAAAAAATACACTTTTAGTTACATTTCAGTTTGTTTACGTATAGATTATGGTGCAATGTGTATGAAGGTTTCTTTAGGCCAAATTTAATTTAATTTACTAAGCCTTCAAAAGAAAGAAAAGGCAAACACTCTTCTTCTTATTCACAATTGTTGTGCAGGCTAGATTGGACGGTGGAAAACTACTGGTCTTAGCTTTGGGCTTTATCTTACTCTTTTGTAAAATAAAATTGTTCAAGCTGCTAACGTTATTTTCACCTCCCAAATTTAATGATGACATATACTTACCTCTGTTTTATTTTTAGTGTGTTTACTTTTATTTTGTTTGTTACCAAAACTCCCTAGCTTTCCTAAGTGTTTTTCTTTAATTTGAATATATAAAATAATACAGCTACAAGTGGATCAGCATAAGAATTGGAGGAGGAGAAAATCAAACACAGACATGATTAAAAGAAACTATCAGTGCTATAAAACTTTCTAAATACTTCTGTGATCAATACTGTTCTCTGTTTGGAGTAGTTGGGAGTATAAGTGATTACAGGTAACAGTAATTCAGTACTTACCATACCCCTAATACTGCTCTGTGCTTTAATTATTAACTTATTTAGTCTTCTTAACAATTTTCTGAGGTGTTAGTCTGATATTACAGCTGAAGTACACAGAGAAGTTAAGTAACTTTTCCAACTGAATAGCTAGTGAATAGTAATATTAAGCCAGTGACCTATTGCTGGAGACCAAGCTGTTAACTGCTACATTATATTATCTAGCTTTATAGTGCTCATCATCTGGTAGAGAACATTAAACAAACAAACAAAAATACGCTATAACTATAATACAAGGACTATGCAAGTGTAATAAGTCTTATAGAGCAGTGGTCCCCAATCTGAGGGCTGCAAACCAGTACTACACAGCAAGATGGGGTATGCAGCAGGATGGGGTACACAGCAGGAGGCCAGCTGCAGGGCAGGAAAGGAAGCATTACCCCAAGCTCCACTTGCTGTCAGATGAGCGAGGCATTAGATTCTCGTAGGAATGCAAACCCCATTATAAACTGTGCATGCGAGGGATCTAGGCTGCATGCTTCTTAGATAAGAATCTGATGATCTGAGGTGCAGTAGTTTCATCCTGAAACCATCCCCCCTACCCCTATCCATGGAAAATTTATCTTCTGTGAATTGTCTTCCACCAGATTGGTCCTTGGTGCCAAAATGGTTGGGGACCGCTGCTACAGAGCACTACATGCTTAATGGAAACTATTGGTTATACAATGCCTATTACGTGTCAGGAACTTTTAATATGTCTGTAAGGCATTCAGTTTCTTTAGTAAATAAGGAAAATGAGGCTTAGGGAAATTACTTCCCCAAGTCACAAAAGTAGATAGCATAATAGGAGCTCCACCTCAGATGCAGGAGAGGGTATTCTTGCCACTACACTGTGATATTTTTATACCCATCCAGTTATGGTGATCCTTAAAGACTTCACGAAATTTGAAAAGAACTCAGAAGAAAGAGATTTTCTCAGGTGAAGAAAGGGCTCAAAACAAAGTAGGGGAAAGCATTCCCAGAAGAAGGAATATTTGTCCCACTGAGCCGGAATAAAGGCTCCTTGAAGGGGAGGTAGAAGATAAGGCTTGAAAAGACAATGAGGTGAAGGGTCTTGGATATCAGACTCAAAAGTTTGTAGCTAGTAAAAGTGAGCCGATAAAAATGTTACTGCTAAGGAACACATCGATTTTTCAGGGAAGACAAGAGTTTTTCCTGGCCTGAGATCCAAAATAAATTTCTTACATGAGATCTAATCAGGGCACAGGGCACACCAAGTCACTGTGAGTGTCAGAGCAAATCTCAGAGTACTTTTATTCCAACAAACATTTATGAAACGTCAGGCTTGGTGTTTCATGCTAAATAATTCAACCTTAGAACAAAATTCAGTGAAGAGAATACGAGGCTAAATTAATATGACTTTAAAGAGCTCCAAAAGGTAGGTTGATCATCTGTTCTGTTAACCATGATCCTGAGATATTTCCTTACAGATGAACTTTTCTCTTATAACCAAAGGTTTTACAGTTCAAGATTATACACTTCATTGAGCACCCTGGCCTTGTGGCATTCTTTGCTGTATACCAAGTGCGGATTAATCCGAAGCTTTGAAAATCAGACAAACGGATATCACCAGTTGTTCATCACCACAGACATTTAGCTGGACTACGAATATTGGAAAGGAAAAAAAATGCTCATGAAAATATGTGGTGAATTCCTTTAAAAAGAAACCAGTGAGAAATATTGCTTCACCTTAAAGCCTAGGATAGTAGCTACCTTTTTTTCTCAAGACTGTCCTTACATAACCTATTGGCATGGGGGAAAAGTCAGTTTATAAACTCCTTAAGAAACTTAAAATCTGAAAAAGACAACTACGTATCATGTCAACTAAAGTAAGATAATTAACACTAGGATCAAAATTTGGAATCCACGTGAAAGATTCTGCGAAGATCACTTAAATCTCAGACCTTAAGCACTATTTTAAATATTTATTTAAGCAGAAATAGAAAATGTCTTAGTCTATTATATTTCCATTTAATTTTCTGGACTTAAGAAATCTATGTGTAACTGATCGAGTTGCCTACTGGGTGCAAACATAAAAAATTTGTATTGGGATTCATTTTATTCTCAGTTTAAAATCAACAGTATCATTTAAAACACAGACACTAATTTTCTGGAAGTTTAACTTATTTGTCCCTCTTATTATCAGGGCTGGTAAAAACGGGCTAACTGAACATGCATTCTAACAAAGATTGCAGCAACGCCTGCAAAGACGGGCCCAAGCTCACCGCATTTCTGTTAAAAACGGGTATTTTTCTGCGCCACCTTGTGGCCATAAAACAACTTGCCCACGTGAAAGTTGAACGCTTTTTCCCGCGCCGGCAGAGCCTTGCCGAGAGCCGCACTGCGGGAATCGGCCTCCAGACAAACGTACAGAAAATGGTGTCTTCCTTTACAACCAGTGACCCCCTTCTTCCTACTCAGTTTCCTTTATTCCTTAATTCAATTTCCTCGGCCCGTCCACCCACTGTCCTCAGACAGCCGTTTCCCAGTGTGACCTCCTTTTGCAGCTGCACTACCCGACTGAGGCCCTTTTCCCAGCCCCAATCCTCCCGGGTCGCCCTCGCAGCTCTCCCTCCCGGTCCCCGCCCCGCTTTCTCCACTACAGCACGATCCACGCCACACAGGCCCGCCCCTCCCTCCGACAGCCAATGGCGGCGCGACCCCGCCCCTCCCGCCGGGTCCCTGGGAGTTAGCTGGCTCCGGGAGGCTGGGGACACTGAATTCTGCATCATCTTTTGGGCTGCGGCGATACAACGCCCCCCAGCCCCGCGGCCCAGCCTCGGGGCAGCCATGGACTCGCAGGAATTGAAGGTGACCGGGCGGGCGGGCGGAGCTCCTTTGCGGCCTGTTGGCCCAGGGGCGCGGAGGGAGCTCGGGTGGCTTCCCTAGGCCGCTGTTTCTCTGCGATGCCCCGGCCGCTCGGGTTGCAGGGTGGGCCTGCAGCCTCTGCCTACGGCAGGTCTCCGCGGGCCCTGCTGGGGAAGCCCAGGTCTGGGCAGCCCGCCCGCGCGCTGTTTCTGAATTGCTGCTAGTCCCCATGCTGTTGGTTGTGTTTACTTTTGCATCATATTTACTAGGAAAGCTTGGGTTACCTATGACACTGCGCCTCCAGGTGCGATTTTTAAGGTCTTAAGGCAAACTAGTGTCAGCTCCCACACTGGACAGTAAAAAGAGCCCAGAAAGATATATTATAGGAAACCCATTAAAGACGTGAGACTTAAAAGTGGAGGAGTCGTTATTTTAGGGTGATGGTCTAATCTGTTTATCACTGACTCATCCATTCAGCAATGACGGTCAACTTAAGAAAGGCTGATATAAAACAGTTAAAGACACGAGGCTTGAAAATAAAATAACTTTTCGGATGTTGGTCTTCCCTATTCATTTGTTCACTGAATCACTCGTTCAGCAAATATTTATGAAGGGTTTACTGTATGTCCATTAGAAGCTGGAGATGGCAGTGAGCGAAACTGAACAGTTTCTGCCTTCTCAGATTTTACAGGCTAATTAATGCTGGGGAAAAACCCGAATTCAGTTGACTCAACAAGTATCTGTCGAATGCCTCCTATGTATCTAGCACTGTTCTACGCACTGAAATAATAAAACCAAGAAAAACTCTTCCAATCTTGGAGCTTACGTTTGAGTAGGAGGAGTCAGACAACAAATAGGTAAATAAGATGTGTATCCTGTGAGATGGTGATAAGTGGATGGAGGACAATTTGGCGGTGCGGGAGGTTAGGGAATGCTGAAATGTCTTGTTTTTCTGCCTGAAGTTTTACATTATCCTCTGTTCTAGCTATCCCCCTATATCCTTAAATTTTTTCATTCCCTTAAATGTATTCTTTGCACTGCCACCCAAATGAACTTTCTAATAAAAACACTTTAATGTAAAAATGGGGTTCCTCATCACTTAGACTTGAGGATCAAGCCCAAGTACTTAATGTGAGGCTCTTCATCCCACCTTCCTCTCCAACCTCATCATCCAATACTCTCTGTCTTACTTAAGCCTCCAGAGCAGGGAATGGCAAACTTTCTCAACAAAGGGCCAAATAGTACACATTTTAGACTTTATGTACCATATGTACCTATTTGGCCATTGTCATTCAAAACAGCCATAGACAATACTTAAATGAGCATGGCTGTTTCAATAAAACTTTATTTATGAACACTGAAATTTGACTTTCATGAATTTTCACGTTATGAAATATTTTTCTTTTTTTTTTTTCTTGACAGCTGGAAAATATAAAAACCATTCTTAGTTCACTGGCTGTACAGCCAGCCAGCCAGATATGGCCCACAGCCTGTAGTTTGCCAAACCGTGCTCTAGAGTATGGAGTGGCTTTTACTCATCTTCATCACCACTACCCTCCCAATGTACCATTGATGATTTCTTATCTGTGTTGTTGCAGTTCCTCTTCCTAACTCCTATACCTTCCTCAAGAATCATGAAAAGAAAATAGAGTGTATATGTGTGTGAAGGGAGAGTGAGGGGTTTGCAATTCAAGAGTCAGCTCTGAAATCCTCCCCAATAATCTTTCCCTTGATTTTAGTCATCCATCCTCCCCTCACGCCACATTCAGTTTTCAAAGCTGTCCAAATGTTACTATCCCACATGCCCAAAGCAGTTTAGAAGCTCTTTTCTTACATTTACTACATTGTATTTCAGTTAGTCTTCAGATTACAGTCTCATCTGAAAAATATAAGTTTTTTGGGGGGACAGGAACCGTGTCTTACTCATCTTTCTATTCATAGTACCTAGCCCAGTGCCTGGGTACTAGTAGGCAGTCAGTAAATGTTTTGGATTGAACAATCTAACCTGAACCAAGGCAGTGGCACTAGGTATGTTTAGTGGGAGTTAGACTAGAGAAATAGAAGAACCTACTGAGTGGTTCGACTTAGAGAGACTTGGCAAATAGGAAGAGAGGATTCATGAGTAACAGAGTACCTGACTTGGGTAGCAGGTGGAAAATGGAAATACGAATCTGGAACATAGAGAAGAGGTCTTGGCAGGACACATTTTTTTTTTTTATTCCATTAACATATGGGATCAGAGGAACTTATTTTTTTCAGAATAGAACTCTTATACTATGATATCTTAATTAATTCTCACAGTGACCTGTATATTTGCATTACTAACAGCATTTTATAAATGAGCAGACTGAGGCATTGTAAGAAGGACTAGAGATTTGAAGCCAGGTCTTTTTGCCTTTAAATTCCTGTCCTTTTTATGGTTCTATGCCACTGCCTTTCAGGAGGATTATAGATGCTTAGTGATAGTGTGCAGAAGTCAAGTAACGTATTAAATGTGTCCTTAGTTGTGGCAAAGTAAGAGGTCATTTTGCAACTTTAGGGAATGGAGCATTGAAGGAAAACTGCGCTTCACTGAAGTGTGTTGTGGGGGTCTGGAGATGGGGTGTAGATCACACTTTTAAGAAACGTGGCTAAAAAGGAGAGTAGGGAGCAGTGATCACAAGGAGGGAGGCAGAGTAAAATTACAGAGAACGGTCACCTAACTGATCTAGAGAAGTACATGGACTATAGCCCTCCAAAATCAAGAGACGATATACAACAGAGCTGTCGGACGGGCGTGGTGGCTCACACCTGTAATCTCAGCACTTTGGGAGGCCTAGGTGGGCGGATCACTTGTGGTCAGGAGTTCAAGACCAGTCTGGCCAACATGGGGAGCCCCATCTCTACTTAAAAATACAAAAATTAGCCAGGCGTGGTAGTGCGTGCCTGTAGTCCCAGCTCAGGAGGCTGAGGCAGGAGAATCGCTTAAACCTAGGAGGCAGAGATTGCAGTGAGCAGAGATTGCGCCACTCCAGCCTGAGTAACAGAATCTCAAACAAAACAAAACAAACAAACAAAAAAACCAGAGCTGTCTAGACACCCTTAGATTTCAGTCGTGTCACTTAGTTACTGTATTTCTCACTGCTACTGAACAAGCTGTAGAGTACAGGTAGGTAGGAGGTATGGGGTGGCCCAAACTGCTTTCTGGTGAATCAGGTGTATCGTAGTGATGGCGGGAAAGTGTAGTTTCTGTCTTTGATTAGGTTAGCAACCAAGCCTTAGACATAATCCTAAGAAAAATGGTAGATAGCACAGGCCCATTTTTATTCAGAAGTTAGTAGGTCCTGATAGTTTTGTCTTGTATATGGAAATAATATAATTTTGGAAAAAGCTTAAAGACAACCATTTTCATTGAAAAATAGTTTATTTATTTTTAACTGACAATTTATTTGTCACAGAACTCAAAGCCAAGTAAGATAACATTTGATGATATGTTGAAGAATTTAATTTGTCATTACTTTGTAATGCTGTAATAAAATACTGGATATTTTGAAAAGAAGGTTTTTTTTTTTTAAAGAAACCTATGGTCTGGCAATGGAAGCCTTTTGTCTTTTTTTTTTATTTTAATTTTTATTGTTTTAGTTCATGTTTATTGTCTGCCTTTCTGTTTTCTAAAACATTCAAGAAAATGTGGGCAAAGGAAAAATGGCGAAAGCAGCCTCATTTCGATGCTGTTAACAAAAACTTTAGGAAAAAGGATTTAAATTATTAGAAAACATTGAATTATTTCAGAAATTTTATGATCATTCAGTTCTGCAATTCTTAGCATTGAGTTCTAGCCATTAACAGTATTTTAAGAAACCTGGAAGAAAAAAGTCACATTGCCTAAATTTTACATTATTCTAGATGTTAGATTAATATCTGCTTCTTAAGAGTATTTCAGAGCACCAGAATTCCTTTATAATATTTTTTCATTATTTCCATTTAGACTTTGATTAATTACTATTGTCAAGAGAGATATTTCCATCATGTGTTACTGGTTGCCAGTGAAGGAATTAAGAGGTATGGAAGTGATCCAGTCTTCAGGTTTTATCATGCCTATGGCACATTAATGGAAGGTACGTGTTAATCATTAAACATGTTCCATCAGTTTTGAATTCTTGCTTTGTACTAAGAACAGTTTTTCATATCATAATCTTGATTTTCAGGTAAAACTCAAGAAGCTCTTCGAGAATTTGAGGCTATTAAAAATAAACAAGATGTATCACTTTGTTCTCTAATTGCACTGATATATGCCCATAAAATGAGTCCTAATCCAGGTATGGTATTTAAATACAATGCTTAGGACAATTTTTCCTATTCAGTTTATTTTGATTTTTCTCAGTTATCAAGTCATTCAGTCTGATCACACTATATTATGTATTTTCAATAGATATAATTTATACTATATTTATCTTCCTGATAAGGGTATAAATTCATCAGGCACAAGAAATGTGTCTTCTACTACTTTCGTGTTCTTTATATCCTACGGCAGAGATTTCATCAGTACATAGGGATTTTTTTTAGACAACTTAAAGGAGAATGTATATTAGTAATTGTTATACCAAAAAACAGGTACTGTATATGCATAAATTGCTCTGCAGCAGCCAAGTTTACAACTTATGTGCAAATATACAGCCAATGCAGTTTATTTCTGTATATTAAGCTTCTTGAGAGCCTTAAAACCCTTTATGAGGGCTATATCTTGAGAGATTCTCAGCAAATTTTTATGCAATAGTAGGTTGACTAGATTATAGAAGGAAATTTATACATAAACCAGCAATTAAAGTTGTGTAAACTGCCAGGCTAAGTGGCTCAAACCAGTAATCCCAGGAACTCGGAAGGCTGAGGTGAAGGATTACTTGAGCCCAGGAGTTCGAGGCCAGCCTGGGCAACATAGTTAGACCCCCATCTCTAAAAAAACAGAAAATAAAACATAAAGTTATGTGAACTGTCTTAATGTATAGTTAACTTAATGGCGAAGGCAGAAGAGTTTCCCAATTATATGTAATAAAGAAGAAGTAGTGTTATATTCTTCCATATATATCCAGTAACAGCTAATAGGATTGTAAATATAGATTGTGTTTCAAAAAATTAGATAATAAACAAAAGTCGTAGACTGGTTCCTTGAATATTAGATGAGACTTTTTTCTAAAGTCAAGTATGGCATACCTCCTTCACACATATGCAAATCAATACAAAGTTATTTAAAACATGTAAATATGTGCTTAATTTATCCAAGAAACTATGCCTAATACAGTGAGAAGCTACAAAAGAATTGTAATAATTGGTTCATGCCATCAAGTTGGTAATCTAGTGGAAAAAACAAAATGTAAAAACCACAAACATTAAATTCCAGTGTTTCTATTAAATAATACAAAATGAAACAAATGAGTTTATAATTAATTGAAGTTGATATGCACTATTAATTTGGAAGAGTAGGCTGAGAAGGCTTTTGAAAGTTTGCACCTTAATCTGATCTTTGAAGGACTGGTAGAATTTGAATATGAAGAGTATTGGCCAGAGAGGAGAAATGGATGGGCAAATACATGGAAGTGGTTCAGGTTTAGGCTCTTCTGTGGATCCCCTTTCTCCATACTCCAGTGGGAGTGTGTTTAGCTAGAGCAGAGAATTTTCATGGGAGAGCTGTAGTCAGTATAAATAAAAGAAATTAGTAAAAAAATAATTTCTTTTTAGAATCAAGTTTTTATTTAATTGGTTATTCTTACCAGTGTTGATTCTGTTGGAAACTGATTTGCAGGACACTGAAACGATGGAATCAGAAATACTGTTTAGAGGAACCTGAGTGCTAACTCTACTTTGCACCAAGGATGATACTGAATGGACTTGAACTCTAGTAGGGGCCCAGATGTCTGTAAATACCACCTAGGAAACTCCTAGATTGTTAGTATACATTGTTCCAGGATGCCTATGTAAACCCTGCTTATAAAAAAGCTGAGATCTGGCAACAGCTTTGTGCAGACAGTGTTAGAGCTAATTGATACCTCATTAGGGACGTGATGGAAAGCTGAGTAGGAAAGATTTCCTGTACAATGCCTGCTCCTGCCTGGTAAGGTTTTTTTGTTTTGTTTTGTTTTTGTTTTTTTTCCTCTTTTTCCATTTCTGTATCATGGCTGTTTAATGAACGCTTCTGAAGGGGTTGTAGGGATGGGGAGTGGGGAGAGGAGAAAAGGGTCTTCTTGCTAAGCAATCTGTAGACTTACAGAAACAGTTTTGTTTCCTTAACTTGTTATATTGTACCTTGTTAATTTCACATTTAAATTTGTATCATTAGAGTTGAAAGGAAGAGTCACATACCTTTCTCCTTGGTAGCCATTCCTGGAAGATAGAACTGTTGGAATCACGGGCCTCAACTTACATTTCTTCTTCCTCATTGCATGGCTGATTCAGATTCTGATTCCATCCAGGGTTTGGGTATAATTGACTTCTGTGTCCTAAGCAGATACTTTATATATATATATATATGTATATGTGTGTGTGTGTGTGTATATATGTGTGTATATATATGTGTATATATATAGAGAGAGAGAGAAAGCAGGAGAGAGAGAGAGTATATAGATTTAATGTAAGTGAATAGAGTTATCTATTTAAGGGAGCAGTCAGTATTAAACTACATCAGCAATTACGCCATCTTTTTACTGGCCCATAACAGTAACTGGCATGTTTATATATTTTAGAATTGTATTTAAGAAGTATTAATACTTTGAGTACCAGTAGTGGACCTGTTCCTAATAATTGTGATTAGAACCATTATACATTTTTACAAGTCTTATTATTAAAAAATATTAGCCTATACAGCCTTTCTATTTTGGAAATGATGTAAACTCTATAGCTGTATTGTGCATTGCAGTGATCCTTGACCATATACCTCCTCTGTTGCCCAGACTGGAGTGCAGTGGTGCGATCTAGGCTCACTGCAACCTCCACCCCCCAGGTTCAAGCAATTCTCCCTGTCTCAGCCTCCCAAGTAGCTGGGATTACAGGCACCCACCACCACACCCACCTATTTTTTTTTTTTTCTTTTTTCAGTTGGGGTTTCACCATGTTGGCCAGGCTGGTCTCAAACTTGTGACCTCAGGTGATCCACCCACCTCGGCCTCCCAAAGTGCTGGGATTACAGGTGTGAGCCACCATGCCCGGCCATATACAGCTTTTTTAGTAAGTTTGAGGAACTGAATTTAAAATTTGATTTAATTCTAATTAATTTACTTTTTAAATTTAAAAATGATACTTGATTCAGTTATTAGAAAACTTATTTCGCAATAACTTGAGTCTAAAAATCTGCTTTTCAGCCATAAGTTTTATGAAAACTACAAATCAAGTATTTTTGAATAAAATGTAGCCTTTTTTTTTTTTTTTTTTTTTTTTTGAGTCAGAGTCTTGCTCTGTCACCCAGGCTGTAGTGCAGTGGCGTGGTCTCGGCTCACTGCAAGCTCTCTGCCTCCCAGATTCGTGCCATTCTCCTGCCTCAGCCTCCCCAGCAGCTGGGACTACAGGTGTATGCCACTGCACCTGGCTAATTTTTTTTTTTTGCATTTTTAGTAGAGACAGGGTTTCACCGTGTTAGCCAGGATGGTCTCGATCTCCTGACCTCGTGATCCACCTGCCTCAGCCTCCCAAAGTGCTAGGATTACAGGCATGAGCCACCGCGCCCAGCCAAAATTTAGCATCTTAATTGTGATGTGCTGTTAGTATGAAATACCACATTTCACAGTTAGTAAGAAAAAAGCATGCAAAATATCTCATTAATTTTTCTATCGATGATGCATTGAAATTATATCTTAGATATATTAGCTTAAATAAAACATTAAGATTAATTTTAATTGTTTCCTTCTATTTCTTTGATAGGGCTACTAGAAAATTTTAAGTTATATATATATATGGCTTGCATTTTATTTCTATTAGACAGTACCACTATAGAGAGAAGTAAATTTTTTGCCTTGTTAATTATCTGACCTTTTATAAATACTTGATCCAGAATTTAATTTTTATTTAATATCATTTTCCCCTCCCAGATAGAGAAGCTATTCTGGAATCAGATGCCAGAGTGAAGGAACAACGTAAAGGAGCTGGAGAGAAAGCCTTATACCATGCAGGCTTATTTTTATGGCACATTGGTCGCCATGATAAAGCAAGAGAATATATTGACAGAATGATCAAAATGTCAGATGGTAGTAAACAGGTAGCTATTTTTCTGATTTTAAAATAATAACATTAAAAATGCTTACGTTATTGATCTATCCAGTAGTATCTGTGGTTTAGTTCTTTATTATTGTCCACTCTATTGCCACTTTGTAAATGACAGCTTTATTTTAACCCATTTATGGTTATTGATATGGTTAATAGTGTATTATAGAATAGGGATTCTCTAAGGTTAGTTTTATGCTACTAACTCTTAAATGATCCCTGCCTGGTTCCTTCCCTCTGTTTTTCTCTTTCTTTTTTTCTTCCTTTTTTTTCCTTCCCTCTATATTTTGCTCTTTCCTTTTCTCCCTCTCTCCTTATTGAACAGCTGTAGATACAAGGCACCATTATTTGTAGTGTTAATAATGTAAAGGAAAATAATATATAAACTTCACTTTCATGAATGAATAATCCAGTAGTGGCATAGAGCACATCCCCAGCTAATATTGTGAGAAAAATGATAGATGATATGAGAGATATGTGATTAAAGTATGCAAGAAAATAATAGCTAACATACATTGCTTGCTTACTTTGTGCTAGGCACTGTTTTAAATTAAGGAGAGATAACATGCATAAGTGTTAAGAGAATGTGAAAGAATTTTTTTGAAGGAACTAGCATTTGAACTAAAACCTGAAAGGAGGATACAATTTCAACAGGCAAAGATTATGGAAAAGGGAAGTAGATACTCCCAAGGTGAGAAATAATAGATGGAAATGAGACATGTTACTTCAGTGTACACTGAGATACTCATATTTGATGGAACATAGGATACGTTGGTAATGAGCAGGGAAGAAAAGCTTGGAGAAGTAGACTGAGACAAATTGAAGGATCTTGACTGCTAGTTAGAAATATTTGTGTCTGATTTGACATTCTTTGAGAGGCTACTGAAGACTTTTAATTATGGTAGTGATTTTATTAGAGTGCAAATCCAGAAGATTAATTTAACAATGGTTTCTTGGATGAAGTGGCTTGAGGATAAACTGAAATGCAGCAAAAATAAAAAAGATAGTACTTTCTTGCAGAAGGTTTTGAGGCATGACACTAAAATATTGTGCAGTGAGTACAAAGTTCAGAATTTTTAAATTACCCACAGGACCTGTGAACTGATGATAAATAGTTGGGAAAAATAACAAGTTGTCATGTATTAGAATGTCTTTGAGGCTTTCAGCCTAAATAAATTAGAGACCAGTTAGCATAAATAGAAAATACATTGGCGTAAGAAACTAATCTTAAAGGGAAGTGATCTGACTTAAGACATGCTGTATTTCTGGTTCTGGCAGAACAGTAAGATGGAGATAACAGATGAATTTCTGGAAAAATAAAAATTTAGAAGAGGTTTTGGGCTAGAAATATAGGTTGGGAATCATCTACACAGAGACAATAGTTAAAACCATTCAAATAATGGCACTGATTTAGTGCATAGCATTGGTTAAGGTTCTGATCTGTATTTTCAGGTGAAATACAGGGAGGTGTATATAGTCTTGGTTAAACATTTATAAATTTGTCAGTTAACCTAGATTTTTTAAATAGAAGAGCATATTTCACAGTTTTTTATTTGACCTTAAACAGAAAAATAACCAGTTTTTGTCTTCTTTTCAATCCTGTGTGTCTTACAACCCATTGGCCCACTGACTTGTGTAAAGATAAATATCCATGAGTTCTTCAGTTTTAATGTTTCAGGCCGTTCACCTGTCATTTGAAATTCAATGGACTAATCAAAGAAGTTAAGAAGATAGTTGCCAGATCATCTGAATGTTTAGGATATGTGAAGCAAGACATCTTCTGTTATTTCATCTTAGTTCATTTAGACTGTTTGCTCAAAAAGAGACAACAAATTCTCATCTATATATTGAATTACATGTTTAAGTGTTATTATTCATCAATTACTAGCAAAGTCTCAGAGAAAATAATGGTTTTAACACTAATGGAATATTTGATAAGCTTCTTAATTTTAATATTGAGCTCAATAGTAATGTTAAAGGCTGAAATTTGTAATATAGTTCCCAAGACACTAGGCTGGCAAGGGTTCAAAAGTGATTTCACTAACAGAATTTTATTGTTCATAACATATTTGTTAGAGTCCTTTTTGTTATTAATTGCCAGAAAAATGACAGTAGGCTCTTTCATTAACATTTATTTATTTTCATTTCTAAAGAAGTAAAAATAGAATTATTCATTTTACAGGGACACGTTTTGAAAGCATGGCTTGATATTACAAGAGGAAAAGACCCTTACACTAAAAAAGCACTGAAGTATTTTGAAGAGGGACTCCAAGATGGGAATGATACTTTTGCTCTGCTGGGTAAGGTGAGTTGGAGTTAGGGTAAATAAATCATGTTTCAAAATGTATTCATAATATATTTGAAACCTGACAAAACCAAGTAGCTCAAAAAAGTTGATAATTTTCATGATGCTGTTGTCAGCTCACAGCTGTAAGGTGGACTGGCATTTGTATAAGACGATGAGCAATACACTAGAGAAATGTTTTCCCTGCCAAAGTTCCTGAATCCTGGATCAGCTGTAACTGTTATTGTTGTTGTTATTTTGGTTCAGACATTCTTTCCTCAGCATTTATCATGTGTCTTATGTATGTGAGGTGTCCCTTTAGATACTAGAAACCCTGAGCAAGAGAAAACCTGTTTTTATGGAGCTTGTATTCTACTGATGGAGGGAGACAATAAACAAAATAATTAAGTAAGTTATATAATATATTAGAAGGTGGTAAGTACAATGGAAAATACAGCTGTAAAAGCTGGGGCATGAACTTCCAATTTTACATGAAGTGGTCAGAGAAAGTGACATTTGAGCAAAGACATTTAAGGAGGTGAGGGTTAAAGCCCTCCAAGCATCTTGGGGAAAGTATTTCAAATAGAGGAGATGATGAGTTCAGGTACCTTAAGGCGTATTCAGGGTTAGCAAGGAGGCCAAAGTGGATTGAATAAAGAGAACAGAAGTGAAGGCCTGAGGAAGAAAGGTGGGATGGGGATGAGGAGGAGTGGTGGGCCTGTTCTGTGAGGCCTTTGGCTTCTACCTTCAATTAGAGAGACAGGCAGCCAATACAAAGTTTTGAACAGAGAAATAACATGATTGGACATACATTTTGAGGGATGAGTCTTTAGAACTCATTGATGGGTGGAAATATTTAATTAGGACCCTTTCTTCCATCCCCATTGATGCTTTCTAAATGCCTTAATTTTTTTTTTTTTGACTCAGCAAAAAGAAATTATGAGTTGGGAACAACAGTCTGTTAGATAAGCAGTAATTTGGAGGGATAAAAAAGAAAGGGGAGAGGATTCATGTGTTGACTTTTGTTGATGTCTCCACATCACTTTTCCTGTCACTTTGTGTGGACAGTAAGCCCGTTGGACATCTTGTTCAGGCCTCAAGTTTTACCTAATGGCACTGCTGTAGAAATTGGCCATACACTTGTCTTGATCATTTTTCTTCTCTTAAAGAAAAGCTGTTGGATAAAAATTTGCCTCATCATCTCTTTTTAATGTACTAACTATATTTATAGCTTTATTTTTTCTGACTATGAAAGTAATAAATGAACATAGTAAAACTTTTTTTAGAAAATACAGTAACATCTGAATGACAAAATGAACATCACCATTGGAAATAAACAGTTAAACTATTATATATAATATCTCTTCATGTCAGTAAATATACATCTACAAATTTAGGTCATCATTTTTAATGATTACTTAACATTTTATTAAATAGATATACTATAATTTTCTCCTCTAGGTACATTTGGGATTATTTTATACATAAACAATTCTGCCATAAATATCATCTATATACTTCCTTGTGGTCTTTTCCAGTTATTTCCTTCAGATAATTCATAGAAGTGAAAATGTTGAAGTAGAGGGATTTATTTGAACTTTATTTTGCTTTTTCTTTAAAATCGTATATTCTTTAACCTGAAAATAATTTCTTAAAAAGATGCAAAATTTCTAAAATTTCTTAAAATTTTAGATACCACTTGAACATTTCCTGGAAACATTTTAATCTAAAAAGACAATTTTCCTGTTCTAAATGGAAACATTATTTTATGGTATTTCCAAGAACATTTTTAAAAATTTTATCCTTTAATCATGTTTTTCAGCCATTTAAAAGTAAATTTTAAAACATAATAGTTTATATAATGTATTTGTATTATTCTGTGATGTTTTAAAATTTTGTTTTGACAAAAACTTACTGTTTCTCTCATTAAAAGTGATAACTGCTCCTCACAGAAAAGTCAGTAAGTATTAAATGCTCATACTCTGCCTGCTCTGCACCTTTTTTTCTCTTCCATTAGGCACAATGCCTTGAGATGCGCCAGAATTATTCAGGTGCCCTGGAGACTGTGAACCAGATAATCGTGAACTTTCCAAGCTTCCTTCCCGCTTTTGTTAAGAAAATGAAATTACAACTAGCCTTGCAGGATTGGGACCAAACAGTTGAGACAGCACAACGGTTAAGTAATAAAAGTTGACACAAGTCTCTTTGGATTTGGTTATAATTTTGAGAAAAAGCGAAATCTATGTGAATTTTTTTCATAAGAGTTTTTAAATTTGATTGTTTTCAAACAGTGTGGAACCAAGAAAATACTTAAAGTCACACTGCTTTTAAACATTGAATTTATTGATTTACATAAATATTTGATTCCTGTTTTAAGACAGACACTCCCTTTAGGCAAACAGACCAATATCCCTGTGGTCATGAAGCTTCTATTCAAGCGAGAGGAACCATATACTAAGCGTACCAAATAAGTATATTCTGTAGTATGTGTTAGAAAGTATAAGTGCTACGGGGGAAGGATAAACCAAGAAAGAGATGGGGAGTGTTGAGGAGTTCGGTCTTATGGGATGGTCATGGACGGCTGAGACCTTTGAGCCATCTTCTAAAGAAGGTAAGGGAGTAAGCCATGCAGATGTTTGAGGGAAGACTTTGCAGAAAGAAGGAAAAGCAAATGCGGAGTCCCTGAGGTGGGAGCACATGTCATATGTTTGAGGAGTGGGAAGGAGTAAGAGAGGTGAGTAGGGTGTGAGGTCTGAGACAAAGGGTGGGAGTGATCCCGTGCTAGATGATGAAGGGTCTTGTCAGCCGTATAAGGATTTGAGGTTTTCTTCTGAAGCATGAGGTTACTGGAGGGTTTTGAGTAGAGGAATGCCATCATTTAAATTCTGTTTTAAAAGAATCACTCTGCCATGTGCAAAACAGACTGGGCGAGCAGGCAAAGGCAGAAGCAGGGAGAACCTTTTGAAAGCTGTTGCCATCATTGAGAAATGGTGGGGGCTGGCCCAGTATAGTTGTGGAAGTGCTTTGAGAAGTGATTGGAATCTGAGCCTGTAGCAATTTTGTTTAGGAGTAAGAGAAAGAATAGTTTAAGGTGATTCCAAGGTTTGTGGCCTGAACTACCAGAATGACAACAACAATGATGATAATGAACTGTTGTAAAGTGTTCAGAGTGCCTGGCTCATAGGAAGTGCTATCTATTTATTCCCAGGGTAACCCTAAGAGGAAGGTACTATTAGTATTTCTGTTTTACAACTGAATAGACTAAGGTACAAAGAGGTTGAGAAGTTTCTCCAAAGCCACACAGTTACTTAGTGGTGGAGTCAGGATTCAAATCCAGGGCACTCTAGTCCCAGACTCTGTGCTCTTACCCACTACTTGTACTAGAGGATGCAGTTTGCTTCAGCTGCACAGGATGATTATGGAAAAAGAAGGTTTTAGGGCAGGGAAGGAGTTTAGCCTTCAACATTGTAATTTCGAAATGCCTATGAGAAGTCAAAGTAGAGATGGATGTATGGGCAGGCAGCTGTATGTCTGAATCTGGAGTTCTCGAGAGAGGCCTAGGCTATAGCTAATATTTTGGAGTCACTGACACATAGATGTGATTTAAAGGCATGAGATCAAGAATAAATGTATTTGAGTCACAAATCAATACTTTCTAATGGATGAATTCATGTCACTTAATACTGAAATCACAGAAAAGTAAATTTCATAGGTAATACAAATATACCTTTAAAATCAGAATGTCTTAATAGAACTTCTCATGCAAACAATAGGCAAGATCCTTTCAAGATACAAATGAAGTATAAATTGCATAGAAAGTCACCTTTACTTCAGTGTGGATCAAGGTTTATAGTCTTAGAATCTTCAGAATAAGTGACTTGCAAGCATGTCTAACTTTCATCCATATCTGACAAAATATTAATGGCTATCTCAGGACCGAACATCTTGGTAACATCTTTGCTAAGATCATCTATCATTTATTATGAAGAATTTCAGATTTATGTAAAAGCAGACAGAATAGCATCATGAGGTACTCTTATCTGTTTCCTACCCCCAGCTACCATCACCACATGACTAAACCCCCGTTTGCTTCCTGGGTTTAATTTTCAGTTTGAAGCAAATTCAAAACTCTGCATCATTTCATTTGTAAATATCACAAGATGCATTGAAAAAATAGGATAATTCTTTTCCCTCTACAACATGACAATGTCATTATCACATATAAAAAATTAAAAATAGTTTTTTAATATCAAATATCCAGTGTTCAAATTACCAATAGTCTCAAATATTGTGTTTTTTAAATAAATTACTTTTTAATCAGAATCCAAATCAGTCTACATATTGTGATTGGTTTATATCTTTAAAGTCTCTAGGCTCTCTCCCAGTCTCTGTAAGTTCTTTCTCACTCTTTCTTTCTCTCTCCCTTCCTATCTCTCTCCTTCCCCTCTTCCCTCTCCCTCCCTCCTTCTTCCTGCCTTCCTATTTCCCTGTTTCCCTTCTCTTTTTCTTCTTGCCTTCTTTTTAAGGTAAAGAAACCAGTGTTTTGTCCTGTAGCATTTTCCATGATCTGGATTTTGTTGTTTGTCTGCCATGGTGTAGTACAACTTGTTGCTTTATCCTCTGTAGTTGGTGGTTGGATCTGGAGGTTTGGTTAAATTCACATTCAGTTTTGTTGTTTTGGCAATTACTTCATGAGTGGTACTGTTGTGTTTCATCACAGTGACAGAATGTCTGCTTGTCTCTCTCTTTTTGTGGTATCAGCAGTTATTCATGCTCAATACCTAAGTGCTTGATTCTTAGGGATTATAGTAGGATTACATTTGAATTCTATCATTCTTTCTTTGTTTCTTAGCTAGAATACCTATAAAGAAAAACTTCTCATCTCCTGGTTACTTACTGAGTGGTGTAGTTCATATAAGAAAAATAGGATAAGGTGCTTAAGTCTTTTCCTTTATTTCCAGGTTTAAAAAAAAAATGCCAAGAATTCCTTAGCATCCTTCATTGGTAATTGATTAGTGGCTTAGGTTTGTTTGTTTTACATGCCATGGATTTAGATGAGTGCTTCTGGACATTTCAGTCATTATAATTGTACAGTCTTATCTCTGACTATTAGGAGCTTCTTCAAGTTGTTCTTAAGTCCTTTTGACACGATCCTAGTAGTCTTTGATAGTTACTTTGCTATTTGGTATGACAAGCTGTCCAGGCTCATTTTGTGTATTACTTCCCCAAGTAGGTACCAGTCATTTGTCCAGGGCAATCTAATCTCTTTTAGTGTGAAATGATATTTGAAGGCCACAATTTGGGCACTAGTAATTTTTTGATGTATGTATCTGTCAAGATTTTTTTTTCTAGGTGCTGTGTGTGTGTGTGTGTGTGGTTTCTATATATTTTTAAAATATGTTTATATTTTGAGGGTGTTTTAAAAGTAAGAAATAGACTCATAATGTACTTTTAAACTTGTTTTTCTCTTTAAGAGAGTGTTCCATAGATATCATTTTATACCTATTCACATAGATACACCAAATTGTTTTTTAATAAACAGTATTTTTAGGGTACTTTTATACTCACAGCAAAATTAAACAGAAGGTACAGAGATTTCCCATACATTCCTGCCTCCACACATAGATAGTCTGCCTAATTATCGACATCTCCCACCAGAGTGGTACATTTGTTACAGTGGATGAACTTACACCATAGTCACCTAAAGTCCCATCATTTATATTACAGTTCACTTTTGGTGTTGTACATTCTAGTGGTTTGGACAAATGTGTAATCACATGTATCCACCATTATAGTATGATACAGAATATTTCTACTTCCCTAAAAATTATCTTTATTGTGTATCCACTGTATATCCCTCCATCTCCCCAACTCCTTGCAATCACTGCTCTTTTTACTGCCTTTATAGTTTTGTCTCTTCTAGAGTGTCTATAATATAGAATAATGCAATATGTAGCCTTTTCAGATTGACTTCTTTCATTTAGTATTATGCATTTAACTTTCTTCCATGTCTTTTCATGACTTGATAACTCATTTCTTTTTAGTACTGAATAATATTTCATTGTTTGGATGTACCACAGTTTATCCATTGAAAGGACATCCTGATTGCTTCCAAATTGTGGCATTTATGAATAAAGCTACTATAACCTTGTGCAGGTTTTTGTATGGGCATCAGTTTTCAACTCCTTTGGATCAAATACCAAGGAACATAATTGCTGAATCATATGGTAGGAGTATATTTAGTTTTGTAAGAAACTGCCAAACTATCTTCCAAAGATGTTATACAATATTATATTCCCACCAGCAATGAATGAGAGTTTCTCTTGCTTTAAAACATCTGCATCAGCATTTGATGTTGCCAGTGTTCTGGATTTTGGCCATTCTAATGGGTTTCTAGAGGTATCTCATTGTTATTTTAATTTTAATTTGCATTTCCCTGGTGATATGACGTGGAGCATTTTTAAATATGCTTATTTGCAGTCTGTATATCTTGTTTGGTTAGGTGTCTGTTAAGGTCTTTGGCCCATCTTTTAATTGGTTGTTTGTTTTCTTATTCTTTGGATTAAAGAGTTCTCTGTATATTTTGGAAAACCATCCTTTATCAGGTATATCTTTATCTGATAAATATTTTCTCCCAGTCTGTGGCTTGTCTTTCACAGAGCAGAAATTTTTAATTTTAATGAAGTGCAGCTTATCACCTCTTTCTTTCATGAACTATGCCTTTTGTGTTGTATCTAAAATGTCATCATCAAACCATAGGCCATCAGATTTTCTCCTGTATTATCTTCTAGAGATTTTATAGTTTTATGTTTTACATTTAGCTCTGTGATCTATTTCAGATGGATTTTTGTGAAGAAGGTGAGGTCTGTATCTATATTCATGTTTTCCATGTGGATGTCCAGTTTTTCCAGTGCCATTTATTGAAAAGAGTGTCTTTTCTCCATTGCATTGTCCTTGCTCTTTTGTCAAAGATCAGTTTACTATCTATATGGGGCTATTTCTGTGATTTCTACCCTGTTCCATTGACCTGTTTGTTCTTTCAACAATACCACACTACTGTCTTGATTACTGAAGCTTTATAGTAAGTTTTGAGGTCAACTAATGTCAGACTTCTAAATTTGCTCTTTTCCTTCAATAGTATGTTGCTGTTCTGGGTTTTTTTTTGCCACTCTGTATAAACTTTAGGATCAGTTTGTCAATATCCACAAAATAACTTGCTGGGATTTTGATTGGGATTGCATTGAATGAGTTTATAGATCAAATTGGGAAGAACTAACATCTTATATTGTCTTTGCATCCATGACATGGAATCTCTCTCCCTTTATTTGGTTTTTCTTTGATTTCTTTTGTCAGAATTTTAAAATTTTCCTCATAGACATCTTGCACATATTTTGTTAGATTTGTGTGTACCTAAGTATTTTACTTTAAGGAGTGCTAATGTAAATGTTACTGTGTTTTTAATTTCATATACCACTTGTTCATTGCTAGACATAGGAAAGCAGTTGATGTTATATATTAACCTCATAGCCTACAATCTTGCTATAATCACTTGTTGATTCCAAGAGTTTTTTAAATTGATTCTTTTAGATTTTCTACATAGATGTTCATGTCATCTGTGAACATCTATTTATTTCTTCCTTTCCCTAATCATTTTAAAACTGAGTAGCAATCTGTGAATTGGAAACACAAATAATTTATTTAATCTCTCCCCATTGGTATGCACCTAAGCTGTTTCCAATTTTTCACTGTTCAGTATAGTGCGGTGTGCACACACGCATACACACATACCTCTTTGAACACAGGTAGGACTATATATGCAGAGAAGTTTCCCAAAGGAGAGATTGTTGAATCCAAGATACTGTATTTGTTAGGGTGGGCTAAGCTGCGACAAAAATAGATCTAAACATATAATGATTCAGTATAATAGAAGAATGTTTTCTCATATGTAACTGTTTTGGGTAAATGTTAGAAGTGATCAGGCAGCTTTGCTCCACACTGCTTTTAACAGACCTAGACTCCTTCCATCTTGCAATCCTGCCATCTCCCAAGACCTCATAACAGCTGGCAGAAAGGGAAAGATAATGTAGAGAAGTCATTCCACTTTTTATAAAAGCCCAGGCCCAAAAATGGAATGTATTATTTTATTTCACGTTGACCACCTCTAAATGCAAAGATGTCTAGGAAGTGTTGACTGGCCACGTGCCCAAGCAAATAAGGAGAGAATGGATTTGAGGAGATGACAAATTGTAGTCTCTGCCTTAAGTATATAAATTTAAAATTTTGATAGGCACTGCCACATTGCTCTCCTAGGAAATCGTACTAATTTACACTCCTACCAGTAATCTATTGAATGTTCCCTTACCTTATCCTCACCAATTCTGGCCATTTTCAGTGTGTGTGTTTTTTTGTTTTGTTTTGTTTTGTTTTGTTTTCCAAGCCATCTGAAACAGAGGTGTCTTATTTTTATTTTCATTTATTTTATTGTGTTGAGATTGAGCAACTTTTCATATGCTAAAAGGTCTTTTCTTTGGTATATAACTGGTTCTAAATATGCTTTTTTTTTTTTTTTTTAAGTGAACCTATTCTCTCCTTTTTGATGGACTCTGATAATTTTTATCGCAAGTTCTCCATCATGGTTTTTTGTTTTTTGTTTTTTTTTTTTTTTTAGAATCTTGCTCTGTTGCCCAGACTGGAGTTCAGTGGCGCAATCTTGGCTCACTGCAAGCTCGGCCTCCTGGGTTCAAGCGATTCTCATGCCTCAGCCTCCCGAGTATCTGGGATTACAGCCACCCATCGCCACGTCCTGCTAATTTTTTTGTATTTTTAGTAGAGACAGGGTTTCACCATGTTTCTCTTACAACTGTTTTGTTGTCTCTTTGTTTTGCTCTTGACTGTTATAATCAATTTACAAAATAATAAAAAAGAAACCATAGAAGATTTTGGTTTGAATTGCATTAAATTTGTAGTCATTTGTGGGAAAAAAAATTTTTCTTAACCAAAAATGAGCATTATTATATGAGGCCGCTATTGGTGTATAGCAAACAACCACAAATGTCAGGGCATATAATAATAAGTATTCTTTCCTCACATTTTTGTGGGTCATCAAGGGTCTGCTGATCTCAGGCAGGGCTTGGCTGGGGCCCTGCTTCAGTTCAGATCCAGCTGGGTGAGTGTGGCACATCATTGCAGTTTGGACTTTTGTCACCTCCAGGAGTGTATTCCCCTGGACTCACAACAAGTGGCAGCCGCTACTCAGAGGAAATTCTTCCTATACTGATAGCAGGTACAAGAGAACGAACAGAAATATGCAGTGCCTCTAAAATTTAGCCTGGTACACTGCTATTCCTGCCCACATTCCATTGGCCAATATAAGAAAAATGTCCAAGTCCCTAGTCAAGAAGCAGTAGGGTACACCAACTTTTGTAGTTAGTTACATGGCAGAAGACACGTACTCAGGGAGGGTTAAAAAACTAGAACCAGTAATTGTGATGTGTACCACATCATCCATGATAAGAGAAGTCTAAGGCGTTACCTTTTTGGTTCAGTTCTTTTGAAAAATGTCCCTGAATACAGTTTCATAGGAATTTTATAGCTTTTGCATGTTTCTTAAGTTTATGCTTGTTATTTTTTTCTTTTTGCTTTTTGTTCCATTTATTAATAGGATTTTTTAATGTAATATTTTCTCATTTGTTTTTATCACATAGGAATCTGTTGTTGTGAATAATATTAGTAGGTATTGTAATGTTTGACCCAGCTTTGCATTCCTGGAATTCCTGTAATAAATCAGCCTGGTTAAAGTGAATTATTCTTTTACTATGCTGTTATATATAGTTAGCTAATACTTTATTTAGGATTGCCACAAGATTTAATGAGACTAGTATAATCTATTCATATCTCTTAAAAACATATTAAAAATTAAATTCCAGAAACTTTTATTTGTTTAAATAATAAAGTTGATAAGTTTCACAAAGCAGATATCATTTTACTAATGAAAATTACTTATTTTGATCAGTGGAATAGTGAGGCAAGCAAACCAACTTTTCATGCCCTCAAATAAAAGAAAATATATAAATTTATTTTGACATTAACTAAATTGTTTTCCTGCAGGTTGCTGCTCCAAGATAGCCAAAATGTGGAAGCACTGAGAATGCAGGCACTCTACTATGTGTGTAGGGAGGGGGATATAGAGAAGGTAAGTGGCATTGTATTATTTAAGTTTCCTATATTAAAAAATATATTTCATTACACATACACACCCACATACACACACACACGTGTGTGCATGTGCATATACATTAAAGCCTTGAAGTTCTCTTTTAGACTATATGTCATGGTAGTTTTTAGTTGATTATGAGACTATACCTTAACAAAGAAGTCAGCTTCTGAAATCTATTAGTAAAGCAAAAATATTATACGATTAACATTACCCTTGAAAATCCCTTAAATCATTAATTATAGTATATATGGCTTTCTGTATGAAACTCCTGTGTATGATTAATGTAACCAGTGATACTAGATATGAAAAAATATGTATGCAAAATGTAATTTATGGTATATTTACAATTTAACTGAATTTGCAAAAATTAAATGGGCTTAGGATAAAATCCCATTGTACCTTATAATAAAGTATATCTGTTTCTGTAGTAGTGAAGACATTGACTGTAGATTGGATCATGGAGTGCCAAACTCTAATCTGAAGGAAATAGTGTATAACATGTAGTAGATTTGCACTGTGTTTAGTGTGGTTAAATTGGTTAATGTGACAGTGCCTGATAGATACTTCAGTAAATACTAGGAGTATCTTAGTAGGGGTAAATTTTCCAGGCATTGAAATTACTTGTACTAAGTACCGTAATAATTTTTTCTATTCTAGAAAATATTTTGATTATAAACCAGTCTATAGAGGCAACTGAAGGGCTGATCTCATATAATTTGTAAATACATTATCATTCATATTTCATTTGTTCATGAATTAACTGTTGGAGGGGGAGCTAGGCATGTAAAGTTAATGAAATATTATGGGTGTCTTTGCCTATCCAAAGGTTTCCATTCAATAACAAGTATTAAAGAAACACATTCTAAAACACATTTATAATTACTGAGTTTGTTAGAACCTTAAATATGTTTTATAACATGTAATCATCCATTGGAGGAGGAGGAATATATAAAAGCAAAGGTCTTTTAAAATACTAGTCGAGTTATGCTTTGTTAGCATATATGTGCATGTATTATGTTGTTTTTACTTAGTGTATTTTAAAGTTAATACCAGTTGCTTTTGTTTTAGGCTTCCACCAAGCTGGAAAACTTGGGAAATGCATTGGATGCCATGGAACCACAGAATGCTCAACTTTTCTATAACATTACACTCGCCTTCAGCAGAACTGTGAGAGTGCCTACCATGTACCAGAGCTCTGTTATCTATAGTAGAGGGCATAAAATAAGTGGAAAAGGTGGAAGCAGGGAAGAGCATATGGCCTAGAGTGCAAATATGTATTTAAATATATGACATACTCCTAAGAAAGGCAGTTTAGAGGAGATGTGGTTTCCAGCTATAAGAAGCCCTGATAGAGGCTTCGTGGAGGAAATGCCACTTATTGATCTTTTAAGCATAGCCAAGTGCCTTCCAGGCAAAAGAAATAGAAGGTGGTTTATTTTCATCAGAGCATAGATTTATGACCAAGATTGCTCTTAGCTTTTGTTTTTTAAAACTATTTTTAAAAAGTTTTAGAGTGTATAAAAGACCATTTTGGTGGAGGAAATGGTTGGTAGCTTATTTTTTTAAAAACAATAGGAAAGAAATGTTTTTATTATAAGCTCCCAGTAAAAAGAAGGTAATCAAGAATGAAATAGAAATATACAATAGAATCTCGAAATCAATACAAGGAATGACAATATTGAAAAGTTCATTAAACTAAGAAGGTTAAAATAATTAGCAAGCATAAAGTTGAAAGAAAAAAATAAAGGATATTAATTGTTAAATGACATGACTATACTGAATTTTCTTATTTAAAAACAAAGATATCAGATTGTGTAAACTTTAGAGGAAGAAAACTCTGTGCTATAACGAAAGTTTGAATTAAGGAGGCATTTACCTTTTTCGCTTACCATAGTCCTAGACACATTATTTCAATTACTTTTTTACTAAGCTTATAAAAACTATCTAAGTTGGTTCAAACATTTGAATAAGTATTTTACTATTAAAGATTGTTGTCTTGAAAAGTTATGTACTTATTCTAACAACACTGGTATTTCTTGAAATTTTTTTCAAGAAGATTCTAAGGCATGATCTTTTAAAATATTCTCACTGGTGGCATAGCTAGTGTTTAGGGGGAAAACAGATCCTAGTCCTAGTTTTTTATTCAATAAGAAAAAACATATGTATATTATACATACATACACACACACACATACACATGTAACCATAAAATAATGGTTTTCTTGTTTATAAAACAGTCATGAGACAGCTTGGAAAAGGAGTTCAAAAAAATATGTTTGTGTAGTGACATCATTAGAAGTGTACTTTTCATACAAGTTATTGGGTAAAAGCATTATGTTCATTAGGATATATAAGTTCTGATAGAATATAAACTCTTGATGCATTGTGTAGATAATAGGAAAGTTTTATTTTTCTTTAATTATTTTTTTTCTTTTGCATCACTGCTGTGAAGTACAAATAATATATATATTTAGAAAAAATAATCCTTCAGTCTTGGTAGAAATGTTTGACTTTGAAATCTTACATAATCTTTTTTTCTTTTTAGTGTGGACGTAGTCAACTCATTCTTCAAAAAATTCAAACGTTACTTGAGAGAGCTTTTAGTTTAAACCCTCAGCAATCAGAATTTGCTACAGAACTTGGATACCAAATGATTTTACAAGGAAGAGTTAAAGAGGCACTGAAGTGGTATAAGACCGCCATGACACTTGATGAGACTAGTGTGTCTGCCCTAGTTGGTATGACAACTGTTTTCATAAATATTTATAATACAGATACAAGTAGCAATTGCTTTTAACTTGCCATTAGAGAAGAACACAAGTATTTTGTGGTTTTCTAAACTTAAATTGTTCTCTACTGCCCAGATTCGAAAAAGTCATGTCTTTAAAAATAAAATTTTTAATTCACAAATAATATCTTGAGAGAACAGATTTATATAAGTGGTTCCTATAAATTATGAATTCTTCAGTAAATGATTTTATAAGGTCCAAGGCTACTCATTTTATTTTTTTTTCACTCTTTTCATTTTCTTTCTTTCTGTTGTTTTTAATCTAAAATGTTGAAGTATTGTGATGGGGGAAAACGTGTTTTATTAATGTTGTCATGTTAGCTTGAAGAGTGCATGCCTGAATTGGCGTGGACTTTGACTGTCTTTCTCCTGTTTGATTTTAGGATTTATCCAATGTCAGCTGATAGAAGGGCAATTACAGGATGCAGATCAGCAGCTAGAATTTTTAAATGAAATTCAGCAGTCCATTGGAAAATCTGCGGTACAGTATTTTATTTTATCAGATGGTCGATGCTAACTGTTTATAAAATATGAAATTATAAATCAGTCTTATTGTTTTGTAATGGCTGGAAAGCACTAGTGTACACTAATTTTAATATGTAATTGCATTTATTAATTTACCTCCATGCAAAATGAAACTTTATTCTTCTGAATGATTCTAAAAGTCTATTCAAGCTAATACTTGAGTTTGAACAAATAATTGCATATCAGTAGCACATTATATGCATTTGAAATCTGAGTAGAAATAAATGGCTTTATAGCTAAATGGAATAATTTATGAAAACTACTTATTTTCTAGGAATTAATCTATTTACATGCAGTTCTTGCCATGAAGAAAAATAAACGACAAGAAGAAGTTATTAATTTGTTAAATGATGTCCTAGACACTCATTTTTCACAAATTGAAGGTTTGCCTCTTGGCATACAGTATTTTGAAAAGCTAAATCCTGATTTCTTGTTGGAAATTGTTACGGAATATCTGAGCTTCTGTCCAATGCAGGTAAGTAATTATGGGACTTACTTTCAAGGATGCATTTACATGATGTTTTATGAAAGAACTTAAAAGTTTTCTTTGATGCATTAGACTATATCGGCATCTTAAAATGGTAGTATTTGTATCTATGTTAGTTGAAATTGCTTTTAATCAGACTGTTTTTAGTAATGAATGCTGTCAACTACTGAAAGTATTGGTTTGCAGATATTCATTTGTATTTCATAAAATCTTAAAATCTTCAGTTTAAAGAAATATTAAAAGTCATCTAATTCAGACACCTACATTATATTTGCATCCAGTCTGTAACATCACTGTCAAGTGCCTATCCCACATCTGGACATACTTAGAAATGAAGTTCTTATCATATAACTATGATTGTTAGCCTGTATTTCCTGTGTTAAGTCAAACTCTGCTTTTGGTTTTTTAAAAAAAAAAAAAAAAAAAAAGGACCATTTACTGGTCCTCCTTCTGCTCCTGGGATTGACATAGAGCAAGTCCAGTTGCTTAGAGCAAGGATCATTCCTCATTCATAAACAGACCTTCAGATATTGGCAATTAGTTTTCATGTTCCACTAAACAACTCCAGGTTTCCAGCCATTTATTTTTTATATGAAATAGTTTTGAGAATTCTGTTTGTGAATCTGATGATATTCTTTATTTTGTCTGTTCCTCTCATTAAGCTCACTATTCCAGATGTGGATTTGACCTGCAAGAACTAGAATAGACCTTTTCCTCCCTTATTCTGGAAGTCCATCCAACTTTCTTTTTATAAATCACATTACATTAATTACCTCTATTGAATCAACAGTTAATTAAAAACTTTCAGTCTCTTGTTGTACCTTTGGACTCAAATGTAGGACTCTACATTTATTCTATGAAATTTTATCTTTTCAGATTCATCTCATGAAATGAATTCAGATTCATTCCATGTTATCATATCCATTCCATGTTATCATATTCCTTGTGGATCATGATTGTCACCTATTTTAAATGGATCTTTATTGTCATCTGTCATCTGCTTTATCTAGCTCTGAGATAACTGTTACTATAATGTTCTCTTCCAAGTTTTGAGTAGACCTGAAGATAAAACCCTATGTTGTACTACCAGAGAGTTCTTTCCAAATTGATGTGGATTTATTAGTCAGCACTCTTATTACAGATAGTAAGCAGATACAGACGTCCTAACTTTACTGTATTCAGCTCACATTCAACACAGGGATATCAGGGCAGGCACTATCAAGCATTCCATTGCTGAAAGCAAACTTCTTAGCATTCTCCCTGATCTACAGCTTTGGTAACTGTGTTAACATGGGAAATAAGGAAAATGACCTTCCCTTAGGGAACCCATACAGCCTTTTCGATTATCATGTCCTTTTCTAGGCTTTCATTGCTATTTATTTTTTAAACTTAAACCCTCAGAGAATTGTACCTGGGATTGACCTCAGACTCCCCAGTCATAATCCATTTCACTTGCTTGGAAGTTGGAATACGTTTTTTTCAGTATTAATCTAGTATTCAGGATTCATTCTACGAATGTTTATAGAGTACCTAGCACTCTACTTGGAGCTGGGGAAATACCCATGTAAAACAAACTACATTCCTTTCCCCTGAGGCATGTATTCCAACAGGAGGAGACAGATAATATAATGAAGTCAATTGTATACTATGTTTAGAAAATGACAGGAGAAAATAATAGAGCATGGTGGGATGATGGTGATTTTAGATACAGTGGTCAGGATAGGCCTCATGAAGAGGGTAAGATCTGAACAAAGACTTAAAAATAGGCTGTGTGTGTGTGTGTGTGTGTGTATATATATATATAAAACTAATAAAATATATATATATAAAATGAATAGTGTATATAACTAATAGTATGTGTGTGTATATATATGGGAGTTTATATATATACTCCTTATATACATATGGGAGTTTATTAAGGAGTATTAACTCACACGATCACATTGTCCCACAGTAGGCTGTCTGTAAGCTGGGGAGCAAAGAAGCCAGTCCAAGTCCCAAAGCCGAAGAACCTGGAGTCTGATGTTCAAGGGCAGGAAGCATCCAGCATGAGAGAAAGATGTAGACTTGGAGGCTAAGCCTGTCTAGTCTTTTCATGTTTTTCTCCCTGCTTTATATTCTGGCCATGCTGGCAGCTGATTAGACAGTGCCCACCCAAATGAGGGTGGATCTGCCTTTCTCAGCCTATTGGCTCAAATGTTAATCTCCTTTGGCAACATCCTCACAGACACACCCAGAATCAAGACTTTGCGTCCTGCAGTAAAATCAAGTTGACAGTATTAACCATCACAGAACATGTGAAAATATGGTAGAGTGTTTCGGACAATGGGAGCAGCTGGTACAGAAGCCCAAAGGGGCTCGAGGAGACAAATGTGGCTGGGGCAGGATGAGGAGGAGGAGAGTAGTCAGAGATGAGGTTATCCCAAGGAGACGAGCCCAGGTAGGGCCATAGCAGTTCTTATAACTCCTTTGGCTTTAATTCTGAGTACAGTGGGATACAATGGGGAGTCACCAAAAGGCTTCCAGCATGATGCAAGTCAACACTTTAACCCAGTGTTTTAATGGATTTCTCTATCAGATGTGCTGAGAATAAACTGTAATAGAACAAGAAATAATACATTAAGTGGTTGTTGGGTCTCTAGTTCAACTAGACATCCTATTTTCCTTTACCAGGAAATTCTGTTTTCCTTTACCAGCATGATAGAAAGTAATCAGCATATGTGATTCTATTTTCATAGGGAAATATGAGAAAGGCAGAATTGTCTCTTTAGCTCTGTTCCTACTTCTTTGACCCTTTCATAGACATAGTTTTGTTTAGAATTTTAGTTGAACAAATGATATCTTAAAGATTGTCTGCATAACTATTTTTTCTATGATTGCACATTGAAATTGTTTGCAGTAAAATGATGGTTCTCAATAACTCATTCTTAGCAGGTGACAAAGAACATTATCAGAACCTCACCATCACTTACACTTTCACTATTTTTACTTAGGCTGAAAAAAATACATATTTTTAAACTATTTGCTGTGTATCTATTATTGTGCAAAGAAGCATAAAAATCTTATCTTCAAGACACATAAAAACCCTTAGGCCTATAAAAGAAGCAAAACTAAATAAGAAACTACCAGTAGAACTGTATAGGTGTCATAGAGTGTTAAATTTTATTATATAGATTATATGTGAAGAATTTAAAGAAATTGAAGTATTCTAGGCAATAGTAGTCATATTCTGATTATCTTTTTGAGCGATATATTGTGTGTGTGTAAGTTGTAGCACTTTCTTTTTAGTAATAATGGCTCGTTATAGGAGTGATTTTCCATAAGAAGGCACAGTCCAGTTAAAGATCTTATGTGTCAGGGGGCGTGGGGTGGAGAGGATCAGCCTCATATAAAGAAACAGCCGTAGTAAGGCAAAGCAGGAGGGATGAACATTTTATATTTAAATTCTGATATCACAGTACTAAACTTGTGATTGGATGACCATTGGATAAAGGTTGGTTGGGTAGACAGCCATTATAAGAATAAGAAACAGTGAAAAGAATTAAGCAGTGTTCTAGTATCACTTTAATTATCATACTCATTATTAATTGAAAGGAAAACTTTGAGGGTCTAAAACATGCCAGGCTGAAGAGTGGGGAATGTAAAGGTATGAGACATTTAGTTTAATATAGTGAATGTTCTACCTTCTGTTTACCAGTGGGGGAAATCTGAATTCTTTAAAAACTGGCTTCACAGTACTCTAGGGGATAATGAGAGTAATTGAATTGAGCAAATCACAAGGCATATCTAGAATTTGAACACTTACTGCCTTGACTGTGTCAATTCTAGCAACAAACTCTACCTCTCAGTTATCTTTCCTTTAACAGATATATTTATCTGATAAAAGTTTTGAACAGATATACTCACTTGATATGTTATCCATTTAGTAATTGTATAATAGTTTCATAATTATTTTGCTGAATAAGAGCCATTATTTGTATTGTGTGTTCATAGATCCCAGGGAAATAAATTAGTATTAGTTAAGTCATAGTAAAGATGTTATGAAATAAGTGAAATCAAAGAAATTTTAGAAAAATATGTATAGTTTGGTTAGTTATACTAAAATTAATATATGTTTATTTTTAGCTAAATATTATTTTACACTTATAAAATGATCTGCTGATTTGTTTTGTTTAGCCTGCAAGTCCTGGGCAACCTCTTTGTCCACTTCTCAGGCGTTGTGTCTCAGTCCTGGAGACCGTAGTAAGAACTGTTCCAGGTCTTCTACAAACCGTCTTCCTAATAGCAAAAGTGAAATATTTGTCAGGTAGAGTATACCTTAAAAACTTTTAACCTTTTTATTCTGATGTTGATAAAAACAAGTGTGATTAAATTAAGCACTCTGTATATAAGAGAATAGTCACATAAAATGTACATTTTGTATATGCATAGATAAGTAATTTTAATCCAAAATAGAATTGCATAACTTACTATTTAATCCTTTAAAAATTACTATAAACTTGCGTGGCTTAAGTGAATTGCTGGGAAAATGCAGTTGTACCACTTTAAAAAAAGTCTGTCAGAAATTACTGGAGACTAGCAATAAGATTTTACAGTCGTTAATCCATGGTTGTGTTCTTACTGGTATAACCAAATGCAACATTTGCCAGATTTCAGGCCCTAATGAAAAGTACTGAGTAATTCTTGTTTAGTTTCTGTGAATAGTTATGGATAGCTTAAAATAAAAATGACTCAGTTATAACCTTAGTTTTCTAAGGCACAGACAAATACATGACTTTACACATAGAAATAGACCATCATGACTGGGCACGGTGGCTCACACCTGTAATCCCAGCACTTTGGGAGGCCAAAGCGAGCAGATTACTTGAGGCTGGGAGTTCAAGACCAGCCTGGGCAACATGGTGACACCTCATCTCTACAAAAAAATACAAAAATTAGCTGGGCTTGGCAGCACGTGCCTGTAGTCCCAGCTACTCAGAAGGCTGAAGTGGGAGGATCACCTGAGCCCAGAGAGGTTGAGGCTGCAGTGAGCCAGGATCACGCCACTGCACTTCAGTGTGGGTGAGGGGAGTGAGACCCTGTCTCCAAAAAAAAAAAAAAAAAAAGACTGAGCCTGGCGCGGTGGCTCACGCCTGTAATCCCAGCACTTTGGGAGGCAGAGGTGGGCAAATCACGAGGACGAGGTCAGGAGATCGAGACCATCTGGCTAACATGGTGAAACCCTGTCTCTACTGAAAATACAAAAAATTAGCGAGGCATAGTGGCGGGCGCCTGTAGTTCCAGCTGCTCGGGAGGCTGAGGCAGGAGAATGGTGTGAACCCGGGAGGCGGAGCTTGCAGTGAGCCGAGATCGCGCCACTGCACTCCAGCCTGGGCGACAGAACAAGACTCCGTCTCAAAAAAATAAAAATAAAATAAAAATTGAAAAAGGCCATCATATCATGCTTGTCTATATGTACCTTTGCCAACTGAATGCTATAAAAGTAAATAAAGTTTGTAAAACTGTAAGAGCAGAAACCAGCTTAAAAGGTTTTTTCATAAAGTTATTTCCTGTTATATAATGGAGTGATGAGATTGCCTTTACTGTTTCTTTGGACCTCTGTTTTCTTTATTTTTTAATTTTTTATTTCAATTTTTTATTTGTGTTGGGTACAAATAGTTTTTGGTTACATGGATGAATTGCATAGTGCTGAAGTCTGGAATTTTAGTGCACCCATCACGTGAGTAGTGTACATTGTACCCAATATGAAGCTTTCTATCTCACACCCTCTTCCCATCCTGCCTCTTCTAAGTCTCCAATGTCCACTATATCATTCTGTTTGCCTTTATACCCATAGCTTAGCTACTACTTATAAGTGAGAACATAACAGTATTTGGTTTTCCATTCCTCAGTTACTTTATTTAGAGTAATGGCCTCCAGTTCCATCCAGGTTGCTATAAAACACATTATTTCTTTTCTTTTTATTTTTTCCAGCTAAGTAGTATTCTATGGTGTATACATACCACATTTTCTTTATCCACTCATCGGTTGATGGGCACTTATGTTGGTTCTATATCTTTGCAGTTATGAATTATACTGCAATAAACATACACGTGCAGGTGACTTTTTGATATGATGACTTCTTTTCCTTTGGATAGATATCCAGTAGTGGGATTGCTGGATTGAATGGTAAATCTACTTTCTACTACTTTGAGAAATCTTCATACTATTCTCCAAAGAGGTTGTACTAATTTACATTCCCACCAGCAATGTATAAGTGTTCCCTTTGACCACACCCATGCCGTCTTTTTTTTTTTTTTTTTTTTGCCTTTGTAATAGTGGCTGTTCTGGCTGTGGTAAGGTGGTCCCTAACTATAGTTTTAATTTACATTTCCCTGATGATCAGCAATGTTGAGCATTTTTTTAAATGTTTGTTGGCCATCTGTGTATCTTCTTTTGGGAAATGTCTATTCATGTCATTTGCCCACTTTTTAATGGGATTATTTTTTTCTTGATGATTTGTTTGGATTCCTTATAGATTGTGGAAATTACAGACTTCTGTTTTAGCTATTAAAAACATTTAGATGATGTCAGAGGGTGGTTTTACCTCTAAAATATTTCAGTTGTAAGAAGTGATACTAATACCTTCTGATTGAATTGTACCATTAAACCACAGGATATTTCAGCTTTTCTCCTAATTGGAAGGGGTATCACCCACTATATAATTAGACTGGGACTTTGATTCCTATCATTTATTAAGTGTTTATTTTATATTGTGAAAATTTATATGAATAAGTCACAATCTAGTAATACTTAATCGTTAAAGTCTCTAGTCATGAAAATTTCTTATATTAATCCCATTTTTAAGAAGAACAGTCTTACATAAGAATGATTCAATGGACTTTGGGGACTTAGGGGAAAGGGCAGGAAGAGAGTGAGGGAGGGATAAAAGACTATATACATTGGATACAGTGACTGGGTGATCAGTGCAGCAGAATTTCAGAAATCAACACTAAATAACTTATTCATGTAACCAAATACCGCCTGTTCCCCAAAAACCTATTGAAATAAAAAATAAAATTTCTAGTAACCAAAAGTTAAAAAAAGGAAGAGCACCCTTAAATCATGTGAAATACTGCTAGCATGTGTCTAAATAGTAGTATTTTTGCTAAATTGCCAACTGAAATGACTTCTGACACCAACTCGTTGGAGTTGGGCCAAACATCACAGGTTAAGGGCACAGTCTTCCATAAAACTGCCCTCACTTCAGACACCAGCCACAGATTTGGGCATTCCTAGAGCCTCCTGTGCTTTTGACTAGCTGCAAATTTGGAGGTTCCCTCAGTTTCATTCATTTACTAGAATGAATTACAGAACTCAAGAAAGCACTAGACTTAAAATTACAGTTTTATTATAGCAACAGGATACTAACCCAAATCAGCAACAGGGAAAGATGCACAGGGTGAGGTGTGATAGGGTCCCAAATGTAAAACTTCCGTTGTCCTCTCCCCATGGAGTCAGGAGATATCACTTCCTGACATGTCGATGTGTGACAATCAGAGTATTAGCAGCCTGGGAAGCTCACCAAGGTTTGGTGTCCGTAGCTTTTATTGGGATTTCATTAAGTAGACATGGATTAAATCATTGGCCATATGATTGAATTCAATCTCCAGTCCCCACCAGCTGATAATGTGGCTCTAAGCCCCAACCCACTAATCACAGGGTTGGTCTTTCTGGCACAGCCAGTCCCCATTTCAAGTCTTATCTTTAGCATAAACTATCTAGGGGCACACCATGAGTCTCCTCATTAGGATAAACTATCAGGGTCCATAAAGAGTAACACAGACATCCCTAACATGAGGGAAATTCCAAGAGTTAAAGACTCCTTCCAGGAACCCAAGACAAATGCCAGCCAAATGCTTTATTACACAGAACTCTGACAAAGACAGATACACAGGACTGAAATGTCTTTCAGTTTCACTCAAGGGAAATTGGACTGCTCTTAGAAAGAATGTGATGTTGGTGTTGATCTCTGGTGACGTGGTCTATTTTCCTCAACAGTAATGACCCACTTCTCATTTTTAAATATTTAGTATCCTTCTAAATATTTTAAATATTTTTAAATATTTTAAATATTTAGTTTCCCACCCTACTTATCCATCTCCTCACCCTTAAAAGAAACAAAGATTCTCATTTCTGTTACTCATACAGTACTCATTTTCTTCAGTCTCTTACTTGCAAACCCTAATTCTCTGCACTTTCTCCTGTTAGTACAACCTCTTTCTTCAAATAATCGCCTTAAGCCTTCTCCTTCTTAAGATATTTTTCACACAAATTTATTATGCCTAACTTTTCCTTTTTTTACCTGTGCAGTTTTGAGTGTTGGATTGTATCACAATAAATAAAGAATCTAACATCGTTAATTATGCTTGACGTTTGATTGCTAAACTTTGATGCTATGTTTAGTAAGTTATTATGCTCTCTCAGCCGGTTAGTTTTCTGTTAATCCTCCATCTCTGAGAAGAACATTTTCAGTCTCAGTGCATTTCTATTGCCAGTAAGTTGAGCCTTATTTTGCTGACATCAGGTGAGGTTGAGGGGCATAATTCAACAGAAAATCATTTAGGCTGTCTTCTTCCCCCATTCTCCTAGCAAGGTTGAATGGGGAGTTGTTCTACTTACATCTTCTTAAGGCCCATTTATGAGGTGACTAAGTGCAGATCAGTGTGGGTTACATCATGAGAAACTTCTAAGACTCAGAATCAATGCAATGTTTTCCTCCGAAGAGCCTCTTCTTACCACGTCTATCAGCCCAAGGTCAATTCCTCGATTCCTGTCACTTTAATCTTGATTATTTCCTTCTATTTTAAGACTCCCAGATATATAACTGGCATTATTTCAGTTGGTATTTAAAGGCATTTTAAATCTATAACTCATATTTCTGAATCTCTGAAGTATATCCTTAGGCCTTTTTTGTTATTTTATGTATAGTAGTAATAGAATTTTTGACCAAGAATGATTACTAGACTAATATGCTCTTTGTTAACGTGACACTACAAAATTCTAGCTATTTAAGTGAAATGTCTTTGTTATGCGTAATTTATTTTAATGAAATTATATATAAAACCTTTTTTTTTTGGACAAGGAAAATAAAGGTCAGTTTATTGGCCTCTCAGTAACGCCAGTGCTTGGCTCTCATCCCTTCCTGCTTTCCCTGGCTTGCTCGTTAGGATCAAGGGCTTGCCTGACTTGCAGGTGTATTCATTCATGTGGACTCGAAGGAAGCTAACTAGTGCAGATGGAATTAAACCATGGCCTATGAACAGCAAACTTTAAGTTTACAAACACTAGGGCTCTCCGTAAACTAAACAGTCTTCTTCCTCTTGCCTCTCAGATCTCCATTTCTTAATCATTTGAATTATAACAATGCATTGTTTTTCTTATTAGGTGATATTGAAGCAGCTTTTAATAACCTTCAGCATTGCTTAGAACACAATCCCTCTTATGCCGATGCTCATCTGCTGCTAGCTCAGGTTTACTTGTCTCAAGAAAAAGTCAAATTGTGTTCTCAGTCTCTTGAACTTTGTCTGAGCTATGATTTTAAGGTAAGTATTCCAGACTGAAGTGGATAAGACATATCACCCTCCTTGAAAGCTTATATATTCAAGTATTTTGTGTTTTAGCCTGTAGTATTTTGCTAACAGTTGCATGCTTAATGGAAAAAAAAATTGAACTCACAAGCAGTAGGAGGAAAAATTGAGGCAACACAGGTATGGATAAAAAACTATGTGGACTTGGTGACAAACATCCTGAGGTTAATATCTGGTCTTTCACTTGTCTCTGAGCCTCAGTTTTCTTTTCTGTAAAACTCACTTACTAATACTTTGCTGTTACAATGAGAATTAAATGCAATAATGAAGGTATATAAAAATGATGATAAACTCTAGATCCTTATGTCAAATATTTTTATGTATAAAGATAATAATTGTTTATTTCTTGGGCCTTAGTTTTTAATAACTTCTTTTTGGATTCATTGTGAAAGAACATCTTGTCATTTTGAAAGTAATCTTGTGGTTTGAGGATATAAACACAGCACATTTCTATCCAAGATATTACGTGTTACATCCAGTATCCCCTCAACGTTAGGGAAAATCCTAGGTTCAGTTGCTTCCTGTTACCTCGAGTCATGGAGGAGCTCTTATCGCTTTTGCTTTGCTTCACAGGGTCATGAACCCTGTTAAGGGAGAACCCTTCAGTGAATTAGAGAATCCTAATTAAGATTTGCAGAAAATATCACTTGCTTCTTAGGATAGTGGTTTTCAAGACTAGTGGTATGTCAGAGACCCAGTGCTGGTGCCACACCTCTACTGAGTCAAATTCTCTAAGGGAGGAGCATGAGTGTGAGTCTCACACGAAGCTCTGTAAGCAAATGTCCAGGCTGCCTAAGGTTGAGAACTTCAGCATCAGAAGGACTATAGACTTCCTAATTGCTAGGTGACTGCCATGTCACCTCATTCTGGGTCCTGTCCTTCCCTTTTACTTCTTTTTCCTGACTCATTTTATCATTGTCTTATGTTTTCTGTATATACTGTTTATAGCTGACGTAAAGATGGAAGCTTTAGAACTGCATATTTAGGAGTAGTGTCAAAGGGGAAGGTCAATGCTTCATTAAAATGTCCTGAAACTTTTAATCTTCAAATTTAAAAAAGGGGAAAAACAGTGTTTCTAGAAATCTAATAACTTTGTATCAGTCCTAGAAGTGCCAGATAAAGAAATTCCTTTCCTGAAAATTCAAATAATCTCTTAGAATGTAGTTGCTAGCCTTATAAACCTTGTTTACACTTTCTCTTCTGTCACAGGAGAAATATGTAATCAACCTCTTTGTCATCTCAAAGGATGCAGGGAGAAGCAATTTTCCTAAATCCAATTTAATATGATAAATAATCAGAGGGTTAATAAGAGGGCAGAGATAGACTTCATGCATACAATCAAAGATGGACTGTTCTCAGTGATCTCATTATTTTAATGTTTGATGGATTGTAAATTATGTGTTGATGTTGTAGGCACTCCAAGGAAATATTATTAAATATTATTTTTCAGGTGAGAGAATATCCCTTATATCATTTGATAAAAGCTCAGTCACAAAAGAAAATGGGAGAAATAGCAGATGCAATTAAAACACTGCATATGGCAATGAGTTTACCAGGAATGAAAAGAATTGGAGCTTCCACAAAATCAAAAGACAGAAAAACTGAAGTTGATACAAGCCATCGTTTATCGATCTTTCTTGAATTGATAGAGCTTCACCGCTTAAATGGAGAGCAGGTAGGTCAAGTTTTAATTTAAGGGCTCAGATGTGAACTTTCTTATTCTAACATATATATTAGTAGAAAATGAAAAGCTGGCTGGGCACGGTGGCTCACACTTGTAGTCCCAGCACTTTGGAAGGCCGAGTCGGATGGATCATCTGAGGTCAGGAGTTTGAGACTAGCCTGGCCAATATGGTGAAACCCTGTCTCTACTAAAAATACACAAAAATTAGCTGGACATGGTAGTACGTGCCTATAGTTCTAGCTGCTCAGGAGGCTGAGTGAGGCAGGAGAATCGCTTGAACCTAGGAGGTGGAGGTTGCAGTGAGCCGAGATCACGCTATTGCACTCCAGCCTGGGTGATAGAATGAGACTCCATCTCAAAAAAAAAAAAAAAAAAAGAAATGAAAAGCTAAATGTATTTCCTTGACCAAGTGGTAAACTTTAGAAAAATTTATTTCTCATTACCTTGTACTAAAACATAAACTTCCTGTAAGCCCCTGAAAGTTAAACATAATTTGCTCCTGGGTGACCTAAAGTATCAGTGTGCTCATGTTGACTACAATGGAACATAATAACATGATGTACAACTCTCTTGGTTACTGTGAATGTAATAATATAATGCAGTTATAGTCCTATGAATCCCTAAAAAGACTTACACACATATACACAAACACACATTTATGCACACTCTAGAACTACTGAAATAAAAAGAAAGTACCAACCTGAAATTCTAGTAGATGAGGAAACAAAATAAATGAATGAATACTCATAGGAATATTATAAAGTCAGATATTTTAAAAAATAATAATATATACAGATAAGATAGAAAGTAATTCTGGGAGAATTAAACTTTGTAGAAAATGAGGAACTCAAAGTCATTTGTATCAGTTGTTTTAGGTTGCAGCACTTGCTAATCACTTATTTTTCATATTTGAATGAAAATTAAGAAGGCTGTATTTCTAAATATTTTCCAAATCACAAAGAATTTCCATTTATTTATTGTATTTTTTAGTGATCAGGTCTCACTCTGTCTCCTCGCTGGCATGCAGTGATACAATCATAGCTCACTGCAACCTCCTGGGCCCAAGGGATTTTCCCATCTCAGCCTCTCAAGTAGCTGCGCCATGCCCAGCTAGTTTTTAAAATATTTTGTAGAGGGTCTCCCTACGTTATGCAGGATGGTCTCAAACTCCTGGGCTCAAGTGATCCACCCAGCTCGGCCTCCCAAAGTGCTGGAATTACAGGTGTGAGAGAATTTCTGTTTTACTAATTAACTTAAAGTACATTTAACAAGAAAGGCCAATTATACCCTATATAGTTGATTCTAAGGTACACTTAAATTACATTTTAACATTTCTGGAATTCTTGTAATCTATGAAGTTGAGATGACTCTTAAATGACATTTTCAATTCATCAAGGTACACATTTGGAAATAAGGTAGAATATTCACCTAAAGTGTAGCAACAATGTTGTTCTGGTGGAGGGAATAAAGTAATCTGCCACTTAATGAAGACCCAGTGTGTACAGCTCTTCATTATACAATGCTAGGTGCTAAGTAAGTGCTCATTAATATAGTAGCAGTGACCCTCTGTAGCAGCTGCTGTTGTCCTAGGTGTGAAAACATTTATCTAGCTAACAGTATTTACAGCCTCATCTGATTTTGGTCATGGGTTTAGTTTTAAATTTTTGAGGTTTCAGAAAATTCTATTAATTTATTTCATAAATATTATAAATGTACTAGCATTTATTCTGCGTTATGAGAAAATCTCTCTTTCTAGTGTTATTTGTTCACTATTTTGGAAGAATGATATTTTAATTTCATCTTTACAGCATGAGGCAGCCAAAGTTTTACAAGATGCCATCCATGAATTTTCTGGAACATCTGAAGAAGTGCGGGTTACCATTGCTAATGCAGACCTAGCTCTAGCCCAAGGAGATATTGAACGGGCTTTAAGCATCCTTCAGAATGTTACAGCCGAACAGCCTTATTTTATAGAGGCCAGAGAAAAAATGGCAGATATTTATCTGAAGCACAGAAAAGATAAAATGTTATATATCACTTGTTTTAGGTAAGTAATTGTCTCAACCCATTATATTTTGACACATTTAGCCACTAATATTGATTCCCAATTTTTTTTTTTTTTACTTTCTTCAACTGCTTTGCAAATACTTTACAGATCGTTTTCTGAATGTGGTCTTGATTCCTTCTACCACCAACCACAATCACTGTAACCAAGTTGTTTGCTCTCCCTAAAACATAATTATGATTCCTTCAAATTGGCTTACTGTAGTTTCTCAGCTCTCCTTATCAAATATTATTTTCGGACCCTAGATCTTCCTGTTTGAGAAGGGAAAGTGTACCCTGTATTCTAATAACTTAACAGCATCATGTAATGTAACAGTAATCCAGGGGACAGGCAGGCATATTTATTATAGTAGTTATAGAAAAAAAATTATTTTAGTATGTACCATGCTAAGATGTGGGTTACAGATATTTCTTGGTGAAAGAACATGATCTTAAAAGTATATCACACTGATGCCCTTATGAGTTATAGGGATACACAACACACACACACATACACACACACACACACACACACACACGGAGAAAGAGAGAGATTGCTCTTCCTCTTCTCCCCAAACAGAAGGGTAAACATAGAAGCATACACTCTATGTAAGGGAAAATTAACGTTTTTAGCTCTTGAGATCATAGTAAACTGTTGATGAAGTAATTCAGTATTGGTTCACCTATATTATATCAAACTCAAAAAGTTGCTCAGATTCTTTTAAGTGCTGAGTGATTCAAAGAAACTGAGCAGCACTGCATGTTTAGATGGATGGACTGGAGTTCCTAGATTGTATTTTCTAAGGTATTTCCAAAAGATCATCACTGTCATCTCTAATGATATGAAAATAATTCAAAATAGGGTTGACTTATTTTTGATGTAGCATAATGTAATAGTTAAAAGCACAGATTTTGTTTCAGGAAGATCTGACACATCAGCTGCAACTCTTAACATCATCTATAAAACCGAGATAATTCTCAAGAATTTTTGGACCAATTAGATGAAATACTCTATGTTAAAGACTTAACACCACATTGTTATTTCAATAACTTTGGTAATATGACCTTTAGTAGTCTGCGTTTTCAGATCAAATGTAAGCAACAAATACTGAAATAAAAGACTTTGTATTTTCTTAAGGTAACTTATTTCAGCATATAATTTATGCCATGAGTATCAGCGCTCAAGATGCATAGGAGGACAGTAAAATTTTATTCTCCCATCATTTTTTTGGTACCTTCACTCCCACATCATTTCAGAAGTAAACATAGCAAAATGTATAGGTCCAGACAAGAAGAACTTAGATATTTACTATCTACCTGTACTCGGTTACCTGCATTTCAGAAAATGGAAAGATTCAGTGACAGAAATAACTGATCTAGCATATACAATTTGGTTGTGGGTATGCATGAGGTTTTTATAATATTACACTGTTGGATATATAGAGATATTCTGAAGGCTACTGGCTAACTGAAATAAATGAGCTTATTTTTTATTTTATTTTATTTTACTTTATTTTTGGAAGAAGATACCTGTATTCAATATACTAAGTAGTGTTGGTCTGATTTCCAGAGAAATTGCTGAAAGAATGGCTAACCCTCGGTCTTTTCTTCTCCTCGGTGATGCATACATGAATATTCTAGAGGTAAAATTTCTGATGTTACTGAACTGCAATTTTTAAAAAATTATTTGTGATGAGTACAACTTCCTATTAAAAGGATGTTTTTAAAAATAATATTTAATATTTGAAGATCCAGTCATCACAATAAAAGGGAGATATCCATTACAATTTTAAAAAATTGATTTTTCTCTTTTGAGTTGATGCAGAAATTCAGCACTATTGTTATTTGAAATAGAGATGAGACTGGGTGCGGTGGCTCATGCCTGTAATCCCAGCACTTTGGGAGGCCAAGGCGGGCGTATCACTTGAGGTCAGGAGTTCAAGACCAGCTGGCCAACATGGTGAAACCCCATCTCTACTAAAAATACAAAAAATTAGCTGTGCCTGTAGTCCCAGCTATTGAGAAGGCTGAGGCAGGAGAATTGCTTGAACCTGGGAAGTGGAGGTTGCCGTGAGCCAAGATTGCGCCATGCACTCCATCCTGGGCGACAGAGCAAAACTCCATCTCAAAAAAAAAAAAAGTAGAGGTGATACCAGAAGTATGTTAGGAATCTTCTTCTTTTTACCAAAGGATAAAGGGAGCTACAGACTAAGATGGTGTTTTCTTCAAAGGGAACCAATCCTCCAGACCTCTGTAACTGGCACTTATAATGACTTCTGGAAATGAAAAGTCAACATGGTGTCTCTTAGTTCACATACTGTTATTTATATAGACAAGAGCACAATTAATATGGGTAGAATTATACTAATAAATTATACCTACCCATACCTGCTCTTCTCATTTATCACCTTTTTGAAATTGTTAAAGTTCCTGTGCTTTAATATATGCTTAGCCCTAGATAATCTTCCAAATGTAGAGCTTAATTATAGAAATGTTGCCCTTTAATGGGACCCAGTTATGCTATTTTTTATTGCTTATTTTTTGTGTCTGGCAATATTAGCCTGAAGAAGCCATAGTAGCATACGAGCAAGCATTAAATCAGAACCCGAAAGATGGGACATTGGCAAGTAAAATGGGCAAAGCACTTATCAAAACTCATAACTACTCAATGGTAAGTACTTTATTGTTTGAAATGTGTCTGTTGCATCAAATTTATCACACCCTGTTCTCGAGAAGCTTCAGCAAGCACCATTTGCATCTTTAATGGTTGTGAACTCCAAATTTGTATTTATGAACTGGGATTTGTGTTAAAGTATCTCAGATTCTTCATTGCTTCATTTTGTGATGATTATTTGGACCCTAGAGCTTGCTTCATCTTGCAGCTAGAATCCTTGCTATCAAATCAATTACTGTAAAGTTGCTATTCTTCTATCTCTTTCATTATGTAACAAAACATGATAAATGTTCTTTCTGTTGCACCAGTTTTTGCAAGCTATGTGTTTTGAGTTCATTTTTTTTTTCCAGTAGGGGAAACAGATTTTTCTTTAACTGTTATATTCTTGCCCTATTCCTGGTAATTGTTGACTATATGTACAATAGCTAGCAAAATGTATGCCTTTGATAAGGTTCCCTGGCCTCATAAAACCTGTAACAAAATTATTTGCCAAGTACCGTTCTTTAGTTACTTATCGTAAGAAATGTTAGTTGTTGGCCAGGTGTGGTGGCTCACGCCTATAATCCTAACACTTTGGAAGGCCAAGACGGGTGGATCACTTGAGTTCAGGCACTTGAAGCCAGCCTTGCCAACATGGTGAAACCCCATCTCTACAAAAAAAAAATACAAAAAAAAACAAAAAACAAAAAACTGGGCATGGTGGTGAGCTCCTGTAATCCCAGCCACTTGGGAGGCTGAGGCAGGAGAATTGCTTGAACTTGGGAGGCAGAGGTTGCAGTGAGCTGTGATTGCGCCACTGCACTCTAGCCTGGGTGACAGAGTGAGAGTCTGTCTCCAAAAAAAAAAAAAGTAAAGGAAAAAGAAATGTTAGTTGTTTCATGTGATGATCTATTCTCTGAGAAGAATGGCATACATAATTGACAGGCAGGCATATGCCTACAATTCTTCCTGGTTATTTCTAGTTATACCTATGCTTTAAGTCTGTAATGTGTTAAATAGCTGTGCTTGAATGCCATTCTCATTGTCTTGTTCCCTTAAATGAAATGAATTTTGTTTAGGCAATCACTTACTATGAAACTGCTCTGAAAAGTGGACAAAAGAATTATCTTTGCTATGACCTGGCTGAGCTCTTATTAAAATTGAAATGGTATGACAAAGCAGAAAAAGTTCTTCAACATGCTCTGGCCCATGAACCTGGTATGAAAGTCTTTCTGGTTTGAAATAAGTCTGATAAGTCTGATCCATTTTATTTTTATATTGCATAAATATGTATTTGTATTCTCAATATTTTATATGTGGTTGGTTATATAAATACATGCGTATTTTTTCTTTTATCAGAATACCACTCTACTAAAATGTGATATTTTAAAACCTAGTAGCAGATTTATGAAACAGTTAATTGTGTTATAGAAATATAGCTTACCTCCCAAAATAATATAAAGTAAGTTATCTTTAAATTACAACTACCTCATATTTAAGCACATTAACATTTTTGTAATCTTTACTTTTTACAAAAGTAGCATGTTTCTTTTTTAAAATTCAAGCTCTATAAAAGAATATAATGCATAAGTCATCTGTTTCTCCTATGAATTCCATTTGCCTTGTTCTCAAATTACCTCCCTAGTAGCTTGTAATTTAATATTCTATATATGTTTGTGTATATATAAATGTAATGTGATTTTCTGCGCAAAACTGTTATTCTCGCTTTTCTGCAATTTTTTCCACATACATGTCCCAGATAGTTTGATATCAGTACATCATGCATTTAATTTGCATTTCTTTGATGAGTGATAAAGTTAGGTATTATTTTGTTTATGTGTCTTATTTTCTTCTAGGAATTTTTATTCATATTATTCTATCTACAGGCATCATAATGTTCCATAATGCCAATAAATTACTTAATTTTCTTGAAATTATTGGATGTTTAGTTTGTTTTCCATTATTTTGATATTATAATCTGTGTTACAACAAATATCATTGTATCATTCCTTAGTGTACATTTGCATGTATTTTTTAGAGTAGGGTGCTGAGTTGAAGATTTTGTACATTTAAAATTTGTTTGGATACTATCAAGTTACCTTCTTTCAAGTTTGTGAAAATTTGCTTTTTAAAGATCTTTATTTTTCAATAAAAGTGATTACCCATTGCGAGAATTTAAAGATTACAGAAGTGAGTAAAAGTTGTGTCCTCTCCTACTCTCCAGAGAAAACCATATTTAACAACTTGTATATCATGATAATCAGTCTCCCTGCCCCCATCTTTACCTGTCTCATATATACACAATTATTATACCTACCACTTTTTTCTTTCTAAATAGATTATAGTGCACCTATAATTCTGCAGTATGCATTTTTCATTTAATAACTCCTTTCCTTGTTAGAAATATAGTTCTTCTTTATTTTTTAGTATATGTAGAGTATTCCACTGTATGTTAATATCATAATTGACTTGATGAGTCTCATATTGGAATACACATTTAGCTTGGGGAATAGTTGGAAGCAGTACTGAGATAAAATCCTTCTTTATATACATATACCTCTCTGTACTTTCTAGAATTGAATCTGGCCCCATTGTTCTTTCTTAAGGCTAAAAACTTGCTGACATTATGTCATATTAGTCATGAAAAATAAACTTATTTTAATTTGCATTTCTTTGATGAGTGATAAGGTTAGGTATTTTATGTATCTTATTTTCTTGTAGGAATTTTTAATTATATTCTTTGTCTTTAATCTTTTACCTAATATTCATGTTGTAGATACTTCCTCCCAGGCTGTCTTTTCTTTATCAGATTTGTTTATTGTATCTTTGATCAAGTAGAATATTTAATGATCATATATCTGCTTTTCATGTCTTTTTTTTGTTTCTGAATTTCTTGTCATTCTCTAAAATTTCTTGTCGTTCTTCCCTAATCCTAACATTATGAAAGTACGTCCATATATTTTTGTCATTTATATTGTTTTAATTTTTATATTGAGAACTTTAATCCATGTACTTTATTCCATATACAAGTTTTAGTATATAGTTTCCAAAGTGTATAGCCAATTTTATTTTCATGCCATTTATGGAACTGCCTCCTTTATTTTATAATAAACTCCTTCATATACATTACTCTGATGATAGGAATCTTTATTTTATTCCATTGTGTATGTTCCTTTTCTTTTGCCAACAACATGTTTAGTGTAGCTTTAAAATACATTTGAACACATGATGAGAGAAGCCGATTGTAAGTTTTCTGATATTTTCAAAATGATCTTTTAGTTTAGCTTTGATGACATTGGTGCTTAAATTCTTCTAATTATAAACGTATTTATTGTATGAAGTATTATTAGTTCCATAAAAATATATTCATGGATTTATCAGATCTTCTTTTGAAACACTTGAAAGGCCTAAATGTGGATATACATTTTGAAAAGTTTGTACGGGGAGAGAGATTCAAGTATCATCTGTTTTAGTTACAGTGGGTATATTATATTCATGTAACATAAAATCTTTCATTTAATATTTGCTGAGCATGCCCATGACATACACAGATGCCTTCATATACATTTCATACATTATCTCCTCAGGACTCGTATTCATCTTTGAGGCAGATATAATCATACCCATTTTAAATTTAGCAATCTGAAACTCAGTTTTATTGATACGTTCAAAACTACCTAGTTGGCAAAATGGCATGGCGTGTCATGAACTGTACACTTGACAGATGGTGGAGGAAACATTTTTGTTAATTATCTAGGGTTATTTTTTTATATAACCCTATTTTTTATAAAATTTTTTATAAAGTATTTGGCATTAACCAAATATTTAAAAAGCACTTACCATGTACCAGAGTTTGTTTTCATTACTTTGCATATTTTAACTTATTTAGTAACTTATTAGCTTTTAAAATCTTACATCCACCCTGTGAGGTAAGTGCTATCATTTTTCCTGTTTTACAGATGAGAGGGAATTACAGAATGGTTAAGTAGCATGCTCAAAATTAAAGGGCTAGTAAGTGGTAAAGCCTAGATTTGAAACCAGACTGTTCAACATCAAAGTCAGTGCTCTTAATAACGGTACTTTATTGCTTATCAAATATCTTTGATTTTTAAAAGAGCAGTTATCTTCTTAACTGCATATAGCAACTACCGTATCTTCTTTTAATGACTTCTGTAAACAAATTTTTATACACTTAAGGGTAAAACTGGAAATTATTGTGGTATTAAATTGTTATCTCTTAATATATGTCTAAGAAAAGCCTCTAGTTGTTAACCAGTTCTTTAACTTTTCATCCAGCCAGTTTTTATCTTAAATCTTTTCTTTTCTTTTTTTTTTTAATTTGACCATTCTTCAGGTAACTGAGAAAATTTTAACTGTATTCAGTATTTTTCAAAATCATTTTTTCTAGAGCCCAGTTTTTAAAATTCTGGAAAAATGTGAATATTTATTTAAGATGAATAATTTTTTCCATTACATTCCATTCTTTCATAGTAAATGAACTGTCAGCTCTCATGGAGGATGGACGTTGTCAAGTTCTTCTAGCAAAAGTTTATAGTAAAATGGAAAGACCTGGTGATGCGATCACTGCATTACAACAGGTAAACGCATTTGTCTGTGAGTGTGGTCATGAGGTAGGAGGAGATGGATGCAGAAGGAAATATGCCATGTATAAGAGGAAAGCAATCTCTTTTGGCCAAACAGCTGCAGAAAATATGTCAAAATCGAAATACTTATTGAATGCTTATGGATTATACATTTTAAATATATTATTACTACTATTATAACAATTAGGAAAGATTGGAATTTTTAAATCCTGTTTTATAGCTGAGGAGACTTGGTAGAATAACTTGTGTGAAGTCATATGACTAGTGTCATCATCAGGATTTGAACTTAGTGCTTTCTTCCTCCATTTATTTAGTTGTTCTTTTTTCTCTTAATATTTTGTGGTTCTCAACATAGAGGTTTTACACAGATTTCCTTAGGTATGTTCCCAAGTGGTTGATGTTTTTTTTTGTGATGATTCAGTTTCTGGTTTGCTAACAACTTCTTTATAAGTCACTTAAATTATTATCAAATATACTCTCTGCATCTGTCAAGATGATCATATGTCTTTCCTCCCATTTTTCTTTTCAAATGTGGTATATTAAATTGATTTATTTTCAAATGTTAAACTACACTTATATCACTGAAATAAATGTTACTTTGATACAATTTTTTAAAAGATTTGCTGGAATGTAAAGATGTTTTACAGTATTTTGTTCAGGATTTCTACATCTGTGTGTTCAACAAATTGATGCTAATTCTTTTTTTGTTTTTTCTTTTTTTGTTTTGTTTTGTTTTTGAGACGGAGTTTCACTCTTGTTGCCCAGGCTGGAGTATAATGGCGTGATCTCAGCTCACTGCAACCTCTGCCTCCCAGGTTGAAGTGATTCTATTGCCTCAGCCTCCCGAGTTGCTGGGATTATAGACGCTTACCACCATGCCCAACTAATTTTTGTAGTTTTCGTATTTTTAGCAGAGACGGGGTTTCACCATGTTGGTTGGGCTGGTCTCAAACTCCTGACCTCAGGTGATCCACCTGCCTTGGCCTTCCAAAGTGCTGGGATTACAGGTGTGAGCCACCGCACCTGGCTGCTAATTCTTTGATGTTTGGAACAATTCAGTGTTCCAGACCTTGAGACCCAACTCTTTGAAGGAAAGGTTTTAATAGACTTCAGACTGATCATTTTCAAATTGCTTCTTATATCAATTTGGATTTTTTTAAGTAGTCAGTTTATCGTTAAATGTATTAACATAAACTTATTTATTGTATCTTTTCTTTAGAATGTCTACAAATGCAGTGAAAAAGATCCCCTTTTACAAACCTGATATTAGTAATTTTATTTTTCTTCTTTGATAATCAGTTATGCTAGGGGTTCATTATCTTATTAATATTTTCGAAGGGTCAACGTTTGCCTTTTCTGGCTTCATGAAATGTTTTCTTTCAACCTCATAATTTCTTCTACACTCTTTGGGTTTGGTTTACTAATTTTTATTTTATTTTAGTTTTTAGCCTCTTGAAATAGTATGTTAGGTATTGGATTTCAAGCTTTTGTTCTTTTCTTATTCATTTGAAGCAATAAATTTCTCCCTCAACACTGGTTTATCAGCATTCCACAAGTTTATTATTATTTTATTATTATTATTATATTTATTATTATTATAAAACATTTCCTCATTTTCACTTTGACTGGTTCTTTGACCAGTGGGTTATTTAAAAGTGTAGCATTCAATTTTTATGGAGTTCTGATTTGCTTGTTATCTTTTTGATACTGATTTCTAGTACACTTCTGCTGTGCCAAGGCATACTTTGAATGATTCAATCCTTTGCAATTTGTTGAAGCTTGCTTTACATCCCACGTTATAATCAATTTTGGTAAAGGTTCCTTGTGAACTTGAAATAATGTGTTTCTAGCATTGCTGTAACCATAATTATTTTTGCACCAACCTAATAAATACTTAGTTCAACCATATGTCAATTAGGTCAGATTTGTTGATTGATTTATCTACATCTTCCCTGTTCTTAGGGTTTGGTTGTTATTTGTTTGCTTGGTTTTGATCTGTTTGTATGAGAGGGATGTTAAAGTCTTTCAGTGTGATTGTGGATTTCTCTTTTTCCATTTAGTTGTATGTATTTTTGCTTCATTTATTTAGAAGATACATTATTGAATGATCCAGATTTAGAATTACAATATCTTCCTGGTGAATTAAGTTCTTTAAAATAATAAAATGGCCTTCTTCATTTCTAGTAATGCTTCTTGCTTTAAAATCTCCTTTGTTTTGTGTTTATATGGCTAAGTCCAGCTTCCTTTTAGCATGGTATATCTCCTGCATTCTTTTACTTTCAATTTTCCGTGTCCTTTTATTGAAGATCTGTCAGCATATAATTTTTTTCTTGACAATCTTAATCTATTATAATTTTTTAACATTTAATATAATTATGAATTATATTTGGATTTGGATTTGCCATCTTATAATTCATTTTTTTCTGAATTTTCTTGACTTTTATGAGTTAAATTATTCTTATTCCACTTTCCCCTCTATTATTGTGTTATTTATACCTCCTTTTATTATTTTTCAGTGTTAGCTACATTACAACACACATTTCTTCTTATTCAAATTCTGTTATTCTACTTTTGCCTTTTCCATTATTGTTGTCAGGCATTTTAAATTAGTTGTTTGAAACTTTGTTTATAGGGAACACAATGTGATACATTTTATTTCAGTATCAGATACTGGAAGATTTTTAAGTAAATCTTCTAAGTTCTCCATCTCATTTAAGCGATTTTGCCTATCTGCTCTATCTATTATGTGTTGATTTTGCAGCTTACTTCTGAGAGGGATAATCTTACTTCCCAAGTTCCCTGGAGGCACTTTACCGTTCCCCAGATAGGATCCATAATATTGGTTTGTTTTGCAGTTGTCTAATTGTGAAATCATCACTTGCCTTCTTCATACTTGATTTTTTTAAAAAAGACCATTTTTATCTCATTCTATTTATCCTGTGTCTGTGAGCTCCTGTGATATGTTGGAAGCACAGGTCTCTGAGGTAGGCAAGCAGTTTATGTATTACTGTGCTCATTTTCCCACAGAGAGTATCTGTCCAAGATTATCCAGCTGGTTACTAGAAGAGTTTGAAGTGGAATGCAGATGCCTCAGTCCTAACCCTTTGTGCTTTCCAGGATACTGTACTAGTCACCTTTCGACTTGATTCCCGTGTACCCAGAAGAGTTCTGCATTCTGCAAATAATTTATAGTGTTTTGGTTTTGAGATTTAACCAACAGGGGCGTGTATATGTGTGTGTGCACGTGTGTGTGCATGAGTGTGGGTGCTTACCCAAGTTTCAGTAGAAAGTCCCAAAATTTTTTTGTCCTAGCTGTGAATGAATTGAGCTTGGATTATTAGATTCTGTGATATCCATCTAAGTTTATGATATCATTAAAGTATGTAATCTTAAACAATGTTAATATCTTATCCTTAATGGTTGGTACATTTTAGCTCTTATTTTCTGAATCACATGATAGAGAATTGCACCCAGCAATAGGTTAGCTATCAGAAGCTAGAAGGAAAGTGTAATCTTTGGTAAATGTAGACTTCTAAAACATTTTAGAAATAAATTTAGCTCAGTTCACTCCTTTATGAATATCATTAGTCCCAGTCACCATAGTTGTATGAGGCCCTGTGTTATAAAAGCAGACATATGAAGCAACATCAAAAAACAGCATGCCATGGCTAGGCAATACCAGCGCCCCAAACTGTTGAGTTTATATGTTAGAGCCCAGGGATTATTCATCTTTGATAAGGTTTGAGGAACTGTAACATTCTTCCCAATGATGACAATGCTGTATATTCTGAATGACAAAGAAACAAATCTGAAGATGCAATTCAAACAGAAACCTGTAAGTGGAGTCAAAGTTTTTGATATTTTCTGTTCATTTATTCAGCGACCATTTATTGAGCTTAATTTTTCACATGATGTAACAGGGGTTCTGTCATAGTGTTTTTGTAAAGTTGCTAAACATTTTTGGCAGTGACAGAAATGGTAAATTTAGGGAAATCTCAAGTCTTTGGAATTTTGCTTCCTAAACATTTCAGACTTTTCCAGTAACTCTGCATTTCTGTAGCCCTCTTTGTCATCTTTTAGCCGACTCCATCATTATTTATTGCTTACAGTCCTGAAGTATCCTCCTGATTGATCCCATCCTCTTCCAGTCTCGTTTCCCTCTAGTCAGTTCTTCACAGTGCCACCAGGGTGATGGTTCCCAAAGGCAACCTGATCCTGTCATGCCAATGCTTATAAACATGGCGTAGTAGCTTCCCATGGCCTCTAGGATAAAATGTAGATTATTTAACAGGCTTACCTGTTGTATATTCTGTGTATCTTTTCAGCCATTTTTTCTTCTAATTATTTTATCAAACAGTGTATCCCTTATTCTCTTTCCTTCACATGTGATTCCTAATGCCTATGAACCATTCCATCTCTTCATGCCATCTCTTTTTCCCCAACTCACCAGGGTGTAACTACTAGCCATTCTTTTAATTCTCACCTGACTTCCAAGACTGAGTTAGGTTTTCTATTATGTACTCCCATGGCAACAGCATTTTCCACTTATCTTGTTGGAAAAGGGACAACTTGTCCTCTGGGGGCAGTTTGCCAGGGGCCTCTGTCACCAATATTTGTTCCACTTTCTCTTTAATTTTCACTTTCTTTCTTACACTTGCAATTCAGAGTCCAGATGTAAAACAGTAGAGGGCCATAAGTGATGGAACATCTCTTAACAAAATTCTTGGAGGCTGCTACCTGGAAACTTGTGTCCTTGGGATGATACCCTTACCCCTGAGGTGCTAGGAATGGGCCCCGGGGTCTTTCCCTGCTTTCTACTTTCCTATTGGCTAAGTGATGTCAGAGGAGGACATCTTGATATGTAGAGGTACAAGAATTCAGGGATGCAAGGATGCCTTCCTGCAAGACAGAGATCGTCCTATCTAAACCAATTGTTTTCAGGTTTTTTACTAGGAGCACATGCATGAGTGTGTGTATATGTGTATACCTATGTAAAAACATGAGCAGATATATGCATATGTATAATCCAAAACACACAAAGGTACATATACTGACATACTTAAACACAATATAACCAAAATAAAAATTTCATGAAACAGTTTTAATGTTAACCACATGCTATATACACTTACATTTTTATTTCATTTGCAAAAGAATGCTGTTATGACTCTCTAAACCTCTGGCTTGAGAGGATAAAAAAAAAGAAAACCTGTTTCAAAGCAATTGTTTGCTAACATTTTGACAAGACTCCCAAGAAGGGCGCCCTGTGTGTAGCATAATATATTGCATGTGGTAGGCATTTACTATTTGTTAAATGAATGCATTCATTAGTGAATCATTATGTATAGCTGAAACGTGAATTTTATTTTTGAAGACCTAAAACTTGGGAGTTCTTACCATTTATCGAAGGAACATCTCAATGTTCCAGAAACCAGATGGATGGGTGGAAAGGCTGATATTCTTCCAATTTAACAATCTACTCTACATTCTTACCCTGAGGAAGGCCCCACGTCTTTGTATTTGTTTCAAGGTTGTATTTCCTCCTTAGTGAACTTCCTATACACACGCTTGTAACAGTGGGAAAAAACTCGGTAATTCCGTAAGTGTTTTGTTGGAAAGATACATGCATGCTGGCTCATTTGCAAACAAGTACATGCTTGAGATCTCAAGAATACATTTTCTTTGGATCAGGATTTGTTAGATCAAGGGTTCATAATGTTTAAATAAATCTGTAAAATTATGCTGTGTGTGAGTTATAGAGAATTTAATTTCCTTTCTTTATTTTTTTATTCCTTTTATCCTGATTTTTTCTAGGCTCGAGAATTACAAGCTCGGGTACTAAAACGTGTTCAGATGGAACAGCCAGATGCAGTTCCTGCACAGAAACATTTAGCAGCTGAAATTTGTGCAGAGATTGCAAAACATTCTGTTGCTCAGCGAGACTATGAAAAAGCAATTAAGTTTTATAGAGAGGCTCTGGTTCACTGTGAAACAGATAATAAGGTCAGTACCTTTATAAAATTTTAAGTACCTTTTATTCCAGATGTCCTCTAATTTCCTCAGATGTAAAATTTTTACCAGCTTGTTTTAAAAGAAGATGTAGGCAGGGTGCAGTGGCTCTTGCCTGTAATCCTAGCACTTTGGGAGTCCGAGGCGTGTGGATCATCTGAGGTTAGGAGTTTGAGACCAGCCTGACCAACATAGGGAAACCTTGTCTGTACTGAAAATACAAAAATTAGCCAGCGTGGTGGGGGGGCGCCTCCTGTAATCCCAGCTACTTGGGAGGCTGAGGCAGAAGAATCACTTGAACCTGGGAGGTGGAGGTTGCAGTGACCCAAGATCGCGCCACTGTACTCCAGCCTGGGCAACAGAGCGAGACTCTATCTCAAAAAATAAAATAGAGAAAAAGAAGAAGATTTACAAAGAAATATAACAAAAATACAAGTTAAAAGATTAATATTATTCCTCAAAAACTTTCAAAATCTTATATGATGCCTTACATTAAGAATATTAAAGTTTAAGGCCGGATGCAGTGGCTCATGCCTATAATCCCAGCACTTTGAGAGGCCAAGGCAGGCAGATCACTTGAGTCCAGGAGTTCAAGACCAGCCTAGGCAGCATGGCTAAACCCCCATCTACTAAAAAGTACAAAAATTATCCAGACGTGGTGGCATGTACCTGTAGTCCCAGCTCCTCAGGGTGCTGAGGCAGGAGGATCACCTGAGCCCAGAAGGTCAAGGCTGCAGTTAACTATGATAATGCCACTGTACTACAGCCTGGGTAACAAAGCAATACCCTGTCAAAAAAAAAAAAAAATAGCAGAACATTACAGTTTAAAAACTGTAATGGAACAAGTAATATAAAGCAACTTGCAAATTGTTTTAATATTTATGTTTTTAATTATCAAAATAACTTAAATAATTTTCAAATTAATTTATTTTATCAATTTAATTTATCAAAATAATTGAAATAATTTTTAAATAATTTAAATAATTTCTCAATCACAAATATCTGGATTTAGATAATTCAGTTCCTTTTACTAAACAGCTGTTGTACACTCTGTATTTCAATTGGTGTTTAGTACTAAGGATGCAAAAATGGCTAGGCTGAATCTATGGCCTCATATGGCACAGTGGGAGAATAAATGTAAAGATAATTTTGGTGTAGTACACTTACATACATGACTGGTTATATAAAAACTAAAATGTTTTAACTCTGTCAAGATCTGAGAAGATCTGGAGAGATTATTAATTTTTGAAAATAATTAATGGCTAAACACTTAAGTAAGTGATCATGTACAAAAGACAACTATCCTCTAGAATTTAATGACTAGTTTGGACATTTTTATTAATATAGTTTTATCAGATAAAGGGCAAAAACAACCTTTAGCAAGGCATAACCAAACAGATACCTTTTTCAGTGGTGGCTAAAGGAGTTGGAATCTTACTTTTAAATCTGAGGCATACCTTAGAGATTATCTGCTTGAAGCTTTTTATTTTACAAATGAGAAAGCAGATTAAGAGAGGTAGAAGGGACCTGACTTGGCCCTGTCATGGAGGAGCTGGGACTAGAATCCAATCTCCTGGTTTTAAGACCAGTGTTCTTTTCACAATGCATTATGTCACTCTACTTTTGAAGTGAGTTACTACCTATTTCTCGGTTTTTTGTTTGTTTGCTTTGTTTTTTTCTCTAGTGTTAAGAGAAAATAGAGATGGTATACATACAGTTTTTTGTGGGTTTTTATTTTTGTCTATTATACTTGGCATTTTTATTGCAATGACTTTTGGTCAACTAAAGTTTAATCTGTGTCCACATATTTTCCTCATTCACTTTTTATTCTGTACAGTGTCTGATGAATCTAGCCTTTTGCTTTACAGATTATGTTGGAACTGGCACGATTATACCTGGCACAAGATGACCCTGATTCCTGCCTGCGGCAGTGTGCTTTACTGCTTCAGAGTGACCAGGATAATGAAGCTGCTACCATGGTCAGTCCAAGGAACTTCGGTACAATAAAAGCAGTTGTGTTTTATAAGTTTTAAATTTTACCCCATGGAACTACTACTAGATGAGGAGACATGGCTCATGTTGGCTTTTGGAAGAAATAACATTTTTCTTACATTACTACATTTTACCAATAAAGACCCAGAATCATTAGGATTTTATTTATAAGAAAGATAAACCTAGGTCAGGTTTTTACATGCCCTTTTGGGTCTAGTTACTTTTTTATTTATGCCTAAGGGGATGCTTGGTTAGGTGGAGTTCATGTGGTAACACTAATTGGCTAAGAACTAACTTTTAAGTACTTAGGAATGGTGGACACATTTAAGAGTTTGGGTGGAATTTTTGGAGTTACAGGGGAAAAAAACAACTTCATATATCAGTCTAAGATGTTCTATTTTGAATAGAATTTTGGTTGTTTTTTTTTCTTATTTTTATGTGGACTAAAATATTTGTTAGCTGTGCAGACAGCTACGTGGATGACATTTTGTGAGGTTTATTTAAAGTTATTGTGGTTAAAAAGAAATATATGAAATCTGCATTTTAAAGCACATAATAAGAAAAATCTCAGTAGGTCTTGCTCATTTTTAATTTTTCAAAATAGTTATGATTTAAATTTTGTTTTGTTTTTGAATCTTCTCATTGTTATTTTAGTCAGGTTCAGTGAGTTATCTTTTCTACAATAGCACATACAGTGTGCAATTCCTTTCAAATTTCTGTTTTTAAAACAACTGCTAGGAACATATTTTTTGCTAAAAATACAATTTTGCAAGCAGAGCAATCTGTTTCACATCCTTGATTATCTTCTGTTACACTGATCTCCAAGTTATTCTGCTCAAGGTGGGCTTGAACCTTAAATTCCTCCTTTTTATAAAATGCTACCCCCTCCTCATGTTTATCATCTATATTTTTCTAGTGTTAAATCTTGATTGGAAGAAGATGTTGTGTAAAATACATGGCAATATTTTTAGAACCAACTTTTATCTTTATAGATGATGGCTGATCTCATGTTCAGAAAACAAGACTATGAACAAGCAGTGTTTCATTTACAGCAGCTTTTAGAACGTAAGCCAGGTAAATACCCACTGATAGTATTTTTTGAGTTCAGTCACCCCTCCCTTACTCCTTTTTCTTCTGTTTAGTGGTTTTGCCCTTGGGCAAACTCCATCCCTAGTTGAATCAGACTGTCTACTTGTTCCACACATGGGCTTGAATAGCTGAAATGGCCATAAGGAAAATGCAACACTGTTGACTGGTCTCACTTTAAATTATGAGCACAAACCTGGCAATCCTACTGTATTCCAAGAATGAATTCATTGATTCTAACTATTTTTTCCCACTTTCTCTTGTCTCCTGAAAACTATCGGGGGAACCAGCCCCCAATATTTCAACGTACGTTCTTTTCTATTTTCCCTACGTGTCAGCTGGTCTAAGAAATAAAGAGAAAGAGTACAAAAGAGAGCAATTTTACAACTGGGCCTCCGGGGGTGACATCACCTGTTGGTAGGTTCCATGATGCTCATTGAGTCGCAAAACCAGCAAGTTTTTATTAGGGATTTCAAAAGGGGAGAGGGATATGAACAGGGAGTAAGTCACAAAGATCACATGCTTCAAAGGGCAATAAAAGATCACAAGGGCAGAGAGGCAGAGCAAGATCAGAAGGCCAGGGTGAAATTAGAATTACTGATGAGGTTCCATGTCCTGCTGGGCACGCATTGTTGTTGATAAACATCTTAACAGGAAACAGCGTTTGAGAGCAGACAACTAGTCTGACTAGGATTCACCAGGCTGGAATTTCCTAATCCTAGCAAGCCTGAGGGCACTGCCGGAGACCAGAGCGTATTTCATCCCTTATCTTTAATTGCATAAGACAGACACTCCCAGAGCAGCCGTCCATAGACCCACCCCTGGGAATGCATTCCTTTCCCAGGGTTATTCCTTACTGGGAAAAGAATTCAGTGATATTTCTTCTATTTGCTTTCTGCAAGAAGAGAAATATGACTCTGTTCTGCCCGGCCCTGCAGGCAGTCAGACCTTATGGTATCTCCCTTGTTCCCTGAAAATCACTGTTATCCTGTTCGTTTTCAGGGTGCCCAGATTTCATATTGTTCAAACACACATGTTTTACAAACAATTTATACAGATAATACAATCATCACAGGGTCCTGAGGTGACATACATCCTCAGCTTATGAAGATGACGGGATTAAGAGATTAAAGACAGGCATAGGAAATTATAAGAGTATTGATTGAGGAAGTGATAAATGTCCATGAAATCTTCACAGTTTATGTTCAGAGATTGCAGTAAAGACAGGCGTAAGAAATTATAAAAGTGTTAATTTGGGGAACTAATAAAAGGCCATGAAATCTTCGCAGTTTATGTTTTTCTGCCGCAGCTTCAGCCAGTCCCTGTGTTTGGGATCCCTGACTTCCTGCAACACAAACCTCCAATACCCTTGCCCCATTTCTTGCCCACAATTAAAAACCTTGCCACCTACTTCACTAAGAGAATACTTGCACCTGGAAGAGAACTTCTCCATTCTTTGTCACTAAATTTACCCACTCCTCAGCCTTTGTCCTCCCCAGGCCTGTGATCCTGCCTGTGTCCAGCTTCTCACCTACCAAAGGGCTTTACTCTTACAGTTCTCTCTCTTGAATTATCAATTTTTGCTAATCAACATATAACTGTGCTGTGATATCTTCCTGCTCTAAATAAATCAGTCAATAAAAATCAACTCTTAACTCTTATCCCCTCCCAATTACTGTGCCCTTCTTCAGTTCTTCTTGACAACAAATTTTTCTCTGAAGGATTTTCAAACATGCTGTGTTCACTTTGTCTCATTCACTGCTGCACTCCAGGGAAGTTGCTTCTGCAATGTGGTCGGTGACCCCCATACTGCCAGATCAGATTCAGTTCTCAGTTCTCTGCTGACTTGACCTGTCATCGTATTTGGCACAGTTTATCCCCCTCCACAATGAAAGACTTTCTTCATTTGTCTCTGAGATCCTAAACTCACTTCGTTCTTCTTTTGCCCCATTGCCCGCTGTTTCATTCTCCTTTGTTGGAGTTCTCTTCTCTGTATGACCTTTAAATATCAGAACACTCTTAGCTTCAGTTCCTGAACCTCCTTTCTTTTTATATATTCACCCCCTAGGTGACTTTGTCCAGCTGCATGGCTTTATATCCCATGTATGTACTGATGTGTCCTAAACATTTATCTGCAGCCCTTACTTATATACACCTCTGCCTCTTTGCATTCCCACTCAGATGTCTAGGAGTATCTCAAGCTTAACATGTCCGAAATAGAACACCTGATCTTTCCCTCCCCTCTAAGTTTGCTCCACCCCCACCTCTCACCTCAGTGAGTGGCATCACTGCTCCCTGTTATGCCAGCCCAGACCTCACAGTTAATCTTTGTCTCATCTTTCTCTCATATATCACCTCCAGTCTATCAGCAAATCCTTGTTAGTGCTACATTCAAAGTATACCTAGAATGCCATCACTTTTTACTACCTCTGTTACTGCCACCCTGGTCTAAACCATTGCCATCTTCCACATAGATTATTGCAACATCGTCATAACTCATCTCTCTTTCCATCCCTAGCCTATGAAGACTTTAGAAATGCTTTCATCGAAAATGGCAGAGATGCCCCTGAAAATTCTAGGCTAAAAAAGCACGGCTTTTAATTTTCTGTCTGTAAAAGAAATCTAAAAGTACACTGTGTAGGGGTTGGTATGGCAGTTCCACGGTGTCTTCAGGAAACCAGAGCCTTCTCCCTTTTTGTTCTACATTGTTACTCTGACTTGCCTGAGCATCACCTCATGGTTCAAGATGACCACTGCAGTGCTGGGCATTGATGTTCCAGGGCCCAGATGGGGAAGGTGGGTGCAGAGCTGGACAAAAGGGCTTCCCAACCAGCAAAAAAATAAAACCCAACCCTTAGTAGTGTCAACTCCATGGCTGCAAAAGAAGGTGGGAAACGTTATCTTTTAGCTGCATCTAATACCCTGTAGAATAAAATCAGAATTCTGATAGTAAAGAAGAAAGGGATAACAGAAACTAGGTAGGCAAAAGCCCAAGCCAGTTACAGCCTTGAGCCTTTTTGTTTGCTGTTTCTGCTTCCCAGAATGTGCTCCTCCCAAAGGTCCATCTGCTGCCTCATTTTCTTTTGGGCCTTTGCTCCGGTGCTGCTTCTTCCTTAGAATGCCTTTCCCTCACTGGCCTACATCAAGTAGCACCACTTCTTGCTCTCCATCCCTTTATCCTGTTTTCTGTTCAGTTGGGTTTTTGGGGTTTGGCTTTTTTTTTTTTTTTTTTAAGGATTTTTGGGTTTTGTGTAGCTCTTGTGAAACAAAACCAAAAAAACTATAAATCATAGAACAGAAGCATCAAGTGACCAGAAATGTTGCCCTTCACTGCTGTGTTTCCAGAATTGAGAAGGATACCTGGCCTAGTTAGTACTTGACAAATACTGGATGGAAAGAAGAGTGAGGGAGAAAAGGAAGAAAGGGAAGCAGGGACGGAGGGAGGAGAGGAAAGAGGAAAAGAAGAAAGAGAGGTGGGAACTGTTTGACTAATAGATGACTGTGTGTTACTACCTGTGTTACTAAAAAGAGTTTGAAATGGCAGAGAAAGTCCTACAGCTGTGTTTCAGTTCTTCTAAACCCCGGTCAGAGCTGCCTGGTTAGAGCCGCAGAGACACAGAGGTGGCAATCCTTCAAGCAGGGCAACTCAAAGAACTAGATATGCTCTACAGGCTACCTCTACTAATGCTTTTAATAAAAAGACGTTTGAATTTAGAGAACATCAGTTCATACTTAGAAATAAAATATCCCCAGTTGGCACAAAAATTGAAAGGAAAAAATATGGTCTATTTTTTACAGTAGTATCAACACTTTCTCTTTATTATTTTTACTATTTAATTTTTTTTCCACCTTGGGACTACCAGAGGCCATTTCATTTGTTTTTTGCCTTGTCTTTTCCAGAGTATACTTAGATGTTACTTAAAAGAATGCTGTGAATTACTTGACCACCTCACCTCTTCCACTCACCCTGGGTCCAAAATATGGGCTCATCTTGCCACCCACATTGCCCAAACCTACTTTTATTTTCTTCAGGCTTGTGTCGTTTTTTTTCCCTGCCATTTCTACCTTGTGTTCCACACTGTTTTCTCTTATTCCTCTTCTCTAAACTACCATTTGAAAGTAATATACATAATATTTTCATTCTATCTCAAGCGGTTCCCATTTCACAGTCTTTCCCTTTGAGACAATGATCTAACTTTATTTCTTAAAAAAGCAGACTTCTTCTGTTGTGAATATTTTTAAGGCATTAAAAGTATTACCGTTTTCTAAGATTTGAAGAATCTCACACATTATAGTTTTCTAAGATTTGAAGAAGCCTTCATGTGTCTTGTGGGTTTTGTTTCACTTAAGTTTCTGTTAGTTGGCAGCAGCCTTTTTCCCAAAAAAATTGGCTGAGTAGACTGACTGCTTTGGACTGTTGGTAAACAAATATAAAAGCAATTTTTTATAAATGCAATATAAGGATCTTGTATTCCAGCAACACCAAATGACATGCAACCACGCTTCCAAGTCTTTGCTTGGGTTTTTTCCTTTTGCCTAAAATGAACTTTAGCTTCCTTATCTCTTTTCTCTTTCCAAACACATAATCTAAAATATATCCCTCTTGGGAGAAAATACAAAAGTAAATCTGCATCCCACTACCACCACCTACATTAAAAATGTCTTAGGTGATGCTGGGTAGCATGAGCCACCATCCTAGATTTGCCTCAGAGCGAAGGGTTTTCCTGAATGCGGGGCTTCCCATGCTAACAGAAAGTCCCAGGCAAACTGGGATGAGTTGGTAACCCTAATCCTCGGTTACTTTGTCCATGCATATTTATTACTTATAGTATTTTACTAAAAATATTTATGTGCATATTTGTGTTGTTTATTAGACTGTAGACTCCTCAAGTTCAGGGAACTCACCATATTTATCTTATATTCCCAATATCAGACAAAATGCCACGCACATGGATGTGGCAACATAGATGTTTATTGGTTGAATGGATCAGTGAATGACTGTAAAACACCAAGTCAATTAAAAATACAGCAGGAGAATCGCTTGAACCTGGGAGGCGGAGGTTGCAGTGAGCCAAGATCACGCCACTGCACTCCAGCCTTGATGACAGAGTGAGATCTCAAAAACAACCACAAAATTTTCAGTAAATTTTTATTGTCTATGTGATATTTTTAATCGTAAGAGTTTTTAATCTTGTGTTGTATGCCTTGTTCTTACTAGTACCTTACACACTTATCCACAGATCTATTTTGTTGGAATTACTCTAAAACATATGTACCTACATTCATTTTATGTGTACATTATTGTTTAGCCTCAGTAACTCATCTTGTACTTTAGATTAAGGCTCTATTTTAGCTTATTTCAGAAATATACCATACAAATTTGACTTAATTTAAGTAGTTGAAAAATTCCTCTTCTAGATCTAATTACTGCTGTCATGACAGATTGCCCCTTTTCTCTGTCAGAATCTCCAGATGGCCTTGAGCTTTCCCCTTCCTTCATAGTAATCGGTTAAGGTGTCTCCTCAGTTCTGTTTGCTTGATAGCTAGCCAACACATCCAGTCAGTCTAGTAAGATCTTCCTCCTATCCTTGAGGCTGCTCAAAGGTCAACTCTTATGTGAAATTTCCCAACTCCTCCAGGCAAAGTTCGGAATCCTGTGCTTTGTAATACCATACCATAGCATTGTATGCTTGCCACATCTCATCACCCTATAACTATTTTGATATCTTCTTACTATCCATCAATAAAGATGGACCAGCTAAGTTTTTTAGAGGGTAATACACATTTTAGTTTTTAATGGATTTCTTAAGTGCAGAAATTTGCAAATGTCATGGTTAACCAAAAGACAAGTGAATGTAATTTAATCTGTCACTGGTAATTATAACTTGAACTAATAATGAATACATTTCAATAGTATATAAGAAATATTCTAGAAATTGCCTTCCCAATGTTGACAATACTAGCAGTATCATGCAAAAAAAATTTCACCAGAAATTTTAACCTTTAGTTCTTGCTTAATCCAGTACAGCTTCCAGATGCTGTGGCTTTATTATGGGGTATTCTATTTCTTATCAAAATTTTTGAAGTATAAATATTATTAATAACATTTGTAATTTATAAATATTTTTCGTGGCTTTATTTATATAGCAGCACTCCTACAGTCAATATTATAATGCTATTTTAAGAAAATAAGTGGATTGGACTCAAAGAATTTGAGAAATTTGTTTGAATTCACATAGCTAAACGACAAGACCAATATTTGAGTTGTCTTTTTCTGAAACCATATTCTTATTGTGCCCTTTTTAGTGATGCTAAAAAGTGTGATGAACAAAATCTCTGGACTCAAGATTGTGTGTCAAGGGGACAAACGATACTATCAACCTGTATTAGTTTAACATCCTGTAATTGAGTAGATACAGTGTTTCCAGAAGTTCTTTTTTTAAAGAATATTTTGTATTGTGGTGAAACATATATAACACGAAATTCATCATCTTAACCATTTTTAAGTGTATCGTTTAGTGGCATGAAATGCATTCACATTGTTTTGTAAGTCATCACCGTTACCCATCTCCAAAACTTTTTTACCATTCCAAACTGTAAGTCGGTACACCAGTTCCTCATTCTTCTTCCCGGAGCCCCTAGCAACCATCATTATACTTTCTGTGTTTATGAATTTAACTATTCTAGGCACCTCATGTAAGCTGTATCACACAGCATTTGTCCTTTTGTGTCTGGCTTATTTCACTTGGTATAATGTCTTCACAATTCATCCATGTTGAAGTGTATGTCAAAATTTTCTTATTTTTTATGGCTGACATACAATATACAATATTCCTTTATATGTACGTGCTACATTTTGATTATCTATTCAACTGCAATGGACATTTGGGCTCTTTCCACTTTTTCTGTCTATTATGAAGGTTGTTGCTGTGAACATTGGTGTACAAATACCTGTTTGAGTCTCTGCTTTTAATCTTTTGGATACATACTCAGGAAAATTGCTGGATTTACGTGATGTCATCTCTTTTCAAATAGCAAAATAGAGTCAAGGATAAATAGCTTTAAAACAAGCTTTTTTGTTTTTGTGTTTTAATTCTAGAAATTCAACCTAAGAACATGTTGGGAATAGCCTAAGGGTTTTTGCAATTCCCCTACGTATCCCTAGTCCTGTGCTAACTGAAACTTGAGCACCCAAACATCTAAAAGATACCACTATAAAGAAATAAATAATGTGAATCATCAGTAAGTAGGCCCTTATGCAACCATTAAAAATCATGTTTTGGAAGATTCTTTAATGACAATTGGGAAATGTTTACTGTTGAATGTTCATCAAAATCAACATTAAAACTAATCAAAACCAATCAAAATCAAAACCCCAAATGTGACTCCAGTTTTGTATATATGTAAATAAACATCGATTTTGTATGAATGTAAACAAAGAAATAACGTATCTTTGCTTACATTTATATATCGGTTGGTTTTCAAATATATGAAAGAAAGCACACCAAAATGTGCTAATCTCTAGCTGGAAATATGTTGATTTTTTTTCTTTATACTTTTTATATTTTTTCCTTATTTTCTGTAGTGTCTATACATTATTTTTACAATCCTAAAAAAGATTTATTAAATTATTCTGTAACTTAGTTTGTTAGTGATAAGAGAGAATTAGATAGAATTGGGAGAAGGCTTTCTAGGAACCTGCCAGGAAATTATACCTGAGATCAAAGGAATGAATGAATGAATTAATTTTTTTAGAAGAAGGTGAAACAGGATTAAAATATGGGAACTAATATGCTAAGGTTCTAGTATGGTAAGTTAGCATATGGTATGTTAGCTATATGTACATATCAAAGAGAGACTGGAGAAAAATTTCTTATTGCCCACCCCATACATTATTTGTCAATTGTACTGTTCCCACGTCCTTCCTAGCAAGAGTAAGTAGGAGAGGGGTTCTCAGAGACCTACAGTGAACTTGCCCTGTCCAATTAAATCGGTATCCCTGAACTACACAGTTGAAAGTCTAGATTACCTAGGTAGAGGCTGTTTCTCTAAGGTTGTCGTCCCCCAATCTCTAAGGTTGTCGTCCCCCAAACAGTAGAAAAGTTACAAGAAATATTCATTTTTCCAGATTTGCCTATGTAGATGTGACCAACCCAGCCCAAACTATGTCATTTAGTAGATCATCTAGTTGGCCATACAGCATCTTTAGGGACTTATTCCCTGAGGCATTTTTTACTTATATTTAAAATGTACTTTATATAAGTAAATTATACACTAATGAAGTAGAATTATAACCAACAAAAGAAACAATATAAAATGTTGCCCATATCTGAAGTATTATTTGTTTTCAGATAATTATATGACATTATCTCGTTTGATTGATCTCCTAAGACGATGTGGAAAACTCGAGGATGTCCCAAGATTTTTCTCAATGGCTGAGAAACGTAACTCCAGAGCAAAGTTGGAGCCAGGATTTCAGTATTGTAAAGGACTATATCTTTGGTAAATCTATTGACAAATAAATGCTACATAATTTTTTTTTTCTCATTGTAAATCAAGTAGAATAAGCTTTTCTTTGTAGTAAAAAAAATGTACTTTTCAAAATAGTTCATCAGTTTTATTTACCAGACAGATTATAAATTAATATAAGTTTTGTAGTCAGTGATTGAAATAAATAATTCTTTTAAACATCTAACAAGGTACACTGGAGAACCAAATGATGCCCTTCGACATTTTAATAAAGCTCGGAAAGATCGTGACTGGGGCCAAAATGCCCTTTATAATATGATAGAAATCTGTTTGAATCCAGATAATGAAACTATTGGAGGTGAAGTATTTGAAAACCTGGATGGAGACCTGGGGTGAGTTGTTTGACATATTATCCTTTTTTAAAAAACACTTGTTGGAGATAATAAACAGGATACTATACAAAAGAACTAAATTCTAGGATAGCAATAATGAAAGGGCAGATGAATAAAATAAATAGGCATTTCATTGCCTGTTTCAGAGAATAGTTATTTTAGCAAATTGAATAGTTATTCAATAGATTAGTTATTGCTAACATAACTATCCTCTGAAACAGGCATAAAATGTTTTTAGGTTTCCTAAATAATAATAGACATGTTATGAAGACACTCCCCTAATTGTAGAATTTGACAACTATGGCAAAAATTATCCACACAATAATAGTAACTACTTAACAAATGGTAGGTATTTTCCAGACCCTGTCCTCTATACTTTCTATGCACTATCTCATTTGTTTTCTACAATAGTATTGCAAAATAAGCTGAGTCAACTTGTTTAATGTGATAGTAATGATGGAGGCAAGATTTAGACTGAGTCCTGACTGCTGCTAGTGTGGTATACTGCTAGTCAATGGTTATTTATCAACCTGCATTAGTAGCCTGTCCTCTCTTTAGACTCGGGCAAGGCATGTGGGGAATGTATTAGAACATAAAGGGAATATGAGGTAGTTCCTGCCTTCAGGAGTGTGTAATTTACTTAAGAGGCAAGACAATACCTGAAACCTTTCAATCTGCAACTAAACATAAATGGATTTACATGGATATTAAGTATTGTCAGAGTTCATAGGAATCATAGCAGTGCATGAGGTATTCAGGGGAAGATGCATGGAGGAGCAGGAAAAAATTAATACTAGATTGCCAAGAGATTTCAATGACAGATTTTAATGCTTGGATTACAGAGATCAATTAGAGCTAGGAAGTGGCATGTTTATGGTTGTTATAGGAAGGTTGAGGTAACATTGCTGTTACGGAACTATAAGCTATCCAAGTGGAAATCTTCTGCAGGCAATTCAAAATACAAAACTAAAACTCTGAAGAGAGGTCACAGCTAGGGATAGAGATTTGGGAGACATCTGCAGAGTGCATAGTTGGAACTCCATGAATGGCCTCTTTGAAAGTGGTAGAATGAAGTAACAAAAATCTGAGAACTAAATGTTAAGTTTGTTAACATTTAAGGGATCTGGAGGAGGAAGGAAGGTCAGAAAAGGGCAATCAACATGGTAGAAAGAGAACTAAAGCCATGTAGTGTTACAGAAGCCAAGGAAGAAGAACTTTGAAAATGGTAGTCAACAGCGTGACATGTTTTAGGTAAGATAAGCCTAAGGTCTGAGAAGAAGACCAGTGGCTTTAGTGATTGGACTTTGAATGTTTAATTTCCTTTTATTAATTGATTTGTGTATATGTGTGTGTGTGTGTGTGTATAAAACAAGAAAATTGCTATTAAATATTCAAATTGCACTTGAAATTACCTTTTGACACACATAATTTCTGAGAGTCTGATAGGCAATGTGGTGAGGAGAACAGAGTAGATTTTATATGTCTGATAAACTTAGATTCAGGTCCTAGGTTTACCACTTATTAGCTGCATGACCTTTAGCAAATTACCTGTTTGAGCCTCAGTTTTCCTGTGTGTAAAATGGATTAAACATAGAATGAAATAAGACAGTATTTGTCACTTTTTCCTCCTCCTTTTCTTTCCTTTCACTTTTTGAATAGATATATGTTAATTTTATTGTTCTACTTATAGTTTTATATTTGCTGGAATGCACACATTTACAACATGTAGATATTGTCCAACTTTTGTCTTCATTCTAGAGGAAATTAATGCTTAATGGTGTTTTATTGAGTCCCTATTAATTTTGTTTAAAATGCATTGTAACTGTGCTTCAGTTTGTATTAGAAGAGAATGAGTGACATTCTTCACAAAAGATTACTTTTAAATGAATGACAAAAAGTATAAAAGAATGCCCAGAGCTTTTTTGTACAAAAGCCAATTCTAATCTCAATGAATTGTATCATGAGTAAGAGACATAAGTGATTTATTTTTAATTATATACAGTAATTCAACTGAGAAGCAAGAATCTGTGCAATTGGCAGTAAGAACAGCAGAAAAACTTCTTAAGGAACTAAAACCTCAGACTGTTCAGGGTCACGTACAGCTTCGCATAATGGAAAACTATTGCTTAATGGCTACCAAACAGAAATCTAACGTTGAACAAGCATTAAATACCTTCACTGAAATAGCAGCATCTGAGGTTAGTGGATTTTCTTTTTCAGCTTCATATGTTATCTTTATTTGGTAGTATAGAAACATGTATTTTGATTAGTTGTTTATTTTCTGAAGAAACATTGACTTAATTTCCTGTTTTGTTTTGTTTTGCTTTGTTTTGTTTGTTTGTTTGAGACAGAGTCTTGCTCTGTCGCCCAGGCTGGAGTGCAGTGGTGTGATCTCGGCCCACTGCAAGCTCCGCCTCCCAGGTTCATGCCATTCTCCTGCCTCAGCCTCCCGAGTAGCTGGGACTACAGGCGCCCACCACCACATCCGGCTAATTTTTTGTATTTTTTAGTAGAGACGTGGTTACACTGTGTTAGCCAGGATGGTCTTGATCTCCTGACCTCATGATCCACCCACCTTGGCCTCCCAAAGGGCTGGGATTACATGAGCCACCGCGCCCGGCTTAACTTTTATTAAAAATTAGGTATATAGTTGGGCATATACAATGTCCCCTTCTTTGCAGAAGAGACGATGTTACTGTTTTGATGTGTTGTTGATGTATTTCTCTCTACTGGAATGTTAAATTCCAGAGAAAGGGAATTCTTCAAAAGTACATAAGTTAATTCTCAAGGGAGCCACTTTATCCTCTGGAGAATTTCTGTGTTGTAGATGTAGCCAAGATTAACTTACTAAGTGGAAGTAAACACCTGGCTGCCCTGATGTCTTACCTCTTCACTTACATGAACTTGGAATTTTTCCAGCTATATAGCTACATGAGAGCAATACTGACAGCTTCTAACTTAGTCATACAAATAATTATATAATTTTTTATTTTTTTTATTTTTTTGACACAGAGTCTCACTCTGTCGCCCAGGCTGGAGTGCAGTGGCGCAATCTCAGCTCACTGCAAGCTCCGCCTCCCAGGTTCACGCCATTCTCCTGCCTCAGCCTCCCGAGTAGCTGGGACTACAGGCGCCCACCACCACGCCCGGCTAATTTTTTGTATTTTTTAGTAGAGATGGGGTTTAACCGTGTTAGCCAGGATGGTCTTGATCTCCTGACCTCGTGATCCACCCGCCTCAGCCTCTCAAAGTGCTAGGATTACAGGCGTGAGCCACCGCGCCCGGCCACAAATAATGATATTCTTTGGCAACACTGAAATAACCTCCTGCAATCTTTTCAGATTTGTTATTTTCATAGTATTATTCTTACAAAATCAGAGGCTTTCTTCTCTTCTCTGTGCTTGAATCCACCTTTTTTCCTTTTCTTTGAAACGGAGTTTTGCTGTTGTCGCCCAGGCTGGAGTGCAATGGCGCAGTCTCAGCTCACTGCAACCTCCGCCTCCCAGGTTCAGGCAATTCTCCTGTCTCAGCCTCCCAAGTAACTGGGATTATAGGTGCCTGCCACCATGCCCGGCTGGTTTTTGTATTTTTAGTAGAGAGGGGTTTCGCCATGTTGGCCTGGCTGGTCTGGAACTCCTGACCTCAGGTGATCCACCTACCTTGGCCTCCTCCACCTTTTTTCTTACTCTGTAGATACTGTTTTTCCTTCCCTCACACAGCACTTTATTTCTTCAATTACTTGATATTAAGAAAGGAATTCTAGATACCCTCCCATCAGCAGTTGGTAAGTTACTTTTAAGCATATTCATTGGATTTCATGTTTATTCTTCCATTCAGTGATGCTGTAGGCCACTGGAAGCTCATTTTGTGTCTCTCAGAGGACACACAGAATTTTTCTGTGATTTCTTATGGTTCAGTGGTCACAGTGGCAACAATAAACTACCCAAAGCCCTGTACAGTGATCTCTTTCCCCTCACCTTCCAGGGCCCTGGAGGAGATTGAGATGTCAGGGGTTTGGGAGACCTGCAACTCATGTTGTGGCTTGGGTACAAGTATCCTAGATGGCAGCTTTATTACCACACTTGGAACAAAAGAGCAGGGCAGCACGTCAGCAGCAACCCTCCAAAGCAAGGCCCTTCTGCACACATTGAAGTAATGTGCTCAGGGGTCATGCTCTGTTGAATTGGCTTTGTGGAACAGATGGATGACAGCTGCTGAATGAAGACAGAGCAGAAGTAGAGCAATCATGTACATCTAAGAGAATCTCTAGGAACATGAGGAAGCACAGTCTCATGTCAAGTGCCATAGCTACTGAATGCTGTGATGTGCTATTCTATCTCATAACAATGAGAAAGTTTATTTTGACTAAATCCATTATCCCTACTGTGAAGTTTAAGAGAGGAAAAAAAGCCAAAAGCAGTGAATGATATTACAGCTATTTCCTAGAAAGACTATGCCTGCTTTCTGTTGATGAGACTGCGTTATTTTTTTAATCATCCTTACGTATGTGGTTAGTAAAATACTATCTTCAGATATGTTTACTAACCATATTATTCAAAAGATAATGATACATGAGCTGAAGTTTCATAAGCATCAAATTTTATCTCACATTTTTTTCTTTTAACTCATAGGCTGCATATATTCAATATAATGAATATTCATTAAGCAGCCAGCAAGTGCTAAGCATAGTGGGAAACACAAAGATAAATAATGTATGGTCCCTTTTTTCAAGTTTCTCATAGTCTATGGAAGACAAGGCAAGCATACTGACTATGATGACTTAATACAAAGCAAAATGCGTTACATTCCTTACTAGAATTGCAAATAAAAATGCCGTAGGAGACAGTATAAGGAGAGTTGGGGGACCCTTTTGTAAAGAAGGTATGATTTAAGAAAAAATAGGATTTAAGAAGCAGGTATGATTGAAGAACCAGGATAAATTGCATTTTAACAGGCAGAAATGAAGACAGTGTGTTCCAGAGGAAGAGGAAAATGTGAATGAAGTCAGGGAGGCAGAAAAACATAGGGTATGTTCACAATCCTGTGTGTCATTCAGAGGGACTGAAAAAGAGGTATGTGACAGGAAATCATGGAGGACATGCTGGAAGATACATTAAACCCAAGCTAAAGTGTTTCCACTTGCTTTCATTGCATCACCTCAAACCATAAAGATGAGATGTTTGTAATACAGCTGTATTGTCCACATCCGAGTCTTGTCCTTGGCAATCTAAGGTTACTGCAATTTAGAGTTATTGAGAGACAGAGAGAGAAGCTGGCTCTAGGTCTTAGGATGTCTGCACCAGAAAGAAATACCTAATGCAGGGATTAGAACTCAGGTTTGCTTTTAGAAACTGTTCTTCAGTTCACTCAGGAGTGATCAAGTTGTGAAGAACCGGTAGATTCTAATCAAACTCAAAGTGTAAGTCAGAGAGGTTATTTTTAATTGTGTAGTGTAAGGGGAATGTGGGACCTTTTAATAGGACCCTCTTCCTCTTAGGCTGTCCTAGGACCTTGCTGACAAATACAGAGCAGGCCTCTATTTTCTCTCCTCTCCTGGCCCACCTGAGGTGGGCTGGGTTGAGGAGAGGGTGAGGCTCTGTTATTGGTAACATCCAACACGTCTTTGTAATCTACAACCAATTGGTTGGATTTAACACTTAAACCATTTTGCCACCCCTTACCTAGAGGAACAGATTACATCTTGGAAGTTTATTGATAGACATAGAATTTGAGGTAAGGAAGTTTTTATATTTCTAAAAGCTGTTTTTATAAAACCCTGATGTACTGCCCTTCTCTATTCCAGAGTTATCTCTTACTTCCAACCATAATCATTTGGACATTGAACATTTTACCACTCTCCTTTTACAATATTCCTTATCAGTTACCCAAATTTGCTATCTTATAGTATACTTCTATTATAGTAATGATATCATCAGTCCTCAGTCACAATTTCTTGCCCTTTGTTTTTGTTTTTATTTTGAGACAGGGTCTCATTCTGTCTTCCATGCTGGAGTGCACTGGCATGATCCTAACTCACTGTGGCCTTGAACTCCGAGGCTCAAGAGATCCTCCCACTCCAGCCTCCTGAGTAGCTGGGACTACAGGGGCCGGCCACCACACTCAGCTAGTTTTTCTTTGTTATTTTTAGTAGAGGTGAGGTCTCGTTATGTACTAGCCTCAGCCTCCCAAAGTGCTTCGATTACAGATGTGAGCTGTCCACCTGGCCCCTTTATTTGTATGTCAAGCTGAGGCTTCTTTCTTTATAAATGCATCGTAATCTCTCTGCTGAAATTTAAGAAGCATCCTACCTTAATCAAGAACATACACATTATTGCTTATGAAAGTTAGTTGTCTGGATAGATCACTAATGGCCTCCATTTTATATGAATTCTCATTAACCTATTGGTTTCATAGAGTGACATTCTCTGACTTCAAACTCTATCCAAAAGAATATCATATAGATTGTTTTAGGAAGCTGCAGACTCCAAATCTAAAAGCATAATTTAAGGCATTAGTTTATTTCATGTACTTTCCAAGTGGTGAATTAATTATGTGCCTTATTTTTAACATTTCGTTGTTCAAACTTTATTGGGAGAAGAGGTTTTTGGATAAAAGGAGAAGGGAGGGGAATAAAGCAATAGAAGTCATAATGGGTAAGGACCATCGTCAGGTAAATTATTGTTACTCGTCTTTGACAGGTGAAAGAAGTAAGGAGCCTAAATGTTAAATCTGAAATACAAACTGCTCAATAAGGATTTTACTGAAACAGTTTTATTTTTTCTGTTTCTATACAAAACTAAAACATGACTATTTGAACCCCATTAAAGATAAAGTCTCACTAATTATTGTAATTGTGTGCATGTGGCATCTGAATAGTTGTCATTATCTTGAATTATCTTGACCACACAGTGCTTGACCAAGTTTCTTCATAGCAGCTTGAGGGTACTTGATGTGTTAAGTAATGATCTGTAATCACAGTTATCTGTAATGGAGCTAGAAATGGAATCCACAAACTAGTTCTCATGTAGCATTTTCTGCTTTCTGTATGTTTTTGAGACATTTATGTTTGTGCATCTTGTGGTCTAAAAGTTTATTTTCTTATAGAAGGATCATATCCCAGCACTCTTGGGAATGGCAACGGCTTATATGATCTTGAAACAGACTCCACGAGCCAGAAACCAGCTGAAACGTATTGCGAAAATGAATTGGAATGCTATTGATGCCGAAGAGTTTGAGAAGAGTTGGCTGCTACTTGCTGATATTTACATTCAATCAGCAAAATATGACATGGCAGAAGAACTATTAAAACGGTGCCTGCGTCATAATAGAGTAGGTGATTGAAGAGTAAAAAATAATTATTGACCTTTGCTGCATAAGCTTTCCATATAGATATCATTGAGTGTTAGTCCATTTCCAAGGATTCCTGTGTGATTTTTGAAAATTAAATGTTTATTCTTACCACAATCAGAAAACAAGGATTAATAATAAGAAAAAAGCCATTTGTCCTTTAAAGTTAAAAAAAAAAAAAAAGATTTATGCAATTTCAAGTTTCAGCTCTAGTGATGCCCTACTTAACAGAAAGTGTTTTTGGAATGTCAAACATTTGCCTGTGATTATCCATCTCATCCCAGAACTAATGAAAATTGCAGAAGAACATTAATTGCGGACGTCTGTCCCTCCCATTAAGAAATACTCTTGAATTTACTGCAGCTGCATGTCATTTTCTCATTATTAGAATCTATTATGCATAATATATTTTGTGGGAGAAAGTCTTTTCAGCTTTTAATTTCATTTGTTTAATAAAAATTCCTTATCTTTAGGTATAAAATTGAATATTATAAAGTCCTTAGAATTTAAGACTTTTTACTAACATTTTGATGTTTAATTACAAAAGATGGCATTATAGCAGTTCTTTAAAGTTAAGATTTATTTTTTTGTTAAGAAATAATTGCACACAACTTAGAAATGATATTTATCTTCATATATTCATATCAATTACTTCAAAACCTTAATCACAGTAAATCTGTTTTATTCTCCTTGAGTGAATTAGATTACAAATGGACCATTTATTTTTTAAAGAGGAATTGTGATTATCTAGTACTATTAAGATTCTTTCCTAGGAACTTAAGAACCTGAATGATCCAAGCATTTATCAATTTATAAACTATTCTAGATGATTAGTTACATAAATTTTATATTAAATTGGCTTTGAAAAGTAGAATGCTCATTAATAGGCTTTGAAAATCTAAATTGCTGAATAGTTTACCCTTTCATATCTAGTCTAGGATTAACCAAGATTGCATGGGAATTTCAGTGCACACAGAATTTCAGTTTGCCAGAATGCTGATAACAATACATTGCATGGTTGAACATGATGGCTGCTTTAGAAGCTTCATTCAGCCCTGCTGGTTGAATATGTTGATATTGAAAGCATGACATTTAAGAACTAAAGCTTAGGAACCTTGAATTACATAATTTAAAAAATGGAAGTCATCCATATCTGGGGCAGGAAATGTACAAGATGACACTAGACTGTCTTGCTGTACCAGATGATGAAGGAAGCTATCCATGATGATTAGAGTTTGTGTCAGAGATCTAGAGGCCAACTTGAAGACACCTCCAGCATGCGAAGTTGGGATACTTTAAGTATCGATAAGAATGATAACTGCAATATATTGAAACACATAAAATATGTTTAAATCCATGACTTCTCAAAGATCCAAAATAGAAAAAACAAAACAAACAAAAAACCTAATTGGTGACCACTACAGTATGCTAGTGAACTGACTGCTATTTCTAAAGCTTGCAAACAAATATCCTGCCTTTTCTATACAGAATTGGTTAACCAAATAGTCAATGAGACGTTTCTCATCATAGACATTTTCCAGCTAACAAATGAAGAAAGACTGATAGACTATCCTCATTTTTCAACCCTGATAAATTTATATATGGATATAACATCACAAAAAGATGGAGAATCAGACATTTTGTGCTTCCCAATAGAAGAACATACATCAATGGCAGGGCTAGGGTTGGGATGAGACAAGGGAAACACTCAGTAATCAAGATAAATAATAATTTAATGCAGCTGTGCTGAACTTTATTGGAGCCTGAGTCAAAAGGGAATATGTGCATTCCTATATTCATATTTTTATGTTTTTAAAAAAATAGGTAATTGGTAATGGTTTTAATGAAAATATTGCTGGTGAGATTTCTTCCATTAAAGTGAGAAAAGTAAAATGATAAGAAATTAAGTTTAGGTATAAATAAAATGTTCAGTCTTAAATGTAGTGATTTTTAATATATACTTTCAGATTCTTCAGTATTTTTAAACTCATATTCTGGAAAAAAAAATACAATTAAGAAATATACAAAAACACGCATCCTTGTTTTTATGCCTCAGGCTCCAGTGTGGCTTATCATGGCACTGATGTTAGAAGTAGATTCACCCCTCCCCTCCAGAATCAAAATGGAATCCCAACCTCTAATTACAGTTTTCAGAAAATGTCAGTGACATAGGAATATGTTATATAAACACCACAAACATGTAGTCAACTAAACCTGCGTTGTGAGAAATTTGGGGATAAATGTTTGTTTCTATTACATTTCATTTCAAGAAAAGAAACACAGAGAGACAGACATACTAAAGGGAAACCTCTAGATCAAAAAAGACTAGATCAAAACATTGACCACTTACAATGTTTGATCCTTATTCAGTCCTCATTCTAACAAAAACAAACTATATTGAGACAATAAAAATTTGGACAGTACTGGATATTTGGTGCTATTAAGGAGTCGTAAACATTTTAGGTGTGATAAAATTGTTTCTGTTTAAATAACATCTTTAGAGATGCACACTAACACATTTAGACTTAGTTGATATGATATCTGAGGATTTTTTCTGTTAATACAGAAGGGTAGGTTTGTGAGATAGAGGTGAAACAGTATTAGTCACGAAATAATTGTTGAAGATAAGGGTTCGTGGAGTTCATTATGCTCTTATCTCCATTTTTGTATGTGTTGAAATTACTCATAATAGTGTACATGTGCTTGTGTAAAATACAAATGCCCTGTTGTGCATTTCTGATTCTGTAAAGAAAACCCTGATTCTGCAGATTTGTAATGGAGACTTGCCATCAGAATCATTTATTAAGTTCAGTAAAAAATTTGATTGCCTAGCCAAGGTTGAAAACCATTATTTGATTTGTCATTTAAATGGGTTAATATGATTGACTCTATAGTCACGAACATCCCATAAAATCTTAGTGATATCAGGTTTAATCTATTGATGTCGCCCATTTTTCTTCAGTCTTGCTGCAAAGCTTATGAATACATGGGATACATTATGGAAAAAGAGCAAGCGTATACAGATGCTGCCTTGAACTATGAGATGGCATGGAAATACAGCAATCGGACAAATCCAGCAGTAGGTGAGTTTGGCAATCACCTAGATTTTTCACAGAAAAATTATGTTTTATTTATTACTTTTCATTTAAATGCATTTGATTGTTTTCAAAACAATAAACATTGAGTCAATTTTCATCGTCAACCTTTCTGAAAGGAGAATACATTTTATATTTATAATATATTATTAGCTACTAATAGTTCAATTTCCTGAGTTCCAAACTTGTCCTCAGTCACCTCAGTGTACATCTAGTCTAATTCTGCCCCCTTCTCTTCCTTCTAAAAGGAGGTGCTATTTTGAAATTGGGAATGCCATGGAAAAAGATGTTTCCATTGCCAAGTAGGTTAGGAAAATATTGCATTAAATTTAATTACACAGGTTTCTTTACTTCTCAAAGCTATTAAACACTAATGTATATTGCGATGGATATCACAGAGGGGCCATGTTTCCCACAATTATTTGACCATGGGCCATTTTTTTTTCTCCTGAGCATCTAGAAACATCATCCACTCCCAGTGTTTTATAGGCTGTTTGTTTGAGTAATGCTAGTCTACAGTGTCCCTAACAGAGGTGGCATCAGAATATATGTCATGACCAACCTCTTCCCTCATGCCAGGGAGCTTATCCTCATGTTTGTGTACTCTTTCTTTGTGTTGGGTTGAAATATGCCTCCTTGAAACTGCCCAAGTCTGTTTTCCAGAGCAACCTACAGAATGCCTCCCTCTTACACATCATGACCCTTTAAACTGCAATCTTCTGTCCTGTGTCCTAGGGCTTCTTTTCAAGCCATCTGCAGTTACTTGTCCATTCTTCCTAAGATTGAATTCTGTCTGAGTCTCTCATCTTCCTTGTTGCTGTCTCCTGGAAGCTCTAAAATAGTGTTTCCCAAACTGTGCTTTGGAGCACTTGGGGAGATTTTAATAATTATTATTATTTTTAACTAAAAAGAATGGAGTATGAAGGTGGTAGATGCCATGGCCACGTAAGTTTGGAAAGTGCTGCTTTATTTTTCCATGCCCCTCTGACCTTTTGTACCATAAATGAAAAACCTCTTAACTATGGTTTGGCTAGTTATAATTAAGCTATTTTTTTCTTTTGATTAGGCATTTTGTCGTCGTTAATTCAGCCTAAGATGGCATCAGTCTTTTCGGCAGCCATGTCACAGTGTGAATTCAATTTTGATTTGCAGTCAAATGAGTCACCCTCACACTAACTGCTATCAGCTTAGGTCTTCCCTCATCTTTTAGTTTCCTGGAATCTGTTCTTATACTATACTAGACTTGTACAAAGCACAAGAACTAATGATTTTATAGTATTTTTTATTCTAAGGTGTGACATATCTTTCAGAATAAAGTCACCTCATAAAATAAAAAGTCCTTAAATGTCCTTAAAATATTAATTTTGACACTTTATTCCACAGAAGGAATGTACATAGAAGTTAAATTATTTATATATTCCATTCCTTGGAAGACCTCAACAAATAAAGAGATTCCAAATGACTAGTTCTTTTATTGTGTCATCATTGTATTTCATAGATTATTTTATCAGTTCCTCCAACTTTGCTTTGGTAAACATTTCTTTCTAAGGCTCTCCATTAATTCCTCAATTTCATCCTTAAGATTGTCATTGCATCTCACTTCCTCAACCTGCCTGCCAAATAAACAATGCATTTCACTTTTTCAGTTGTCAGAAAACCCTTAAAATCGTGCTCATGGCCAGGCACGGTGGCTCACGCCTGTAATTCGAACACTTTGGGAGGCCAAGGTGGGCGAATCACGTGAGGTCAGGAGTTTGAGACCAGCCTGGCCAATATGGTGAAACACCGTCTCTACTAAAAATACAAAAATTTACAGGGCATGGTGGTGGCCACCTGTAATCCCAGCAACTCGGGAGACTGAGGCAGGAGAATTCGCTTGAACCCAGGAGGCAGAGTTCGCAGTGAACCGAGATCACACCACTGCACTGCAGCTTGGTTGACAGAGTGAAACTCTGTCTCAAAAAAAAAAAAATCATGCTCATGCTCTTTCCATAGATTTCAGGATTGAATATTATTATGAGAGGCACCAGGATGAATGATGAATGGATAATTTGCTTGACTGCAGTAAATTGCAAAAATTTATTTATAAATAAATATATATACACACACATATATCCACACCCACATCATTTTGTACACCTTAAATATATACGAGGAAAAAAAGAAACACACTAGGAACAACTGAGATCCAATGAGAGAAGAAACTGTTCATGTTGCCCCCTCCATACCCATTCTCAGGTTACGTGACAGTCATTAGACTGTGTACAATGTTTGCGTTCTCTCTGTCTCTCCTGGTTGCATGTGGTTGAGTTCTAGTAAGTGTGGCAGGTACAGTGCAGCTGCAGTGCACATTTTCTTTCCCCTTTTGAACTCTTTATTTCCTCTGAAATTTTTGTACTAGGTCATGTATCAAGTTTCTTCCAGTGTTAAAATTCTGTGATGATAATATATTGAATGTTTACATATAAAAAAATGCTAATATTTTGTGGTATTCTAAGGTTTTAAAAACCATTTCACAAGTATTTTATGTGATTTTTAAAATTATACTAAGAGTTAGAGGGAGGAGTTGTTATTCCTGGTTTAGCAATGAGGAAACCTGAAAATGACAGCTCAAGCCACTTGCGTAAGATCCCAAAGCTAGTCAGGAAGCCACAAACCAAAACTGACATCTTGACTAGTTTCCATGTAAGTATGTTTGGCATGACATCTTAAAAATTGCTTTTCTTTTTGAATGTCACAAACCATTTTAGTTCATTTTAGAATTTGTTGGTAATGACATCAAATTTACCTCTCTGGAACATCGTATTTTTGTCTAAAATCTGAGCTGTGAGTTTCTGTCATAGGCCCTGCGCACGTGTGCCTGTGTGCGTGTGTGTGTGTGTAGATACGTATATATACAGTCATATGTTGCTTAACAGTGGAAATATTCTGAGATATGCATCATTAAGCAATTTCATTATTGTGTGAACATCTTAAGAGTATACTTACACAAACCTGGGTGCTAGATCCTACTACACACCTGGGCTATCTGGTATAGCCTATTGCTCCTAGGCTGCACGCCTGTACAGCATGTTACTATCCTGAATGCTATAAGCAGTGTGTGTATGTAAACATATAAAAGGTACAGCAAAAATACAGTATTAAAATCTTTGGGACCACCATGATGTATGTGATCTGTTGTTAATGAAACATCATCATGCAGTGCCTGACTATATAAAATAGTATGAATTTTAGATCACTTCTGTTTCTTTCTTTTTACTACCATCTGATAATGTTCTTTTCAAACACTTAAAATTTTAAACATTTGTTTTGGTACTTTTATTAGAGCCCAAGAGCACTATTCACATTTCTTATTTCATATTTTTAAGAGGTAGGGTGAGATATTTATTATTACACATTATTTTACATTGCATTATATCTTGTTTACTGAGTGCACAGCTGCTGTTACTTTTCTTGTCTTCTTTTCTCATTTTTATAGCATGTTACAGGAGAACAACATCCATTAAAAGGAATGTCTTAAACATTCTTCTAATTGTTGGTAGTAGAAATGTGGCATTTCACTATCAGTTATTGTGATAATTCTTACCAGTCATTGATGACTAATCTGCCTTCCTCTGTGTCGCCCTCCTACGTGCTTTGTCTTTTCGCCATACTCCAAGTTCATCAACTCCCTATGTGTCCTACCACTGGCCTTAATCCACGCAGTTTCCTCTGTCTGAGAGTGTCCTTGATTCTCACCTTAGGCTAGTTTATGCCTCATTCTTCAGATTTTGGACATCTCTTGATACTCTCTTCTTCCCCGATTCAGGTTCTTTATGGTAACTCACTTGGCCTGGATCTTTCTTTCATAGCATTTATCTCAGTTTTGAAATTATTCATTTACTCAAGAAACTATTTTAAAATGTATTTTTTCTCCTAATAGAATGCAAACCTCATAACTGTAGGCATCAGTTTGCCTGTGTAAGTGCTAAATAAATCTGTACTGTATAAATGAATGGCTGTGTTGTCATTTACTGCCTTATGATGAGTTTTTACTATAATCTGAAATAAATGAGACTTTTCTAGTAAGTTATAGAAACCACAGTTGTGGGATGGCAGCTTTCTGACTGATCAGTGTACTCACCGTGATCCTTTTTTCCAACTCCACTTTCTTTTCTTCTTACACTTCTTTTGTGTCACTCTGCCTTCTGTTACCACACAACTTCTCTGTATAGTGTAGTTTAGTTGTTCATTCACCAGCCTCCCTTACAGATTCTCTAGTGAGTAAGCAAAAAGAGGAGGAGGCAAGGAAAAGTAATAGTAGCAGTGTACTCCATCATTCTGTTTTATGGTTTTTGTCTTAACAGGATACAAACTGGCATTTAATTACTTAAAAGCAAAAAGATATGTGGATTCAATTGACATATGTCACCAGGTAAACACTTAAATTTAGATTCCTTAAAATTTTTCAGATGCACAATTTCCTACTTTTTAAAATCTCCAGATGTATATGAATAGAAGTAGAGGATATATAATTTTAGTTAAATAATTTATCTAGTATGTTTAGGAAGATTATCCATGTTCAAAATTTAGAAAGTGATGTTCACCTAAATAAAAAACATGTTTTTACTTTGAGATCAAATAATAAAATGTTTATGTCAATTTAAAGACAAAGACCACTGACGGGTACATATTAAACAATAAACCATAGAATATTTACATGTATGGAAAGGAGTAGGATTAAAGAGGTGGAGTAAAAGAGACTTTTTCTTTAAAAATAAATAAATAAATAAAAAGGACCAGTGGCAGAAACATGTTAAATAAAATTTAGTCTTTAAGTTAGCAGATATTTGAAGATAATATAGATTCTCCAGATCATTGTTCTGATTAGAAGTTCTTATGAATGTGTCTGAATCTGGTTATTAGAGAATTCAGATTGATCAATTAGAGATAAAAAGGAATTCTATTAGAAGTCATTCAATTACATTCTGTAATTCATCCCCTACGAAATGATCACCTACTTAAATGACAAATATTGAAATTATGGTTTTAGAATTTACAGTCTCTTTATATATACATTGTCCCACTGATGTTCCATGTAAGACATTCTATTAAACATTGTGAGGACCTCCAAGAGAAGTTCCTTAGAAAAGAATTTTGTAATGCCCCTTATCCCACAGAGCTATCTGTTAGCATCATTACAGTAAATACTTGGCCTTAGTAATTGCGGTTAGTTACTGAGTCTCTGTAAAGCAGTATTTCAGTCAGGTTAGGGTTGTATGCTAATGTAAGGCTATATATTAGGATCATTTTTGGAGTTATTTAAAAAAAAACAAGTATCTCCCCACTCTTAGACTCAGTAGATCTAGAAATATGTATATCTCAAGATCATTTCAGGTAAAGCTAATGTGTGCTGCTGTATAAAAGTCACTTTCTAAGGGTTTATCAAATATTATGAATGAAAAGCTAAATTACAAAAGTATTCTAAATCATTGATACATAATTGTTTTATACAACTAATCTATTAGCTAAGCAATTATATTTGTTATATTTTCTACATTTGATATTCACATTCTATTGTTCTCATCTAACTACCGTTAATAGAAAGGAATCATCATGTTACATTTAAAATGCCACCATTAAAAAGTGTTATAGCCATTGTAGTATTAGTACAAGGAAATCTTAACTGTAATGCTCATTTCTATTAAGTTTTTTAGCTCCGTAGTTTTTGATCATTAGTTACAAGTTTTTGTGGGTTCTTTATTTGTTTTGCAGGTTCTTGAAGCACATCCAACTTATCCAAAAATCAGAAAGGATATACTTGATAAGGCCCGTGCATCTTTAAGACCTTGAAAATAATTTTAACTTAGGTGTTGGTTTAACAGGAAATGAAAGAAATCTAACTTTCAGTTCTTCCTGTTCAAAACAGGTTTGAGCTCAGTGCTTTGTTAATAGAAGTATCCCCTTTTTTGTCCAGCAGAGGTTGCTGCTGTACATCAAGAAAAGTACTGTGGTACTATGTGAAATTGGTGTTTCCTAATGGAGTTGAATGAGAGCTGCTCTATTTGACTCTGTTTTGATTAGGTACAGATTTGGTGACTCTGTGGTAAAGACTATAATTATTTCTATAAGGAATATTTTGTTAAAATCTAGGCAATTAAATACCCTGTATCTTTTCTAAGGAATATTGTTTATTTCAGGAAATATATTTAAAATGCATTGTTCTCTTTTAAAGTGGTTTTGTTATATTCTTTTTTTTTTTTTTTTTTTAAGGACGAGATTTGATTATGCACCCAGGCTGGAGTGTCGTGGCGCGATCTCACTGACCACTGGTCCCAGACAGTTGCAGAGGTTTGGCTCGCTGGCAACCTCTGCCTCCTGGGTTCACGCGATCTGCCTGGCCTCACATCTCGCGAGTAGCTGAACTAAAAGGCATGTGCATACGCCAGCTTAATTTTTTGTATTTTTAGTGAGACAGGATTTCACCATGTTACCAGGAGGTTCGTGATCTCCTGACCTCGTGATTCGTCTGCCTCGGCCTCCCAAGTGCCTGATATAGCGCGAGCCATGCTCCCAGCCTGTTTGTTGTATTTGTGTTGTTTCAGAAGATGGGATAAACATTGCCTGCAAATAAGCCATTAAAAAGACAATATATATATATTTTAAATATATATTTAATAAGAGGTTTTATAAAGTATGGTTTAATCTCTGGGAACTCAAAGACGCTGGAAGTTTGTGCAAATCAGGGTAGCTCCCTGCATTTTCCTGTAATAGTTCATGGGTGTGCATATGCAGAAAAGTAACTTTTCATTAAAAATAATTTTTTGGAAGAGGTTAAAGAGTGTGGTGTTTTCCTTTCCTTTCTTGGAGCTCATTCTTCCTGCCTTCAAGCTGGCTTGTGGTCTTAAGAAATACCAGGACCTGAAATCCAATTTAATAGGGCCCTTATTAGGATATTAGAGCCCTAGCCTAGAACTTAGGTCTGCAGGTGTAATTTCAGGACGCCTAAATGATGTAAAGGTGGACCAAATACTTTTGGTCAGCAGGGAGTCCACAAGACACACCATGTGAGGCAACAGTTCCCCAGCTCGTCTATAGACACCCTGGCATAAAGCTTTCACTCTACCACAAATTTATACTAATCTAGACTTATCCTTAGCATTATTTAATTCTCATCTACTCTTTTCAATTTCCTTAAAAATTGTAGATAACAAGTCCTCATTTATTTGCATTACAATTAAACAGTATTTATAAGTCATTTGCTGTTTTATTAAGTCCTGTGTTTGGCTGTTGAACGGAAATTCCTCTTGTTCTGATCATTTCTCAGATTTTTCAAAATCTTCTTCATTAATTAGTTATAAAATTCAAATATTCTCTTTTCCTTAGCAAAAACAGTTGTGTGTGTGTGTTTTGGTTTATTTGTTTTTGTTTTTTGAGAAGGATCCTCACTGTCACCCAGGCTGAAGTGCAGTGGCCGCTATTATCTTCCCCACTGCAACCTCTACCCTGGATTCAAGCAATTCTCCTGCCTAAGCTTCCTGAGTAGTGGGACCACAGGCGCACGCCTGACTTATTTTTGTATTTTAGTAAAGATGGGGTTTCACCATATTGGCCAGGCGGTCTCGAACTTCTGGCCTCAGTGACTGGCCGCCTTGTCACCTAGCTTTGTTATGGCATTTCATAGAAATGTATAATAATCAGGCATTTATGAGGGCACTTCATATATGTTAAATGGTTTATTATTTCTTACATTTGATTTCGCAAACCTATAATGCGCAGGAATTATTATCCCTGTTTTACAAATCTGGAATTCCAAAACATTACTCTTTTTCTTTAATTCGGTGGAGGAATATTTTTCAGCCTGAGTGACTTGTTTTTTTTTTTTTTGAGACGGAGTCTTGCTCTGTCCCCCAGGCTGGAGTGCAGTGGGCGATCTCACTGGCACTGTCCCCCAGGCTGGGATGCAGTGAGGCACTCACTGCAACCTCCGTCTCCTGGGTTAAACACCATTCTCCTGCCTCTGCCTCCAAGTAGCTTGAATTACAGGTGCCTGCACCATGCCTGGCTAATTTGTATTTTTAGTAGAGAGGGGTTTCACCGTGTTAGCCTGGATGGTCTCAATCTCCTGACCTTGTGATCCGCCCACCTCGGCCTCCCAAAGTGCTGGGATTACAGGCGTGAGCCACCACTGAGTGGACATTTTTAAGGACAATGCTATGGACTGAATGTTTGTGTCCCCGCAAACTTCATATGTTGACATCCTAATCTTTAATGTGATAGTATTGGGAGGTGAAGCTTTAGGAAATAATTATGTCATAAGGCTGAAGCCCTTGTGAGTGGGATTAGTGCCCTTATAAAGGGGACCCCAGAGAGTACTCTAGCTATCTTTCTACCATGTGAGGACACAATAAGAAGTTAACTATTTGCAACCAAAAGAGGGTCCTCACGAGAACCTGGTGGTGCTGGAACCGTGATCTCAGACTTCCAGCCTCCAGAACTGTGAGAAATAGATTTGTTTTCTTGATAAGCCCACTGGTTTGTGATATTATTGCAGCCGGAGCTGACTTGGGCAGAAATCGCATAACAGAATGCCTTTAGTAGTTCCAATGAACTTGCATCATGGGATGCTAGAATCATGGAAATTGGATAGAGAAATAGAGCATCTGTTCTCTCAGCAAGACATTTCCAAATCAGTTTTCCTATCTGTAAGAGGAGAGGAAGGTTTTGTTTGTTTTTCAAGCAGCCATTTATTTTGCACCTGCCATTTGTTAGATGCTATTTTAGGGACTTTCCTTACTTTATGTCTTTTAATTTTCAGTCAGCTATTAAGAGAAATAATATTCCTACTTTTCAGATAAGAAAGATAAGACCTGGACTAAATGATTTGCCCAGGGTCACAGAGAAAAGTATCAGAGCCTGAATTCCATACTGGCCCAGTCAACTTCAAAGCCTATGCCTTATTTATTATATTAAGATGCCTTCTACAACTAAGAAATAATGTTTCTATAAGAAAAACTGATCTTGTCTACCTCTGGCTAGCAGAAGAAACTGACTGGTGTATCACAGAGATAGCTAAGTAATGAAGAACAAGATGAACTGAGTGGAATGAACAGCTGTTACAAATGGAGAAACTATCAAAGAGCAGTCTAATTGAGGAGCAGTGTAGTGTAGCAGTCAAGAGCACGGATCTGAAATCAGACCAGCCTGGATTTAAGTTTTGGCTCTACCATTACCCAGATGTTTCATCTTTCTCCAAGTTACACACTCTCAGCCTCAGTTTTTTCACCCATAAACAAGCATATAAGGATAATAACCTGCCTCAGGTTGTAAGGATTAAAGGGAACTTATATAAAACCTATAATGAATCTGACTCACTAGGCTCTTAATAAATAGTAGCTCCTCTTATAAGCAGAACAGGGCCAAGTAGTAATTACAACTGAGAAGAGAAAATGCTGTTCAAAGCAAGATGAAAAAGGTGAGTAAAGTCCCTTAGAGAGCTCAGCCCTACAGGATTTGAGATTCTCATTCATACCCTCTCTCCTTCCCTCCTCATTTTTCTTCTTCAACTACTTCCCTCTTTTCCTCTCTCTCTCCCCACCAAATATTATGCTAGACTCCACATGCAGCATGTCATTTTATCCACCTTGAGCTTGCTTTTGCCCTGCTTTCCTTGCTGTGGAATTCTCTTCCTCCTGTCCCTCCCTTCACCCCCGCTTCCTACTCTGAGCTTCCTTCTCCAGGTTTGCTCCTTCTTTCCATCAGCTATCACTTTATCACCACCTCCTCAAAGAGGCCATGTTCATGTCCAGGCCCACAATCTCAAGTAGCCATCCTGTGATTCTGTATCATATTATCCTTTTTAAACTCTATGCAGCACTTACTACCTCTGATGTTTGTCTTCTTTAAGGATTTGATTGCCTCATGTGACAAGCCCAAGATCTGTGACAGTTGGAGCTCAAACTAGGCAGTCTTGATTCCAGACTCCTCTAAACTAGTATTTCAAGGAACTAATGCCCATGACATGTTAAATGGAAGTTTGGGGACTTACACTCAGGATGGAACCAGGGGGACCCAGCAGAAATGAAAGAATTTTCTGTGGATCTGAGATCGGGACACCTGCCCCCCTCATGGTAAGTGCGCAGTTGTAAATTTAATGTACTTTTGACCTTAATTCAGCTAGTATGGTGAACTGGGTCCCAAGAGGAAATAGCTTTCTTCCCCAGAAGTCAAGAACCTAGAGCAAATCTGGAATCTGGAAGGCTTTTATGCATGGACAGCTGAGGAAGCGGGTTGAACTTTGCACTACAGTAGAAGTAGATAATGGAATCACTATGGAAACCAAAAGACCAATTAAGAATCTGACAGGAGCAATCCTAGTTTGTGACTGGAGATGACAAGTGAATAGCTTTAAAATAGGATCATATAACAGCATTCATGCTGATAGATTTTTTTAAATGCAAGGTTGGCAAAGGTGCAAGGAAACCACCACATTCGGACGCTGCTCGTCGAAGTGTAGCACAGCCTTCCTGAAGGGAATTTGGCAGCACAAAATAAGAGTCTGTCGTTTAACCAAGTGATCCCATGTGGAGAAATTTATCACAGGAAATATTCCGAAGTTTTCTCAAAGGTTTCCAATTTTAAAAATTGTAACAGTGAATTTTTTCCTGCTTTTGGTTATCAAAACATCCAACATGAGGTTGTCAAATATGTAAGATTTGGCCTACAATATAGCACTAGGTAGTTATTGAAAACTATTTCAAGGGTTTATTTATGTATTTAATTTTTTTGGCTCATGCCTGTAATCCCAACACTTTGGGAGGCCGAGGCCGGTGGTTTACCTGAGCTCAGGAGTTTGCAACCAGCCTGGGCGACACGGTGAAACCTCGTCTCTACTAAAATACAAAAAATTAGCTGGGCATGGTGGTGTGCACCTGTAATGCCAGCTACTTGGGAGGCTGAGGCAGGAGAATTGCTTGAACCTGGGAGGTGGAGGTTGCAGTGAACCGAGACTGCGCCACTGCACTCCAGCCTGAGCAACAGCGAGACTCCTTCTCAAAAAAAATTTTTTTTTGAAAGATTTTAACTGCTAAAATGCTCACAAAATAAGTGAAAAAAGAGGAAAATGTAACTATTCAAATAATAATATATCCATTTGCCAAAAATATAGATGCATATAAGAATATACGAAACTAGATGAAACTAACCCAATTGTTAACATAGTTATATCTGAGTGATGAAATATTTATTTACCATTGTAAAAGTTAACTGGAATTAACATATATTCTACACTAAAAAAAAAGTTTTTGTTGCTTTTTAGAGAACAGCCTTCTCAAACTTGCTTTTTGCTGTTTAAAAGTTATTTTTCTGAACACAGATGAAGAGAAAAAGCTAAACAAAAGCTGACATTTCAACTCTCAATACCACACTTTACTATTAATTGTTAATGCAAAATGTAATCTATATTACTTCAATGGCCAGCGATAGAGATTCAGAAAGTGGAAGATAGAAAAAAAGACAGCGAGAAAGTAGTAGTAGGAGTGGTAACAGAAGTGGTACTAGAACTTAAGAGTTCCAGAGGGGATGTGTAAGAGCACAGTCCTGCAATTACATAAAGAATTGAGAGCAAACCCAGTACTCTGTAATTTTAGTCCATTATTCCAGTAACAGAGTTTTAATGATGATTCTACCAAATATAATAAATTAGAAGCCAGTGGAAATATCTGAAATCCTGCCGAGCCTCCACGTGTGGTCATGCGGTGTGTGCACTGCAGAGGGTGACCCAGCCAAGGGTGCAGGAGATGGAGGCAGAAATCCTCCAAGTCTTACCACTCTGCAACTGCATCCGCATGCAGGAGGACTCCCTTTTCTAATTTGAATACAACTTTCTCATAGGCTAGTGGAAGCCCTGCGAATGGAAGGCGAGGAACTAGAGTCGGTATAGAAAAGATTTTAGAAATAAGGCTGAGGGTGAAGAGTGATGTGTCCATAAGAGTGTGAGAAGTCTGTCTTTTAAGATAAGAGCTACTTGGGCATCTATGGAGGAAAAAAAAAAAAAAAAAGCCAGTAAATATTGAAGGTACGAGAAAGAGAGGAGGGGAAAACCTGAGTAGAAAAATGGTGGCGTCCAGGGGGTACACAATTTTTGCAAGGGGAGTGAAGGAACAAATGAACTGCAGAAAGAGTCACTGATATAAAGGTGACTTCAGGAGCCCTTATGCTAATTGGCTCCAGTAGTTTTATAATGAATAAAATAGTCTTTGAGCTAAGGGCAGTACCACTCCTTCATATGCATAGGATCTTGGACCTCTGTTTTCTTTGAACTCTTAAGGTATTTTTCACTTATATCTAGGTTCCTGGTTGTGGTTGTTGGAAGTCTGCCTGCCAGATTAGAGGGGAGTTACTGTAACATGATAAGTCCCAGTTATGAGCAAAAATGTGCTACCCTCCTTCTAATACTTTTCTTAAGAACCAGATGTTTTCTAGGAAAATGTTTCACTCTGCAATCTGCCTTACAGTGCACATCAGTGAATCTGGCTCAATGCCCATAAAAGCAATCTGATCCCATAAATGAAGGATGCGAAGTAATGAGCAGGTTCTAAATGTCTTACTTCTGAGTGGTATAACATGAGACTCGATGGCAATCCTTAAACCAGGCTGCTTTCAAATAGTATGTATGTTATTTTTATCTTCCTTCAAACAAATTCTTTTGGCAATGTAAAAGAAACCCTGTTGTTGTTGTTTTTTTTAAGGGGGTATTTTAAGAAGGTAATTACTATTTCCATTTTCACCAAAAGCAGCCTAGTTTTATTTTTAATGGGTAAGTGATGTAAGAACTTTAAAAAACCACTTGCAACACAGAGGACAGAGCTGCAAAGTGTTCAGTAGTGTCCTTACTTATTTTGGGTCAGGGCAATAGGTCCTTTTTCATAGTTACAGATTCAACTTTCTTTGAAAAACACACTTAAGAACTTTGAGGAAAAAGAATGCACTAAAATGGTAAGCAGTTACAAAAATGTTCTTCATATAGTTTAAGTTTAATATATGAAGTTGCTCTAGTAAATAAATAAAAACTCCTCCCTTACATAGTTTCCTGAAGAATTTTTTGTCCAATTTTTCACATTGACTTAAGTTACAAATTGCAGAGGATAGATTAAGGGGGACTCTGGGTGGGGGCAAGCGCAGGACATTGAGAAATCGCAAGTGCAAAGTTAAAATGATTGAATACATACCATGTGAAGAATCAAGGTGAGGAAATGGGACAAACGACGTGTCTAGATCCTGATGTCACTTACTTGTGTTAAACACATAAATCTACTGCCTCTTATAAAATGTATGTGCTGAGTGGTTGTTTTTGTAGATTTTAAAAAATGCCTAATGTGCACTATTAAAGTTTCAATAAAAATGATTTTGTTTCTACAAAAAGGAAACACTTTTTAATTTTTTATTTGGAAAAAAATTAAACTTACAGAAAATTGCATCAATAAGATTGCAAAGACCATATATACTAAGGTAAACATTACAATATTGCTAATATTTTAGACCATCTGCTTTATCATTTGTGCTATGTGAGTATACGAATTTTATATATACATTTACAGTCACACAGATGTATACACACATATATACATATGATTTTTTTTCTGAAGATTCTGAAAGTAACTCACAAGCATCATACACATCCCTGTACCCCTGAGTACTTCAGTGATATTTCCTAAGAATATGGATATACTCCTATATAATCAAACTGTGGTTATCAACTTCAGTAAATTTAACACGGATACCATACTTTAATCTATATCATTTACCACCAATTGATCCAATAAAGTCCTTTTCTTCCTCCAGTCAAAGATCCACTCTGGAATCAGATATTGTGTTTACTTGTCATGTCTCTTTATTGTTGCTTAATCTGGAGCATATCCACAGCCTTTCTGTCTTCTACAATATAGACACTTTTTTAAGAAAATGTCCCTCACCCTCTTTTTTTGTAGTAGAATGTTTTTCATTTAGGGTTTGTCTGATATTTCATCATGATTCAATTTGAGCTAAACATCCCTGGCCATAATGCTATGTAAATAATATGTCCTCAGGGTATCACATATGGATACACACATACTTATCTGCCCTCACTTGTGAATTAATTTTGATTACTCCTTCAAACGTCTACACTACATAGTTTTTTTTTTTCTTGCAACTAATAAGCAATCTGTGAGGAGACACTTGTAAATCAAATATCCTGCTCCTCTTCAAAACTTTCCACAAGATTTCATTATTCTTGCCTAGTCCCATCTTTACTGTGATGGTTATAAAGGCTCCACATGTACCCAGCAGTCAGTACTCAGTGTTTTACCATAAGCAGGAGCCCCCACTTTGCTTATTTATTATTGTTTTTGCTTTTAATTTTTATCCATTATTTAATATAGAAGGACAGTAGTGGACTCTGGAGCTTAAACAAACTATCACATAGTGAGGACTGAGAGTTGAGCTTTTTTTTTTCCCCTCCTGGAGAAAATAATTTTATTCTATATTATTCTATTCTATGCTATGCTACTCTATTCTATTCTATTCTATATTATTTGTTTAATATAGAAGGAGAATAGGGGACTATGGAGCTTAAACAAACTAGCACATGGCAAGGATTCAGATTTGAGCTTTTTGTTGTTGTTAAAAATATTTAACATCATACAGTCTTGTGAAATTCTATTTTTTCAATATTTCATCATCCATTAATGTCTTTAATTATTTTGGTGTTCAAATTGTTTCAGATTTGTCCAGCAGGAGCCTCTTCAGGCTTATTCCTGTGTCCTTGTGACATGCTCTCATTGTGCATTTTTCTTTTTTTGAGCACTTTCTTACTTTCTATCCTAACAAGGTATCTCAGGCTCAACTTCTGATTTCCCTGCCTCAATCTTGGAATCAGCCGTTTCTCTAAGGAGCCCTGGTTCCTTTTATTGAGAATGATGTTAGAGATGAAGATCCGAGTGCTAAGTCTGTTCACTGCTGATAGGGTGTAATTGCTTCTAGATCCTTTCAGCAGATGGAAAACATATGCGTGCATACATACATATGCATATACAGAAATATGCTCGTAGACACACAGGTGTTTGCATAAATACTGTGCATACACGCAGTCTCACACACACTGACCTCTAGTTCTTATTTGTATAACCCTTTTCCAGAGTGTGATCCTGGATCCTAACAACCTCAACCTATTTGTCCATTTCTTCAGCCTTATAATCTACCTAAAATGGTTTCAGAATTGCTTCACCCAAACACTTATAACAAAAGCAAGTCTACAAAATCTACAAAAATGAGTTCAGAGTTTGTTTTCAGTCTCCCACCTCCCACAATGCCACCAACTTTGGTCGATTTTTAATTTATTGTTGATAAATTTAACAATCTCTCTTAAAATGTTACCAGAACCATTTCCCAATAGTATGATGTATTCTAAAAATCAAACTAGGCCAGGCACAATGGCTCACACCTGTAATCCCAGCATTTTGGGAGGCCGAGGCGGGTGGATCACCTGAGGTCAGGAGTTTGAGACCAGACTGGCCAACATGGCAAAACTCATCTCTACTAAAAATACAAAAATTAGCTGGGCATCATGGTGGGTGCCTGTAATCCCAGCTACTCAGGAGGCTGAGGCAGGAGAATCATTGCTTGAAACCAGGAGGTGGAGGTTGCAGTGAGCCGAGATCGCGCCACTGCACTCCAGCCTGGGCAACAAGAGCAAAACTTGTCTTAAAAAAAAAAAAAAAAAAAAACTAAATTAGTTATTGCTGATAAGAGTGTGTGCTCTGTCTCACGGACCAGCTTTGCAATTTCCTTCCAAATATTCATCTACCTGCAAAATAAATGCCATCCCTTCCCACGCCAACCATATTGATGATGTAGTGGCAGGAAGGAGAGTAGGGGGCTCTGGAGCTTAAACAAACCATCACATGGTAAGGATTGAGAATTGAGCTTTTTGTTAAAAATATGTTGTAGATCTACATTATTATAAACTGATTTTTCTGTTTGACCTTAAGTATTTTCAGCACTTTTACTGTGGTAGGTTAACTGTCAGCCATAAACATTTCTAAAGAAATAGGAAAATTTTCTTCCTATATTATTCAAAATACAAATTTCTGGTTTATAGCAACTAATGCTATTTTTTCCCCTCAACCTGCCATTTCCAACTGCTTCCTCTTCTTATTGAGTGAATCCTGGTCTTTGCTTGAAAAAGTTAGATTTATATCCTCTATTCTTTATTTTTGTATTTACATTTTATATCTATTTTCTTGAGTCCTACAGCCTCACAAAATCGTTTTGAATAGCAGAGCTGCAGAGCTGATGGGGAGGTCAGCTATGTTAATTCCACAGTGCCCCAGTCTTTGGTGTGAGGTTGCCTAGCAACCCATCTCTCAGGCCTCCTTTGTGGATGAGAGAAGAGAAAGCGATTCTTCTATACACTCTCAAGCCGAGATGATTTTTATAAAGTGAAAAACCTTTCGCAAAGGGTCTAACACAACCCCTGCTTCTCCTCCTCTGCCCACTTTGTACACTTCACATATGATGAGAGAAATATTACATCCTTTTATGCTTTAGATCTGATACAGATATAAAGCAGAGCTAGACACTGTATGGCCAAACAGTGGAAGTGACCTGTATCTTCATGTTAAATTGAGACACATTAATTAAACCACTCGTCTTCCCTTTTCCCTTCTATGAAAGCATAGTTACCCCTCAAGTTCTAAAAGCCAGTTACGTTAAATGAAACCGCAACTGCCTGCTGAGCATCAGTTACCATAGCGACGAGAGCCAGGAGTGGTGTTTTTCTCCTTAGGCACAGGATGACTGAAATGTGTTCAACCAGGGGATTCAAGCAGCTTGCTGACTAGAAATCAGGCATCTGGGAAGAGCCTGCTCAGTTGCTTTTTCCTCCACACTCATTTGAAAAAATAACTAACCCCTCTGCTATTCCCTTAAAGCTGTTACCTTTTTTGGAACCAAACTTCAGTGGGTGGTAGAAGTGCCCTACCTTAGGCATATAGGAGAAAGGGGAGCAATGATGCATGCCAGTGAAACCCACACGAACAGCTGAGAGAGCTGGCGAACAGTGCAGAGAAGATGCACTGCCCTTTCAGATGTCTCTGAGAATACAGAGTACCACATGTATTTTCCAGATTGTGAAAATACTTAGGTACATTTTTTGAAACATTTATAATCCTATCACATTATTTTCCAGGCAGATGATGTTATTCAGAAGAATATTGTGGTTCCAATGGATAATGCTTTATGGAGGGTTGTTGTAAGTTAAAACAAGTATAAGGAAAAATGCTTTGTGCTATTCTCATTTGCCTCTAATTATGGCTGAGAATAGAGAGGAGGTTGACCTCCTCTGCCACTTAACAGTGTGACTTGGGGCAAGTTCCATAAGCTGTCTAGGTCTCACTTTTCTAATTTTTACAAAGAAACTAAAAAGAGTATTGTTGCCAGTGTGAAGTAAGAAAATATACATAAAGTACCTGACTGAAACACTGATGACTGTTATAATCAGTTTTGCTTAACTGACCACTCAGTACTGATTGAACACCTGGGTACATGCCCATGCTTGATGTGAGAAGAGTACTGAGGTCCCAGCCAAAAAGAGGGCAGCCAAGTTTGGGGACTGCAACTGCAGGTTGTCTACCTTTCCGATGCTTCAGAAAGGTTTGGTATGTCATCCTCACCAATGTTCTATCCATAGTGACAATGACATGATACTCCTTTTGGGTCTACCTCCATGGCCAGTTCGTAGGGAAAACTCTTAGTGCTGTTTCATAACTAAATTTTGCTTTTCTACCTGAACTGTCATTACCAGGTGGCACCCTCAGTCATCACAACCATTAGACTGGACGTCTGTCTCCATGGAGAATATGTGAATACCTCCGAATATACTTCCTGAAGGAGCTGCCAAACTATTTTCAGCAATGGCAAAACATAGAACGTAAGTGAATTCCCAAAGTGCCTTCCCTGGGCATTCTTTTCTACCAACAGTATACCTTCTGATGACTTTCTAACAAAGCAATTACATAATTCCTGGAAAGCATATACTTTTAAAATTTTAGATCATTGAATCTAAACCTTTCATTTTAGAGATTAAAAGGGAGCTCAGCACATTGATTAAATTGCCCAATTCATTTTTATATATGCATTTATATATATATATATGTATACACCCCAAAATAATACCATATAAATATATACATTTACCTAAACACACATTCATGTATAAATATACACATATGTAAATAGAAGGAATCAGTTATACAAATACATAATTTTTTTTCAAATTGTCTAAAAGTATACTCCAAGTTCCTCCAAACTAGAGACCATTATTATCATTGATTGCTCTATAATTTGCAAGTCGCAGAAACCAGCTTAGGATGGCCTGAGTTATATGTAAGTCTTCAAGTTGGCACTGGAGCTGAAAGGTGGGAAGCAACTGGAATCAGGGACTGGAATGTGGGCAGGACTCTATACCTTTCCTCTGATACTTTCTGCATGTTGGTGTTCACTCACCTATCCATCTGTTTAGGAATCCAAGCCATTTGACCGATATTCACTGAAGACCTATTCTATGCCAAGCACTGTGCCAGGCAGAGGGAAAGCCCTCATATCGGGCAGAGCTGGTCTTCTCCAGTAGATCTTGTGAGACTTATTGGCTTTCATTCTGTCTTGCCACTGCCATGTAAGTAGTAGGTTTTGCCTTCCACTATGATTATGAGGCCTCCCCAACCATGTGGAACTATGAATTTATTAAACCTCTTGTATTAGTCTATTTCCATGCTGGTGATAAAAGACATATACCTGAGACTGGATAGTTTACAGAAAAAAGAAGTTTAATGGGACTTACAGTTCCACATGCCTGAGAAGGCCTCACAATCATGGTGGAAGCCAAGGAGAAGCAAGTCAACTCTTACATGGATAGCAGTAGGCAAAAAGAGAGAGCTTGTGCAGGAAATTCCTCCTTATAATACTGTCAGATATTATGAGACCTATTTGCTATCACAAGAACAGCACAGATATTATGAGACTTATTCTCTATCACAAAAACAGCACCTGCCCCCTTGATTCAATTACCTCCTACTGAGTTCCTCCTATAACATGTGGGAATTCAAGATGAGATTTGGGTGGGAACACAGCCAAACCATATCACCTCTTTTTCTTCCCAGTCTCAGGTATGTCTTTATCAGCAGCAGGAATACAGCCTAATATAGTAAATTGGAACCAATAGAGTGGGGCACTGCTGAAAAGATATGTAAAAACATGGAAACAACTTTGGAACTGAGTAACAGGCAGAGGTTGGAACAGTTTGGAGGGCTCAAAAGAAGCCAGATCAATGTGGGAAAGTTCGGAACTCCCTAGAGACTTGTTGAATGGCTTTGCCCAAAATGCTGATAGCAATATGGACAATAAAGTCCAGGCTGAGGTGGTCTCAAATGGAGATGAGGAACTTTTTGGGAACTGGAACAAAGGTGACTCTTGTTATATTTTAGCAAAGTGGTTGGCAACAATTTGCCCCTGCCCTAGAGATTTGTGGAACTTTGAACTTGAGAGAGATGATTTAGGGTATCTGGTGGAAGAAATTTCTAAGCAGCAAAGCATTCAAGAGGTGACTTGGGTGCTGTTAAAGGCATTCAGTTTTATAAAGAAAGCAGAGTATAAAAGTTCAGAAATTTGGAGCCTGACAATGTGATAGAAAAGAAAATCCCATATTCTGAGGAGAAATTTAAGCTGGCTGCAGAAGTTTACATAAGTAACGAGGAGCTGAATGTGAATCATCACCAAGACAATGGGGAAAATGTCTCTAGTGCATGTCAGAAGTCTTCAAGGTAGCCCTTCCCATCACAGGCCTGGAGGCCTAGGAGGGAAAAATGGTTTCACTGGCTGGGCCCAGTGTCCCTCTGCTGTGTGCAGTCTAAGGACTTAGTGCTCTGTATCCCAGCCGCTCCAGCCATGACTGGAAGGGGCCAAGGTAGAGCTCAGGCTCTTGATTCAGAGGGTGCAAGCCCCAAGCCTTGGCAGCTTTCATGTGGTGTTGAGCCTGTGAGTGCACAGAGTCAAGAACTGGGATTTGGGAACCTCCACCGTGAAAATTGAGAATGTATGGAAATGCCTGGATATCTAGGAACAAGCTTTGCTTCAGGGGCAGACCTCATGGAGAACCTCTGCTGGGGTAGTATGGAAGGCAAATGTGAGGTGGAAGCCCCCACACAGAGTTCCCATTAGGGTGCTGTCTAGTGGAGCTTCCAGAATGGAAGATCTACTGACAGCTTACACCATGCACCTGGAAAACTCACAGACACTCCATCGCCAGCCCATGAAAGCAGCCACACTGGCAGAGCTGCCCAAGACCGTGGGAACCCACTTCTTGCATCAGCATAACCAGGATGTGAGATAAGGAGTCAAAGCAGATCATTTTGGAGCTTTACGATTTAACTGCCCTGCTGGATTTTGGACTTGCATGGAGCATGTAGCCCCTTCATTTTGCCCAATTTCTCCTATTTGGAATTGCTATATTTACCCAATGCCTGTACCTCCATTGTATCTAGGAAGTAGCTAACTTGCTCTTGGTTTTATAGGCTCATAGGCAGAAGGAACTTGCTTTGTCTCTGATGAGACTTTGGACTATAGACATTTAAAAGAGTTAGTGCTGAAATGAGTTAAGACTTTGGGAGACTGTTGGGAAGGCATGATTGTTTTTGACATGTTAGGATATGAGATTTGGGAGGGACAAGGGAGAGATTGATATGATTTGGCTGTGTCTCCACTCACATATCCTCTTGAATTCCCACGTGTTGTGGAAGGGACCTCATGGGAGATAATTGAATCATGGGGGCAGGTGTTTCCCATGATGTTCTCGTGATAGTGAATACATCTCACAAGATCTGATGGTTTTATAAGGGGGAGTTTCTCTGTGCAAGCTCTGTTTGCCTGCTGCCATCCATGTAAGACATTACTTGCTCCTCCTTGGCTTCCACCATGATTGTGAGGCCTCCCCAGCCATGTGGAACTGTGAGTCCATTAAACCTCTTTTTCTCTATAAATTAGCCAATCTTGGGTATCTTTATTAGCAGCATGAAAATGAACGAATACACTAGTTCTCACAGACGTTTCACTACTCCCATGTTGTAAGTTTGGCCACATGCAGAGAATGATGTGTAGTTTCTTAGTCCCTAACCCTACCACCACTCTGGCAAGGAGGAAGTCCAGGAGGTGACACAGGTTACCCAGGCCCACATCTATGGATCAGAAGGTTGCTGGGCAGACACCCTGGAGGCTCCACTGCAGTGTGTTATCCGATCCTTTTGCACTTCTCCCTCCACAGTATTTAGTCCATTTTTTAAAATTCACTCAAGTGCTAGCTTAAACACCTACATTTAAAAACCCACAACTTTTAGTTAAACAATGTAGAAAATTACTGAACTTTCATTGATAAAGAAATTTGCAACATGGTAAGTTATTTGTTCAAAATCATAATTCTCCCATCTGTTTTATTTCTCCAAATGTCCAAGAAACCCAAACCAGGACAGTACCAAGGGCTGCACCACCGTAATGGTACCACCACAGGGTACTACCATGACTAAACTAGGAGTTTAGTTGGATCTATGCTGCTGAGAGTATCAGTGAGTTGCCCAGGCTTGCACTTTTCTAAAACACAGAAGCAGCAGCCATAAAGAGCTGGGCTCATCAAAATTGAGTATAAGCAATTCTCAAAGACCATGTTGATATATAACAAGACCTTTGACCTTTATATTCTTTCTTTATGTTCTAGGTGGCCCTTATATTGACACATTTTTTAATTATTCTCTAAAAGGAGCCATTAGCCATTGTCCAAGCTCATGTAAAAGATGAAGAGATGCTGGGAAGATATCAAATCAGTTTGGGTCCAGTTAGCTCCAAGGATTCTTTGTTAGGCCACGCTACTAAGTCTCTCAGACTTTAATCCCGTTTTTGGGGGGCTCACATATATCCTGGGGCATTGTGAGGTAAGAATAAGTCAGTCAGGAACCAAACAAAATTCAAAGAAATGGATAGGCATCACGATATGGTTTGGCTCTGTGTCCCCACCCAAATCTCATCTCAAATTGTAATCCCCACATATGGAGAGAGGGACCTGTTGGGAGGTGACTGAATCATGGGGATGGTTTCCTCCAGGCTGTTCTTGTGATAGTGAGGGAGTTCTCACAATATCTGGTTGTTTGACAAGTGTCTGGCATTTCCCCTGCTTGCTTGCTCTCTCTCCTGCCGCTTTGTGAAGGAGGTAGCTTGCTTCTCCTTTGCCTTCCACCATGATTGTACATTTTGAAAGCCCCCGGCCATGCAGAACTTTCAGTGAATTAAACCTCTTTTCACTGTATCTTTATAGCAACATTATAACAGACTAATATTAATATATAACGCTTCTTTAGGGAAGTCAGCAAACAAGATGCTAACTGATGGAGTGAAATCCCCAGGAGATGCAGAAGGCAAGTGCAGCGAACTGAGGCCTCAGAGGCAGGAGATGCCCATCGGGATGAGAGCTATGGCTTTCTCCAGCGATGACTCTGCTTCTATGAGGTCACTAGTAGTAGAACCCTGTATTGCTGGCATACACTTGGGGTAAAAATATCATTGGCAAAGTTGCTTAAGATCCAATCCACTTAACTGTGACTACCTCCCCCTTCCCTATTTCCTACATCTTCCTGTTCATATACACATAGTACTTTCCTCTCCCTTTTTCTAGTTCATCCTCCTGGGAGAACCGCTTTCTTGCTTAGAGTGAAACCCTACTCTCTTGTTTATGTTCAACATATTTTGTTGATGCTCCAAATTCTCTTGTTCTGGCTTCTAGCCAAGGCATTTTGTCCTCTTTTTTACAACTAATGTAAAAAAAAGAAAAATCCTTGAACTTCAACCCTTTTTATAATAAACCTTAGTGATCCATCAGACTCAAATGTCTAATCAACAAAAAGAATTTGAAAACATTAACTGTTGCTCAAATACAAGAAGAACTTAAACTCCAGACTCTTCTAGCACAGCAAGGAAAGAGAAACAACAATACAGCTGGTTCCATATTAAAATAATAGGAAAGTTCATCTCCTTCCATAATTCAAAAAATACTACTGAAGAATCAGAAAAGTAAAAATTCTGCTTGTATAAAGAGTTCCTGGATTGTGCTGGCTTCTTATATCAATCATTTCTCTCCTGCTTTCCTGTAGATGGCCCCGCCTCTCCTGGACTTCCATCTGTCATCAGGAGAACATGACCATCTGGAGTCAGTACAGATCATCAGTCCTTCCACATATACAAGTTCATTTTAAATTTTTAAAAATATAATACAACTGAGAAGTCTTCATTAAATTGCTCTGGTAGTCCTGTTTTCTGTTAGGGATCCAATACATCTCAGAGTCACATGGGTGATCCCAGATTGCAGGATTGAAACACGGCTTTAGGGGTCTGTTACTTTCCTATTGCTGCTATTAAAAATTACCACAAACTGTGTGGCTTCAAACATCACAAATTTATTTTCTTACACGTTCTGGAGGTCAGATGTCCAAAATGAGTCTTAGAACTAAGACCAAGGGGCAACAGAGCTCCCTTCCTTCTGCAAGCTCTAGGGAAGGCTCTGTTCCTTGACTTTTCTGGCTTCTAAGGCCAGCTGCATTCTTTGTCTCATGATCACATCACTGTGACCTCTACTTCTGTCATCATGTTTCCTTCTCTAACTTTCCTGCCTCCCTCGCTCCCTAAAAAGGACCTTTGTGATTATATTTGGGCCTACCTGGATAATGCAGCATATGCTCAAGATCCCTAACTTAATCACATCTGCAAAGTTGCTTTTGCCATGTAAGTTAACACATTCACAGGTTTTAGGGATTAGGATGTGGACATCTTCAGTGGGGGTGGGGGCGTTATTCTGCTGACCACAGGGTCTGATATAATCAGAGGCCCACTTCCTAGAAATCAGTGAACCTGAATTCTAGTCCGCAATTAGGACATTCAATTAGGAGAGTGCATAGGGATTGTTGGTATCCCTGTTTTACCTTTGACTTATTAGACTGTAGCCACGAATT